CTCAGACCCTCTACAAGATTTTCCTAGTCGGCCGAGTTGCCCCGATAAGAACTATAGCATAATAGTTAAATATTTAGATTAGTTTGGCAAACAGGCGCGGAAAGTGAATGGAGATAAGAGTTATCAAATCACAATGTAATCAGCCCGAAGAGACGGAAAGGGAGGCGAAATGGACAGGCGGGGTCAAGTTAAATCACCGTGATAACCCCTTGTTTACCTTTTTATGCTACAAATGTCTATCAATGACTAACTGTTTAGTTTAAGAGTGGCTTAAAAAGAAGGCGGCTAAAAGAATAATATTAATGAAATAGTGAAAATAGTGCCTAACGACTAAAGTTTTCGCAGATTTTCTGCTAGATGATTAAATATTTGGCATCGTATTAAAAACGTGTAATTAAATTTCAAGCAGATAGTGGCTGTGAAAAAAACGAAAACAACTTAATTTTTAGCAGTGCCATTAAAAAGTATACTAAATGATTTATTTTCTACACAATTTTGTCTTTAAATATTACTCGAAAAAAGTAGCTCGTCTCGAACGGACGCGCATTTTGTGGTAATTAAATCTGGAAATATTTAAAAAATATAAAGATGGACTGCGGAACATCGCTGGTCAAGTACATCCTTTTTATATTCAACGCAATTGTGTTGGCCATCAGCATTTTGGGCAGCCTTTTCTGCATGGTGATGCTGAGGACCATCGGAGATCTTGATGGAAATGGAGAGGCAGTCTTTCCGATCGTGATGATCATCTTGTGCTCGGTTGCGGTCTTCATCTCGCTCCTGGGATGCTGCGGTGCCTGTCAAAAGTCCATCTTCATAGCCCGAAGCTATGCTGTTATTTTGCTGATCCACATAATCGTGCAGCTGGCACTCCTAATCCTGATGTCCACCAATAAGGAGCAGATTGAGAAATTCGTGGGTGACCTCATCGACTATGCTTGGAAGTCGAATCATGCGGAAAGAAGTACCTTCGATACCATCCAGAAATGGTTTTACTGCTGCGGCCGCGATTCTCCCGATGATTATGAAGAAGTAGGACACACCAAACCCTTGAGCTGCTACAACCCTTCTCAAACCAAGCACATTTTATACGAAGGATGCCGTGGCAAGTTGATCGAATATTTGTATCTGGGAACTGACAAGTTTGTGGTCATCAGTGTGATTAGTATTCAACTGATCTTCTTCATAATTTCCTGTTGCTTCGCTAACAATATGGGAATATACAAGCGTCAGAAATCAATGATGCTTTCAACGCCCCCATCTACATCCTCAAGAACTCCAGAAATATTACTCAAAATAAGATAAACTTTTTTGTAAAACATTAGTTGCAAATAAAAAACTAATAATATTCATTTTGTACATACATTGTCTTATTTCTTGCAAATAAATATATTAAATACAATTACAGGAATTAAGGGAAATGTGTGTGTAAGCAGCGTGTAACTAAATAAATAATTTTTGAGAGATAAGAGTAAAAACAGCTCAGAAATCAGAAAAATACCAACGCTATTCGTAAAAATCCATATCCCTTACCAAAAAAAAAAAAGTTCCTTTGTTCTTGGCAATAATAAAAATCTAGACCTCGGTAGCCCCCATAAAAAAGTGACTGTTAAACAGGTTCCTTTATAATCACAATCCACAACTTTTTGCTCAATTGCACAAGACTTGTAAACCATTTTTCAACGACTTGATTCCAAATTATTCGCCTTTAAATATAAATTTAAACTTTCCCTGCCAGCAAAAACAGAATCATAATTTACACCGAATACGATGCATATAGAGTCCATACAACTGAACAACTGAAAAAGATTCGGAAGCTGCGTTACCTTCATTCTGTCTCCCTCACTTTTGATATGTCTGTCTCTGTCACTGCATCAAGTTCAATTTTATACACAGAACAAAATATTAAGGTAAAATAGGTAACTTATTTAATTTAATTGTAAAATAGGTAATAAAGAATTATAATAATAAGAATTTTTCGAAAATGAGCAGTAAATTTTGGTTTTTAAAATAAAATAAAAAAAAATCGATTATATTTCCACAAAATGTTTATTTATTTATACAGAGAAATTTAATAATTATTTAAAATATTTAAAACTATTTTTAAAAGGGTACCTATATTTAAAAAACAATTATATTTGTTCTAATAAATGCCAAATTTTTACGGTGCACCAGTAGCAAAACAAAAGTGTGTGGATGATAAATAAAGAGGAAGGCGAGAAGAAAACCAACAATAACTCCACGAGCCTAATACTTGAATACGAATACAATACATCTCTCTTACTCTTTCTTCCTATATAATACCCCATAATACCCCCCTCGGGCGTTTCCATCCTCCCCGTGCCTTCACATTTTTAGTTCGATTGCGCAAAAAGTAGGTCGTCGTGGCCAGACGAAAAACAACAACAAGAAACAACAACAGGGCATATCATTTAAATATTTTACAATACACACATGTGGGAATGTGTGTAAGCGTGTTTTACTTTTGTGCGTTTCTTTGCGTTGGTATTGAAATTTATTTATTGCCGAGTTGTTTTTTAAGTTTTTTCCTGCTTCTTGGCACACGGTCTAACAGCTTATAAAAATAATTTAAGCAAAATCATAATTTCGATTAAAATTCCTGCCTCCCCCAAATACCCCCCCCATTTAACACGACTTGTAATAATTCACTTTTATTGAGGTCATACTGTCATTGCAGTTACAATTTGTTCAAGATCGGAGTGCCGCAATCGAATACGTAGGTCAAAACAAATCGCTGCACAATCGAAAAAAATTGCGATTAACAATATTCGTTCGATAAAAGTATTAGATATATGAGATATCTGATTGCGGATTTTGAGCTTAAGTAAAAATAATAAATTAAAGTTCATAAAAATTGTTTTTTTTAAATAAATGTCTGTGCAAAGCTTTCGCTAATACAATCCCATTAAAGCGATCCAAAAGTCAATTGTTTTCACATGTCGCACACGAAAAAATATTGGAACCAGTTCGAAGCAAATGGGAAAACGCGAATAGTCGGTTAGTGGGTCTATTCGAAGCTAGAGCGCATTTTGAAAATGGTTATAGAACCGCTTTTCAGCTTTTCCACATTTTTTTTGTTTTTAACTTTTATTTTTACGGCTGTCACGTAGGCCAAATCGAAACTTTGTTTCAATCCAATGTAAATGTCTTGAGTGAAACATAAACTTGCCAGTTTATGAGCTTATAAAATAAATAAATTTCAGTTTTCAGAGGGGCGTGGGCCAAGAGAAAAAGAAAGAAAAACGGAATCAAAAACAAAACAAAGCTGATAAAACGAAGCACGAGGAACAAAAAACAGGTTGTTTTTTTTTTTGGGCGGAGTGGTAAACATAACAGGTTTTCCTCATTGCTTTTTTTGATTTTTGCCCAACTTAAAAATAAACCCACAGTGCGTGAAGAAAAACGAAGAACAATGCACTCGTCTAAAAATAAATCCCAGCCACTGGGGGCTTGGCCTTAAAGATGGGGATTTTATGAACCCTTGAAGGATATACCATATGTACAGGGCAACAAGTGTTTTTCAAAGACAAAGTGCACTTATTTGTGTACATTTGTCTGCTTTTAACCCCTCGGATATCAGATTCCACTGCGGAAACCCATCATGCATATGCAAACTGAACGATTTCAGTTCGGTTCGTCTCGACTTTTGTCTTTGAAAGTCTATATCTGAAGGTCGTGGGTCTCGGCCGTTGGATTCTCCCTCTCTATCGCTCTACCTCCGTCACCGGTTCGTATAATAATTACCGCGAATGCAAAAATTTGTTGAACGCGTGATTAATGATTGGCTTTCCATTAATTTCTAGTCTCTCCAAAGTCTCTTTCGTCAACCAGTGACGCCCAATAAGGGGTGTTAATGCAATCAAGCGCTGCAAAATTTAAATTCATTCAAAGAAAATCGATACAGCACCCGGAAAAGGTTTCAGTGTACTTTAAATAAGACTTCAGAATGAGCAAAACGATTGGTAGTGTCTTTAGAATAAGGAACATTTTTATACCAATAGGAATCTTGCGGTGATCGACAAGTACATACATATAAATTGTTTTTGACGAATGGAAATGTACTATTTTTGAAATAAAATTGAATTAAATTTTGCCGGTCAATTACAGAAAAACAAGCAAACCAGAAACCAAAGAAAATTCAATAGATCGAGCACAAAGTGTATAATTGAATAGATCACTGAAAATAATCATTGGGAATCAGTGGGTATCTAAAGAAGAAAGCTAAAAATATTCAAATCTTTTCTTAAAAATGGTTGTGTGGATTAAAACCACTACACTCAGAAAATGAATCGCCCTGAATTTTAGAAAATCGCCTATGGATTTGCTTCACTGGCGATTTTTTTCTTTAAAATAAAAAAATTTTCTACTGGTAAAGAAAATTTTCTTCCAATTAATCAAAATTCATTAAATTCAAGAAATATTCCAGAAATATAGAAAAAAATCGCCAGTAAAGCAAATCCAAAGGCGATTTTCTAAAATTTTTTTTTGAGTGTAAGAGGCCCCTTATAGCTATACAAAATATTCCTAACTAAAAATGAAATCATAATTAAATCTCTTGGGGATCATATGTACTTCTTGTATAAAAATAATTTCAGTTCATAAAAATAAACAAAATACCCCTTGCAAACTGAGAAGAAATGGGAAACCCATTGAGATCCCCTCATAAAGTCGTACCCACTAAAAGCAAACCCTTCTTTGTTAAAAAACTTCTTAGATAAATATGATTATAGATCTTCAAAATAAACGAAATACCCCATGGAAACCGGGAAGAAATGCGAAAAGCAACGGATGACAACCAAAGCCGCGACGATCGCTACGAAGAGGGCGAAAAAGAAAGCAGACGCTTATGCAATGGGCAAACAAGCGATCTAAGCAGAGCCGATGGAATTACAATCGGGGGATCGCATAATTGAATGGGATACTGTGGGTCTGGGTATCAGGATTATCCAGTACTATATCTTTCGATCCACATGACTCACCTTCGTTTCTCCTTTGGTTTGCCGCTGGCCGTGAGATTGGATTTTGGGGCTGAAGAAGATGAGGAAGAAGATGGGGAGCCAGAAGACGAAGATGGTGGGGAGGAGGAAAACGAGGAGGAGGAGGAGGAATTGGTGGCCACCGATTGCTTCTGTTTCTCGGCTGCCGCTTCGATTGTATCAATTAACGAAACCATTTTGTCGCCGGATTTCCAAATGCAGCAGCATTCAAAAAACACAGAAAAAAAAGATTTGTCGATGTGGAGGTTCCTGTTTTTCCGTTTTCTTTATATATTTTCTTATCGCGAGTTTTTCCAGCACTTTTTGAGACTCTTCGTTGTTTTTGTTGTTGTTGTTTTGTATTATTTATCGCTGTTACTTTCGTTATGAAAACTAGCCGTGCGCTTGTATTGGTTGCTTGCGTTTGTATTGCTGGCACTACGCACACACACACTATATAACACGGTTTTCCTTTTAACAATTTTACTATTATTACCACTTTATCTGTTAACACCTTTCACCTTGATTAATTTTGAATTAATATTTTCGATTTCTGATCGACAAAATACAAAACAAAACACAAGGTTATTATATTATTCCACTGCTGTTGCTGTTGTTGCTGTTGTTATTGTGGTTGTAGTCTCAACTGGCCAATTGCACTTTGGTATATTCGATAATTCGAGTATTCCTATTATTGCACCTTGAAGTTCTGCACCGATTTAAAGTTGAATTCGCGTTTTAGCATCTCACAAACGCGATTGATCAGCAATATATGCATTTTACACTGCGCCTACAGCATTTTTCTCTCCTTTGCACACGAAATCTTAATACGCTTTTATTTTTCCTTTTCCTTTGCTCGCTTCTTCGTAAACAGTGTGGCAGCAGAGTGGCGAAAATACCGCTCCGAAATGGGCTAGCGCGTCTGGAAAATACGGAAAATATACTGCAAAATCACGAAAAGGAAAATAACGGCCTATTGGGTACAGTGAATACCAGCGAAAGAGAATTTAAAAAAATATGTGGTGAAGTGAAGTAGGACTTTTTTCCCCCTCTGTTTTTAGTTTTTTTTTAATTTATTTTTTTATTTATTTGTTTGTTCCGTCATGTAAATGCAACCCAAAACTTAATATACTGTACCTATCAACAACTTTTACTTGAAATATTTTTTTGTTTGGGATCTAAAATATTTACATAGCCTCCAAATATTTAAAAAGCGTATTCAAAATTTCTTCTTTATAAGATGGTTTACACAACACTTTCTTATTCGCCTCATATTTAGGGTTAAGTTTCTTATACATATGTATGTATATAGACAATTTTTTTTAGCTGAATTGTTATTAAACAAGAAAGGAAGCTACCTTCGGCCAGCCGAAGCTTATATACCCTTGTAGATAAAAGAATACTCACTCGGTGCAGTTCCAGTGATTCCAGATTCAGCGTTTCGATTTATTTCAATTTTGTTTTTAAGTAGTCAAGAATCAAAACGCCTACTTCCTACAAAGTTACAATGAATTTTCTTATATTTGATTGGGAGCCTTAAGATATAGTGGTCCGATCCGGCTGGCTCCGACATATGTACTACCTGCAATAGAAAGAAGACCTTCGGGAAAGCTTCATCGCGATAGCTTTAAAACTGAGAGACTAGTTCGCATAGAAACGGACAGACGGACAGACAGACAGACGGACAGACGGACAGACGGACAGACGGACAGACGGACATGGCTAGATAGACTCGGCTATTGGTGCTGATTAAGAATATATATACTTTATGTGGTCGGAAACGTCTCCTTCACTGCGTTGCAAACATCTGACTGAAATTATAATACCCTCTACAAGGGTATAAAAACAATGGTGCCTGGATTAGCGAAGAAAGCTTCTGGCAAAGTCGGTTGGCATTTCTTTCGTACTCGATGTTCCGTTGGCGAGAAGAGAACTAGAGTCTCAAAGGACACACTGGTATTAACCTACAAAGAAATCAATTAGAAGTGATGTTTTTTTTTAAGCCATAAACAACCTACCTATCTAAGTTATTTTTAATTTTAATTTTGTGCCGTGCCCATCTAATTGTTTACAAGTAACGTTCACACGGATTTCGGTTTAATCAACATTTCAGAATAGCTAAGGGGACCGACTCTATCCCAATAAAAAGATACATGGTATTCTCCATTAAGGCTGTAATAAAAAAATACTATTAGTAATTCAATTTAAAATAGTTTCTAGTTTCATATGCATACCCTGCGCCACAATTTATGTACCACCAACCACCAGCTCGATAAGCGCAGTTCTCATTTATTAAATAGTCATTGTCCCGATCAAATGTGGTGAAGTTCATTCCTTTGTAGTCGCTCATAATGTCGTTAATGGCACTTGTCCCACGAAATGTCCCCAGTGTTTTTAGCTTATAGAATTCCTGTTCGTTTCCAATTTGGAAGTTATCATAATGACCGGAGCCAATTTTTCCACTTTCAGCGACAAGTTTAATGCTCAGTTCGAGGGGCTTATCCTTAGTCATCTGATGCAGATTCTCTAATCCGATGAAAAACTCTCCTGTAAGGCTTCCAAATCCTTTCTTATAATCATTCCAGTTTCGATTAAAGTTTATTGAACCGTCTTGACGCCTTTGAATTGTCACCCAGCCATTTGAATTGCAGGGTGATAAAATTTCGGGTTTATATATTTCGTAAATTACATTTGCACTGCCACTTGAACAACTTATTCTTCCGCGATAAATGGAAAGTTCATCGGTCATTTTAGTTATTTTTTCCAAATCAGATTTAGTTTGATTGTTAAGGCCATCGATTTGATTATCTTTGGTCGAAATCTGTGCACTCAGGTTTATCAGTTGGTTCTTTTTAATTTCCATTTCCTCCTTTATTTTCATAATTTCTTCACCTTTATCTCTAAGTTCTTTGTCTTGTCGCCCCAGCTCTTTTAATTTATTAGCGATTTCTTTATTTTTAGCATTTACCAGCTCATCTTTGATTTTGAATTGTTCTGTGGCATTCAAAAGCTGCTTTCGCAAGTTACTAATACTTACAAACATAAAATTCACCTTTTCACTTCCTTCGCGGATTTGCCTATCCTTTGATTTTATAAGATCTTTCATATCGTTAAGTTCTTTTACTTTTGAACTAATTAGTTCATCTTTGATTTTTAATTGACCTTCCGCATTTATCAACCTACTATTCAAGGCTTCAATAGGGATTTGAAGTTGCCAACTAGAATTTGCCAAATCCATTTTATTAGTTTTTTCTCTTATTATATCATCTTTGGATTTTATAAAATCATCTTTCAATTTTATGAGCTCATCTTTTAATTTTATGAGTTCATCTTTGTATTTGAGTTGAACTTCAGCGACTGCCAACTTACTCTTTAGATCTTTAATAGTGCCCTCCGTAATAATTAAATCTCTCAGTTTATCTATGGAATTGGTGGTAGAGGAAATTGAAAAACAATACGCATTACATGTGCTTTCCAGATTCAGATGAGGCGATGGCATTTCCTGCAGCTCAGTGGCACCGTCAACGAGATATAGCTGCTTCCGGACCAAAATCAGCAGAAAAATAGGAAAGATGAGCGACTTCATTGCGTATACTTTGTGAACTGATACTGGCGACTGCGAAAATGGAACTGAGATTCTGACCTATCCCCCAAAATCGCCAGACTATGTACTATATATGTTTTTAAAAAAATAAAAACATCTTATCAGTCTCACATAATCAAGTCTCTAAAGAGTATGCCGGCTGCGCTGTAGCAAACCAAAGAAATTAGACAATATTTCGAGTTTCTATAATTTTCTATAAGCTACCTATTTTTTACCCATATCCGGTAGATATATATTTCCAACAGTCATGATAGATTTTGAATATGATTGGAGCCCGATCGGCCACCAACTATGACAAGCTTTATTTATTTTGTACGAAGTCACACCTAGCTCTTATCTTTTAAGTATTTTGAATACGACACATGGACTCCCGCCTAGGCCTTGGGCACCACCGAGTTGCTCTTGGGCGTGGCCACCTCGTCGCCGCCTCCGGGATTGCCCACATCCGCCAGCGGATCAATCGAACCGGCGGCATTTGTGTCCAAGGCATTGCCCAGTGCATCATCATCGTCGTCATCGCCGCCGGATTTGTTGTACACGGTGGGATACTTCTGGAAGCAGTCGCGCATCTTGGTGAAGGCGTCGTAGCAGTCGGATCCCTTGGGATCGGCGGTGCTGTTCTGGAAGCAGGAGAAGGCCTCGCGGAAGTCGACGCCACAGGGACCGGTGGCCATGCCGCCGAGGCAGGGGCAGCTCCAGTTGATCTTGCCGTCCTTGGTGATCACGCCCTCCGGCTGTTCCGGCGCCGGCAGCTCGATGGTGCTGGCCGCGGCATGATCCTCCTTGGTCACGAAGATCACCTTGTCCTTGCCGAACTCCTTGCAGTATGAGAAGGACATGATCTCTGATCTCCTAGTTAAATGCTATGAACTCCTCGGCGGATTCCTCGAAGTTTATTGGCCGGCGGGATGTGCTCAGCACCTGGAAATGGCAGGGCACCTCCTGGTAGTAGCCGATCAGGGCTATAGCTATGCGAACGCGTTCCAGGAAATCCTCGGAAACGCGGAAAATTGATCGCTTTTGGCTCGAGCTGAATTTCACGATTTCCAGCGCCGTTTGGCCACCGATTTCACCGAAAATACTGGCCAACGAGTTGAGAATGCAGCCGCAGAGGAAAACGGGCGTCAAGGTCACAGAGTCTGGATCACGGAGTTTCCTGGAAGGATCAAAACATGCATTACTTTCACTTTTTCTATCTCCAAAATGATGCACGTGCGCACGTGGGGAATATGTAGCTCTATGATTTCCGGAACTCACAGCTTCACATCCAGATATTGGTAACCACTCATGCTTCGGTTAAATGCGACATCCAATTCCCGGTTATTTCTGCACGGGGTCCAATTTTCAGCCGGAAAGTTCGGGAAAAGTCGTCCAAAAATTGCCGGTCAGTGTGTTTTTTTTATGTAATTATTTTCCCTTTTCACCGTTTCTTTCTGCTTTTCGAACAGCTGTGCGCAGGCAGAGATGGCAGCTCGGCGGCTTACACTGAGAGATGGCTAGAAAAAGCTAGAAAATATAGCTAGCTTTGTATTCATAAATTTGTTCCATTGAATTACTAAAAATTAAAGAAAACGGTTCCAGAATTACATTTAAAATATATACATTTTTGTGAGAATTAAATTATAGATTAAAATGCTCAATTTCCATATCGCTCAGCTTTACGAGATTCTTCTCAATGCTCTTCTCAAAGTCTAGCGTTGATTTGGATGTTGCCAGGACCTCAAAATGACAGGGAGTCTCCTGGTAGTGGCCTATTAGATTTAAAATGATGCGTATCACTTCGTATAGATCCTCTGGGACTCTAAAAATAACACGTTGTTGCTGGGCGCAGAACTTAACGATCTCCAAAGTGGGCTTTTCCTCGCAGAAGAAACTGTCCAAGGCATCGAGGACGCAGCTACGGAATAGGGCAGGGGTCAAAACGACAGCATCCGGATCTCTCAGTTTGCTGGGAAGTTTTTTTTAAATTTTTAATACAAAAAAATGTTCTATTTAAACAACTAAGTTACCTGAATTAAGAACATTCTGCTACTTACAGTTTAATGTCGAAATAGTAATATTCCGTCATGGTGATCGTGCGATGTCCTCTTTAGGCGGTGCCAACTGTGGTGATATTGCAATGCCCACGCGTTCGGGGCGAATGGCAAACTGCTGATTGCTTTTTGTGCGAGGCGCCAATCTTTTGACGAAATTCCCGAATCTCAAGCAAAACATAGAATTTAAAAACAAAACTCAAAAACATTGACTTTAGAGCTGTCAAATGGATAAGCTAACAAATGCCCCGGCGGCGCAGGAGGAGGAGGAGGAGGGTCCGCTCAGCGTGGCCAAATTAATGGTGAGTGATCACGGTAGATCTTGTCCAGAATCATCATAATTCCTTCTTCAGGGCGGCAGCATTACGGCCAAGGACATCAAACTGCTGCAACAGGCCAGTCTCCATACCGTGGAAGCCGTGGCCAATGCCACCAAGAAGCAACTGATGGCCATTCCCGGTTTGGGTGGCGGCAAGGTGGAGCAGATCATCACGGAGGCCAATAAACTGGTGCCGCTGGGCTTCCTCAGCGCCCGGACCTTTCATCAGATGCGAGCGGATGTGGTGCAGCTGAGCACGGGCTCCAAGGAGCTGGACAAGCTGCTGGGCGGCGGCATTGAGACCGGTTCCATCACCGAGATCTTCGGCGAGTTTCGGTGCGGCAAGACGCAGATTTGCCACACGCTGGCGGTCACCTGCCAACTGCCCATCAGCCAGAAGGGCGGCGAGGGCAAGTGCCTGTACATCGACACGGAGAACACATTTCGGCCGGAAAGATTATCGGCCATCGCGCAGAGATTCAAGCTCAACGAGGCCGAGGTGCTGGACAATGTGGCCTGCTCGAGGGCCTACAACTCGGACCAGCAGACGCGGCTCATCCAAATGGCAGCGGGCATGCTCTTTGAGTCGCGGTGAGCAAAGGATAACCTTGTATTAGTACCCATAACTAACCCATTTAACCTTCCAGTTACGCCGTTGTCATTGTGGACAGTGCCATGGCTCTCTATCGTTCGGATTACATTGGACGCGGTGAGCTGGCCGCCCGGCAAAACCATCTGGGCCTCTTCCTGCGCATGCTCCAGCGGCTGGCCGATGAGTTCGGCGTGGCGGTGGTCATTACCAACCAGGTGACCGCCTCGCTGGACGGCGGACCCGGCATGTTTGCCGGCGATGCCAAGAAGCCCATCGGGGGCCACATCATGGCCCACTCCTCCACCACGCGGCTGTATCTGCGAAAGGGCAAGGGCGAGACGCGCATCTGCAAGATATACGATTCACCCTGTCTGCCGGAATCAGAGGCCATGTTCGCCATTCTGCCGGATGGCATTGGAGATGTCAAGGAGGGCAACTGATTTTGAATGCTTCACTTACTTTAGATTACACCAATTTAAGCTTCTTTACTAATAATAAACTATTCTTTTTTATGTTTACTAGAGCCCTGCGTGAATTGTTTTATCATAGAATGCCATGAAATTTCGGATTTGTGTAATTCAGTTCTATGTGAAATAAATCAGGGACCGTAACTGTTATGAGTTTTATGTTAAAAATCACATTTTAACAGTTATTTTCGGATTCGTAAAGTAAAACTCAAAGAATAACTGTTATTTTTTGAGTTTTATAATAAAAGTTGACAAATAACTGTTATTCGTCGTGAACAAAAATAAAACTCAAACTTGATTTATGGTAATTTTGTGGGTAAAACAAATTTAAAAAAAATAGTTATACAATATGCACGTTGGCTTTTTTTTAAAGATTTTTTAGCATGTTTTTTAAATGTCAAGGGAATAATATATACATAAAAATCAAATAAATGAAAATCATTACGGATTTGTAAACTACAATGGCTAACAAAAGTAATGGTGTATTTAATAAATTTTAGGACTCTTCTAAGTGCATGATTTTTTTGGCAAGAAAAATGTACAATAACAGTTATTTTCGGTCCCTGAAATAAATTGAATGTTTTTCTAATTTGCCAGTTTTTTTTTTGCTTTCTTTTGAGAACAAAAAGTAAAACATTTTTAACAAATCAATGTTAACAGCTTTAATAAAATTCAGGCATATTTAATCCCAAAATTATGGCCCATTCTTCTTTAAAAGAAATGGTCGTTTGAATTATTTCGGAATTCATTCAATTCTATTAAACTTAAAATTCAAATTCATTCAATTCTATTAAACTCGAAATTCTAGTTAATTCATTCATATTAATCAAGAAATTCAAAATAATTCATTGAATCCATTCATGCAGGGCTCTAATGTTTACCCATCTTCAGAACATATATTTGTAAATTCAAACAAAGGCTGAGAGTATGTACCATCTATATATTTAATTCATAATCAATCAAAATCATCTACACACTTAGTAAATATTTTTAAGGGGTTCCGAAGCTAACAAGCTTTTATGTCTGGTGGTAATATTAAGCGGATGCGCTGCACGATATGCACCTCTGGTAGGCAAAAACAGATGTAAGGGGGTTCGGTTTTTCATATAAGGAAATTAAATGAATGTAATCCTAGAAATTAAGCAATAGCACACTCGGCTTATCAAAACTTCGTCGTCCAGAGCAAGATCTTCAGTTTGCCCGGCCTTTAACGCTTAGTAGTAACTGCAAAGGAAAAAGTTTTAATGGGAATTCGATTGGCTGTCTTTCAAACGCACCTTATCGTACAGTTGGACCAGCAGAGCTGGCCCCTAAACACTCATCTTCTACTGCGGAACGGCCTCGTCGGCGGCGGAGCTCTCCTTGGCCACAACCAGATTGTTGTAGCTGCGCTCGTTCATTCCGACGCGCAGGTTCTCGTTTATATTCTTCGTGTACGTCTTGTAGACCTTGACCTTCTCGCAGAAGTCAATCCAAAAGTTATCCTCGCCCTCGGGCTCCGGATTGAAGAGGCCCTTGAAGCCATCATATATGCCGGAGGAGACCTTGCGTATGATCTGCGCCTTCTCCTTGAACTCCACCTCGTCCGACAGGTCCATCTTCCAGAGCTCCAGGTTGCCCACATAGCGACGCAGCCGCCGCATTATGTCCACGCACTCGGGATTGCGCAGCAGCATCAGTTTGGTCAGCTCCACCTCCTTGAACTGCTCGAGAATCTCCAGGCACTTGCCCACATTGGCTCGCCGCAAGCCCAGGCACTCGCGCAGCTGCTGGGAGAGTTGAATGAAGTCGCGCTCCATGAACAGAGCGTCCTCGTGCTCGATCAGCTCCTCGATGAACCGCAAGGCCTCCTGCTTGGGTATCTCCACGCGCGACGGCTCCACCACGATCCGCCCGGGCATGGTCTCCGGCTCCAGTTGGCCGCTCTCCAGCTTCAGCTTCAGCTCCATGGCCTCGGAGCGCGACTTCTCCTTCCAGGCCTCCTCGGCAGCGGCGCTCTCGAAGATCTCCGGCTTGTTGTAGTTCATGTCGATGCCCAAACACTTGGCAGTGGGCATGTATACCAAGAGCACGTTGTCCCGAATGTTCTGTAGGGGGAAAAAAGGTACAGGTTTGGTTATTTTTGACAATTTAAAATGCATCAGGTGATGGGAAGGTTTAAAATTATAAATTAAAATTTGAGTTTTAATGTGTTGCTCATTTTTAACTGCATTTTTGGTGAAAAACTCTAGATTTAAGGGGGAAATTCTACTTGTTAACTTAGGTCAGGTACAATTGGAGTACCTACCTAGCTACCTTGACGCATTTTAAGTGACATTTGACATTTTAAAGTTTGGCTTATTTTCAAATTGAAAATTCCAACTGAATTTTTAGTATAAATCTGTAGATTTAAAAGAAAATTGTGTGTTTTAAAGGAGTATTCTTACTTGTTAACATAGGTCAGGTACAATTAGAGTACCCAGCTATTTTGACGCATTTTAAGTGACATTTGACATTTTAAAGTGTTACTTATTTTCAAGTGCATATTTTGTTAAAAAAAAAACTTAATTTTAGGAGGGAAATCTATGTTTTAAAGGATTATTCCTACTTGTTAACTTAGGTCAAATACAATTAGAGTACCTAGCTTTTTTGACGCATTTAAAGTGACATTTGACACTTTAAAATGTTTCAACTGAATTTTTAGTGTAAGTTTATAGTATTTAGGAAAAATCTGTGTGACGCCTTTTAAAAGACATTTGACATTTTAAAGTGTTGCTTATTTTCAACTGCATGTTTTGTAAAAAAACCCCAAATTTAAGAGGAAAATCTATGTTTTAAAGGATTACTCCTACTTGTTAACTTAAGCCAGGTACAATTAGTGTGCCCAGCTACTTTCCCCCATCACCGTGACCTATTTAATGGGCCCATACTCACATTGATTGGCCTTGCCCGCTTCTGAATGGGAGTCACCGCCGCGGTGGGCTTGGATTTCTTGACGGACTTCTTGCCGGACGTGGTGGCCGGGGCAGCGGGAACGTGATTGGCGCCCAGACCTTCGGTGGGAACGCGCCGCTTGGCCGGCGGAGGAGCTGCCTCCGTGGCGGAGGAGGATTTGCCTTCGCTGTCGCCGTCCACATGGCGTGGCGGTGCCTTGGACTTCCGGTTGCCGCTCTTCTTCGGCTTGTCCGCCGCAGCCGCCGTTGGAGCAGCTGGCTCATCCGTGGCCTCCTTGGGCTCCTCCTGCTTGACCGCATCGGTGGAATCAGGAGCCGCTGCCTCCTCGGCGCCGGGCAAATCGATGGGCGCCGAGTCCTCGCCGCGCATCGCACTCTCAATCTGCTCGATGGCGTCGATGAACTTGGCCCGCTTCATGATCTTCTCGGTGGCGAACCGCTCCTTGTTGTCCGCGTAGGGGAACAGGTCCTCCAGCTTGATGTTGGCCGTCTCCCCAGTGCCGTAGAAGTAAACATTGTACTTCTTGTTGTTGTTGCTCTTGGTGATCTTCGCCGGCCACGGCGGATAGCCCTTCACCTTGGCGAACACCAGGTCGCCGATGCTGTACGACTTGGCAGCCTTTTCCTTGCCCATCGTGGTTTTCGTCTAGCTTGGCTGGCTCGCGTGCAATTCCAATTTCCAATTTGTTTTCCCGGAACTGTGGCGTCTGCTTTTTCTGGCGCTAGATGCAGTTAATCGATGGTACTAAACACAGTATCGATGGATACCGATAGTTTAATTGCAATTTGCCAGCGCTAACGCCTTGGAAATTGGGATGGCAACGCTGCCGGCGACCAGGTGGCAACTCTTTTCGGCCGATATTCCGATTTCGACTGCGTTTCAAATCCGATGTTAGACGCACTTTTGAATCGCATATTAAATTATATATTTGAAGGTCTTTTTCTTTCAATTATGTACGTGGCTTGGCATAATTTTGGTATAGCAGTAATGATCACAATAATCACACGAAGAAACTATTCTACAGATAAAGTTTAGTTACATCCCTTCAGTTCCAGAAGTCACTTTCACTCGCGAATCACCAGGTGAATCACCATTCACAGGTCATTTGTCCCTCGTGACGCACTGATGACACCACATAGAGAAAATTGTACGGGATGACCGCTTTTTCACTCAGGACAAATGAAATTTTTTCAAAGTCACCGGTGATATCACCAGTGACTTCAGCGAGAACTTTTTCCGGAGTATTTCCCCCATGAGAACGAATTCCCGGGCGATGAGATTCTTGGCGTCTGGGGCCAGATCGTGGTCCTGAATAGTGCTTTCCAGGTAAACGTCGATTGCCTTTTGGAAACTCGCCTCGTGGAACACCACCTGGTAAGCCTTTGCCAGGGGCACTGAGCGGTTTTAAAATGTCTGTGGCGCCCACACCTTTAAAGATTTCAGATAAGTATAAATGCAATTTTGTTGTGTATATTTATACCTATCGAAATGTAGAATACATTTTTTAAATCGGACCATTCGTTAAAAAGTCTTGTCCGATCAAAGTTTTATACCTCCCTCGCACTTCCTTTAGCTGAGTAACGAGTATCTGATAGTCAGGGCACCCGACTATAGCGTTCTCTCTTGTTTTTAATGTTAAAGTCTTCTTGAAAAGGTCAACAAAGGTACATTCCGTGAACTCATAATATGATTAATTTTTAAAAATAGGTTCCGAGAATTATACTACATAGTCGTGATGTTAAAAAACACATAGAAAAGACACTCTTATCAATTTTTTGTTTAAAAGCTGATTGGGTAAACGAAGACTTAAGCAAGAGAGAAAGCTTGCCTGTATTCCTTTATCGACAAAATTTGATTATATACTTCTTCCCAAACGAGACTATTTTTTGAGCTCGGAGTATAAATATGAGCACATCTGTGGGTTGGATTTCAAATCAGTTTTTAGTGGCTAAACCTAAGTTCGCAAAACAAACATAATGAAGTCGGGCTTCATCGCGGTTATTCTAGTAATTTCGGTCCTGGAGCAAATATATCTGACTGACGGCGCCAACGGAAAGACGGTACCGCGATCTTCTCATTTGAATTTGAACCTGGGAGATACATGCAACGGCTACTGCTTTTCGATCATCACGCCAATCATCGATAAAGTTTGTGAAGTGAATCCAGCAAATACTACAAATTCAATAGATGAACTCAACAGAAAGTTAATTTCAACGGAAGCCACTGTTACACAACTTCAAAATAAGCTGGCCGTTGCTGAGGGGCAGATAAAATCCAATAATGATATTAACAGATTACAAAGTCAATTGGCATATTCCAACTGTCAAATTCAAATCAATGGAAAAGATAAGGAAATTGCCGGAATTGTCAATAACATAAATATTAGGTTGAAAATTGCGGAAGAACGACTAAAAACCAAAGATGAAGTAATAAATTCGAAAGTAAATGAAATTAAGGATACAACTGAAAACATTAAAATCAAAGACGATCTTCTAAAATTAAAAGATAAGCAAATCCTCGACCAAAGCGATAAAATAAACTCCATGACAGAAATTATTAGTGACTTAAAAAGAAAGTTGATGAAAGCAGAAGAACAATTAAAAATTAAGGATGAGCTTATAAATTCAAAAGTAATAGAACTTACGAACACAACTGAAAACCTTAAAAACAAAGAGGATCTCATAAAATCAAAGAATACCGAAATCTTGGAAAAAGATGACAAAGTGAAGAATTTGACAGCAACTATTGGTAAGTTGCAGAGTGAACTACGAAATGCAGAGCACCAAATTACAACCAACAATTTGCTAGTAGATGGTAATAATAAAGAAATCACTGATAAATCAGAAGAGCTTAGGGGAAAAGAAAAAGAAATTGAAGATAAAAGGAATGAAATTAAGAACATAAGGGAGGAAATCGAAAATAAAGATAACCAACTGAAGAACCTGAGTGCGCAGCTTTCAAATAAAGAGCATCAAATCGATAGCCTTAACAATCAGACTAAATCTGATACGGCAAAAATAATTAAAATGACCGATGAACTTTTATTGTGCCGCGGAACAGAAATTTGTCTAAGTGGCCGTCCAAATGGAATTTATGGAATAAATATACCCGAAATTGGATCATTTGATGCTCCGTGCAATTCAACTGGCTGGATGACAATTCAAAGGCGTCAGAACGGACATCTGAGCTTTAATCAAAACTGGAATGATTTTAAGAATGGATTTGGAAACGTAGCAGGAGAGTTTTTCATCGGATTAGAGAAGGTGCACCAGATGACTAAGGATAAGCCTGTCCAACTGAGCATTAAACTTGTCAATAAAGCAGGAGAAACTGGCTACGCTCATTATGATAATTTCCAAATTGGAAGCGAATGGGAATTCTACAAGCTAAAAACACTAGGGTCTTTTCGTGGGTCATCCATAGTGGAAGACCACTTAAGACAATTCCAAGGAATGAAGTTCACCACATTGGATCGGGACAATGACATTTACAATTACGTTGAGGAAGATAATTGCGCCAGATTTTACCATGGCGGTTGGTGGTACCATGCTTGGGGCTTTGGGTACGCATATGAAATTATAAACTAAATTAAGTATATCTCTAACAGACATTTTGATTGCAGCCTTAATTCAGAATACATTTCCTATTTTAATTGGGGTTCCTACGGTGACCTTACATCTTCTGAAATGATGATTAAGCCGAAGTACGTGTAAACTATACTTGTAAGCACGCACAATTGTTTACATTTTATTTATAAGAGCTGTTGTTATTGTATTACAAACTACTAATCATTGCAGCTTTTCCATATTGTTCCGATATGGGTTATATCGGAATTAATTTAATCATAAAAAACAAAAAAAATCATATCAAAATAAATCTTTGTAGTTTAATCGATTGGAAATTATTAAGGATTGCCGTGAGCAGGAAAAACATTTTTTCAGCTATCCTTTTTATCTCTTTTTATGGCTTTTTGATGGTCTTTCTGATTTCTGATGATCAGAGCTAAAGTGCCCTTTGACAAAACTGGCAACAATTTGATTAAGTATACGCAGTGTATCCGATTTGGCCCCATAATTACGACCGAAAAACCGTTGGCAAAGCTCCCACAGGTGGAATTCCCACCTCGTCGCACCCACACAAAACACCTTTACGCACAAACTCACCACATCAGCTGAAAACGGAAAACATTTTTCGAAAGCATTTCTGTTCGCCGTCGCTCAGTCGTCGTTGGTTTGCCAAAAAGAATAGTACCTTTGCCTCTATCGCTCACCCACTGAATTCCCAAAGACTTCAGTTTGTTTACCGAATCGAATCGCCGGAGAGAGATCAAGGCGGAAAATAGTTTTCGTTTTTGGCCTGGAATCCGAGGAATTTGTTTATTGCGGAGCGTAAATTCTTGATTAAGTGGCGCGCGCGAATTCTTGAGCACATAAACATGCAGGAGTTAATAGTCGGCGGAATCGGAGGAATCGTCTCATATGATAATGAGAATGTCGAGAACGAAAATCGCCAAAAGTGAGTCATTTGCACGCATTTATCGTAGGTTCTTGCTTAATCCATTTGTTTGCGGTCGCCATTTGAGCCCGTTTTTGTTAATCACAAACACTAAAGTGGCGCCGTACTAACTTATATAGTCAAGGTCGCGCTGATGTCACCTCAAGCGCACCTTAATTACTGACCGACAATATAATTAATGTAATTATCGCTCCTAAATAGAAATTTAACACGAACTTCTGACGTAATTGTGTAAATAATTTAACGTTATTTTTTTCAAAACTAAAAGATTTTTTATTTATGGTTATGGTCTGTGTTTTCTTTCTAACTACACTTTTTTAAAAATAAATCTTATATTGCGACTAATTTAATACTTTATCATTTAATAGAAATATTTTAATATCAAAAAAGAAGACATTCAAAATCTAAAATGTTTATATATTATATTTTTAAACATGTTAGCTTTTTAATTTTAATTGTTTATTATCCTGCTCTCAAATGTACACTTATAAGTATTTGTACCACAAGTCACGTTAAATTAAAATGTTTATATTTATTAGCTTTTCAAGGAAAAAACTTTACAGTTCTATTCCCAAATATGCACCCAATTTTGCCACATGCGTTTTTCAAATCCAATTTGTTTTTTGAACCAAATTCCATCCTGAATTCCAATGTATTTACATGTGGGCATATTTTGAGCATATTGACCCGCTTTTTCGCTATTGTCCCATTTATTCAACGCGGAAATCATGTCGGAACTGAATGTGTACACAGTCTACATTGAAATGCAAAATTTATGGGACTTTATTTAAATTATACTTGAGTTTTTCGGCGCATTCTTGGCATTCTTTATAAAAAGGCCCTGACTCTGACAATTGAATTCAAGGACACCATAATTGCTAAAATGAAATTAGTCATTTATCATGGGGCAGACGGAGGTCTGTCTGCAGGTCTGTCAAAAATTTTGGCAGTCGAAAAGTACCCAATTTTCTGGGTCCGAGGTAAAAATTTTAATATCTTGTATTTTAAGAACTTTTGCGAGTAGGAATTTTTTGCAATTTACAAGATATACAGAAGAATGGCGAATTTTATAAAATCATTGTATTTTTCCCAACCCACATTAACCTAGTTTTCGCCAAAAAAAAATCCAACCATGTGATTGACAATGCAAAACTAGCCCAGCGACAAGGATTTCAGATTCCACCACTCTATAGCGAATACATAAATAATGGAACTTGGAATTCGAAAACATCTCAATTTGTTCTTGCTTTTATTTTTGCATTCGGTGATAATAAAAAAGGAAAAACAAAAACAAAATCATCCATAAAGGCGGGCGGTGTGAAATATTTTAATTTCACTTATTTTCAAATCACAAAATTTTCTGCCGATGCCAGTGGTTTTTTGGTCTAGTGAAAGTGACCGATGATTAATTTTGGCGCCTTGCCAGCGGAATTTGTGATTATTATTTAATGACGACGCCAAGTCGCCGTAAACATATAATAAAACCAAAAAGAAAAACTGATTTGACACACAGAAAATAGCAATACTCTTATGAAGGTGAGGAAAATGAATAGGATTTTATTCAGATTTAAAATAATTTTGAAAAAATCCGAAAGCCCCATGGGTTTATTACAATAGGCTACTTAATTCTCTTATTGCATAGTTTTTGTGAAATTTGTGATTTGTTTTTCTTTAGTTTCTGAAAGGGTATATCCTCCTTCGTCGTTAAAATAAATCGGATATTTAATTTTACATTTACATTCCTCAGTGCAGAAATTTTTGGGGGGTGATGACAGAAGCGAAAAGATGAAGATTTGGGCACCTTCCATTTGATCTCTGATGAAAAGGGGTGATGTCCAGATGGCAGGCCTCTTTAGGAACATTAAGACTGTTTCTATCAAAAATAAAGATAAGAATATGTTGACAGATCTATTTTAATCCCAGACAAATATGACTAATCCATTTGTTTACTTAAAAAGCTAAAGATTTGTAAAAAATATTTGTTTTTGAATGCAAAGATTACTGACCTTTTACCCATTTCCAAATTTATTTAGCTTTCACTTCAATTGTAATTAATTGGTTGTTTAGTAAAACCAATTAAAAATAAAGATTTTGAAGACGTAGTAGATAATATTCCATTTGTACGATGACTGATATGTTTGTTTACGCATTGGCCAAATACCATTATAGATTCATTCTATTTTCACATCGCCTCCATTTATTATACACTCCGCGAAACTAATTATAAACAGGCATTTTTGAGGTGTACAGATACAAATTTGGGTATATACGTATATGTATCTTTGCAATATGTTTATTGTTTGTGCCTACGCAGCGCAAAAAACCATGACGTCGAGTGATAAATACGTAGGTGCTGGGATGGGATGGGATCTGCTGGGATTGGATGGTATGGGATGGGATCTTTTGCAGATGGTTGTTTTAGTTTCCATTCACAAAATTACCCTGGCTGTTTCATGTTGAAGAGCTTTGGCAGTACTACGCAAAAAAATACACGAATACCTGCCATTTGTTTATGAGCTATTTGTGTTTGGCTTAACACCAAATGTTCTCCTTTGTTCATTTGAGAAATGTTCTTATTTTATCGGTTCCTTCACCCTCTATTAATATACATAGGTGCATATATATGAAAATGCATCTGGTTATCCAGCCAAAAATTCAAAAATACGCAATTTTATTTGGCAGTATAACCGAACATTAAATACATATATATATAAAATATTACCTTAACCAAATTGAATGGAATTGCATAAGAATTTGGTTTACTATTGGGGTAAAACAATAAATTTGTTGGTTCAGAAATTTTTGAAAAATTCGCGGCGTGAATTCTTAAGCATCCTGAATAATATTCTTCTTTCAATTTAACTTAAAAATGGCTTGATCCACAATTTAAAAAAGGCATTCTCTCTACTTTTTTAATATTTAAAAAATTATAAAATTAATTTTAATAGAATTTTTTATATTAAACTATTGTTTTTCCTCGCTTTTTTGCAGCAAGCTTAGTGCCTCCAAGACAGAAGATCACACACCGTATCCTGGCCTCTCCCGACTCACCCCCTCCCTGATCCTTTGTGGAGCGGCGGCGGTGGTGCCCGCTTACATGGACAAACTGGGCGTGAGCTGCGTCATCAATGTGGCCCCCGAACTGCCCGACACACCGCTGCCAAGTCAAAAGAGTCCGCTGTATTTGCGGATTCCAGTTCAGGATCGTTCAGAGGCGGATTTGTACAGGCATTTCGATGAGGTGGCCGATCTGATCGAGGAAGTGCGTCTCTCCGGTGGCTGCACCTTGATTCACTGCGTGGCTGGGGTCAGTCGATCGGCCAGCTTATGCCTGGCCTACCTGATGAAGCATGCGGGGATGAGTCTGCGCGAGGCCTACCAACATGTCCAATCGATCCGGCCTCAAGTGCGACCGAATTCCGGATTCTTCCAGCAACTGCGGCGCTACGAGCAGGAATCCAGAGGCAGCAGCTCGGTGGCCATGGTGTACTTCGCATCGCTGGACAAGGAGATACCCGACATTTTGGAGCCCGAGTATCGGGCCATGGAGGATTTCTACCAGCGCTACCGCAGCTCCCTGAAGAAGCGATAGATCGCTAAGTCCACCACTCCACACACACTTAATCTTACTTGTGATACTCGTACCCTACTGCTAGACCTTAGATTAGTTGTTAATATTCTATGTGTGCTTATAGATAACCATGAAAATGCTGAAAATTACATAAGATGTATGCTTAAACTTCGTAATTACAAATACACTTTTATTTTCATTTAAGAACATTGAAATTACAGCGTTAATTAATCAGTTTCAGTAACTTCAATGAATCACACACAGTTATTAGCGAACAAACAACACACTTGTATTATATTGTACATCATCATCTAGTATTATTTACACGTACTCGTATTCGTATATAGTAGCTAACTAAACCGTAACTCGTAGATTGGGGTACCTTTAAATGCTCACGTTGTATTGTACTTGGCATCCGCGGCGCGAATCGAAATGATATACAGATATGAGGAGGCTACAATGCGTATATGTACAGTAACACCTAGAATTCAGCATCTCAACACGAGCGACTTAGACGAGACTTAAACCGAAAGAAATAATTGGCTAGCTAAAAGGCAGAAGTAACCGTAAGTATACTCTAGTTCTACTCCGAGGCTAGGGGAATCTGCGGCTGCTGGTGCATTAGTTTCTTGAGGTTTTCGTAGGCCGTGTTCATGATGCCCCAGCTGATGAAGGAGCGGCCCGTGTTGAAGGCGCATCCGCGGTAGAAGTTTGCGATGCGGCAGTCGCGCTCTATGTAAATTCGCTTGCAGGCCTGCCAGCTGCCCTCTGACCTCTGGCCCATTTCGCTCTGCAGCGACACCTTGATCACGTTGAGCGGATAGAAAATTGTGCTAATGCTCGCCCCAATCACCGCGCCCGCCACGAACTCCTGGGCCGTCCGACTGGATACCGTTTGCTGTGGGTTGAGAAAGGTATTTTAATTAGGTTTTCCACGAAATACAAGGTGCGGTTTACTCACTCTATTGGGCAGTCGGACGCTGGCCTCCTCCCGCAGCACGAAGAACAACGCGTTGGACAGGCCGTTGCGCCAAAATACTGGTTCGAGTCCCCTGTAGAGCTCCCGATAGCCATGGTGGGCCACCACATACCTGGGGGATAATTAAGTAAATACAAGTGTTGGTGAGTTGGTTATATTCTTGTTTGTAAACAAAATTTGTATATATTTTTTTTAGATTTCTCTACATATTTATAATAGTTTTTATAGAGTGTTGTATTGTATTTTGATGAAGGTTCACACATGCATGGGAAAATTATTTATTTTTGCATGGTAATATGTTTCGCAAATTCTTCTGTTTATCGAACAATAAAAAAGTCTACAGTCTAAAGTGTTGAATAATTATGCCTCTTGAATGAACTGATTATATTTCGCCTGGTAATTGAAACCATTAATATTTGTTTATTAGAAGTTGAGAAGACTACACTCAAAATAAAATTAACCCTAAAGTCAAGGAAATCGCCCTACTTTTGTCTTCAAGACAAGCTCGCCCTAAATTTTAGGGTCACATTTTTCTATATTTTTGATTTTTTTTGACGTCATATTTCTAAATTTTAGGGTAATTTTACTAAATTTAAGGGCAAAAATTTCTAAAAAGTAGGAAATTTTCCTAAAAAATAGAAATTAAAAACAAAACAAAAAAACATGTTCAATCATGATTTTTTTTTTGTATATATGTTTATATTATGTACTCCTCCCTATATACATATGCAGGCGTTGTGTGTCTTGTATATTGTGAATGTTAAAGGTTATGTATTTATTATTATGTATTTGCGCTTGGATTTCTTATCTAACCAAAGCCAAATGTTGTTGTAAATGTGGACTACGGGACTGCGGAAGATTGGGAATGTACAAATTATGATTAGTTAATATTTTATCTTCATGAAAAAAACTTACATTGTTACTTGTCCGTCGGTGAGAATCGAACCCGGGTCTCCCGCGCGAGGAGCGAACGGCCTACATACTGGGCCATTGTAGCACTTAAATTTGCTGTGGCAAACCGAGCATTGTATGTAAAGGGTGAAGCGGACAACACATTTGAATACTAATTGCATAATTTTGACAATTCGCGTTTTACTTATTTACATACATATATACATATGTATATATTTATGCTATCGCAATTTATATTATGTGTAGTATATAGTATATAGCTGAATATAAACCAAATTATTTTCGGTTTACCGCTTGCCATCAATAAAAAAAAGGAATAAAAAAAAGAGTAAAAAATAAAAATTTAAAAAAAAAATACAAAAAAAATAAAAAAAAAGGTAAAAAATAGTTTGCTCTGGGACTCGAACCAGGGTCGATTCGATTTCTAACCAAGCGCTTTAACTGTCTGCGCTACAAGTACAGCCGCCCGGCAGCTGACAAGTTCTGGCATTGAACATTTTGGTGTGCCAGAGCATGTGAAAACAACTATTTCTATTTTTTAGAAAAACTTTCTACTTTTTAGAAAATGTTTCTATTATTTAGGGTTAGCTTAATTTTAGGGTTAGGGCACTCATTTTTAGAAAAGGTGTTGCCAAAATATTTTATTATTTTCGTTTGCCTTTCTATTTTTCAGAAAATAATTTCTAATTTTAAGGGCATTTTTTCTAGATTTTAGGGTGATTTTAGTTCATGGTAACCATTTTCTACATTTAAGAAAAACTTCCTGGATTTAAGGAAAACTTTCTTGACTTAAGAAAAATTTCCTTAGATTTAGAAATAACTTTCTTGTATTTAGAAAAAAGAAATTTTAATGGCGATTTTCTAAAATTTAGGGTTAAATTTATTTTGAGTGTATGCAGTTCTGAAATGCCGAATTCCCAACAAAAACTTCGGAGGTACGGAATATACATACATAGAAGGTATTACATACATAGTCCTTATCACTATTATCACTAAAACTGAACCTACTTATGGTGATATATTTTTGCTGGTTTAAAATTAATCTTATCATTTTTATGCCCTCGCAAATGGAGCTACCATACATTTTCTATTTAGCTTTCCCTTTTTGAATATTTTTGCTAAATTTCAATTTAGCCTTACTTTATTTTGTATTAATGAGCGCGAATTCTTTAGGAAATATGAGCTACCCACTTGGAAGTTCCTTCTATCCTGCTCAACTGACCCACTGGGAAACTATAGTTCCTTCTGACCTGCTCAACTGATCCTGCATCCCAACTTTATATTATAACTAGGATTGCGATTTTATGATATATTAAATAGACATTATTTTCAATCACAAACTTTGCTCACCTGAATGCTCAATTTAGCCTTACTTTATTTTGTATTGATAAACGCGAATTCTTTATGAAATATGAGCTACCCACTTGGAAACTATAGTTCCTTCTGTCCTGATTAACTGATCCTGACATACTAACTTTATTTTATAACTAATGCATGCGAGTTTACGATATATATTAAATAGCTATTATCTTTAATCACAAACTCTGCCTACCTGAATGCGTTGGGTGTGTTGGCGAAGTGCTGGTGGAACTTGGAGTCGGCCAGGAGGGTCTGCACCCTCTCGAAGGGCAGGAGGATGGACTCGGCGCTGCCGGCGACCACACCGGCGATCACCTTGGCTCCGTAGTCGTTCAGACGGTAGTCCTCAACGAGGTACCGCCGCGTCCCGTCGAACACGCCGAACATGATGGACAGGGAGATGGTCTTCTGGGCGAGCGGCGGGAGCATGCCGCGGTACAGGAAGCCCAGGCCCTCGTGTCGCAGCTGGGCGAAGGCCGAGGTGATGGGCACGCCGTGCAGCATTTGGCGGAATATCATCTTGTATATGGGATAGGTGGCCGCGATGTTGACGAAGGCGGCGCCGCAGCCGCAGGCGAACTCCTCCCACTGGAAGGCCCCGAAGAATCGGTCGGAGAAAACGCTCCCGCTGGGGGACTTTTCTAGTTCCATTTCTCCAGCTCCTCCGCCAGATGGCGGCACCCCCCTTTTCGGGGGCGGGTCGGTGGTTTTGGCCACATTCGGTGCTCCATCGTCTTTCATCTTGGTCTCTGATCCTAACTTCTATACGGGAGTGTGGAGAAGTGCGCATTTGTCACCGCGTTACCATTGTAACTACTCACACGCTCCGTACTCCGTTTTAGTGCTCGTTTGTTTTGATTGCGATTCACATCGGGTCGGGGTTTAATTATATAATAATGAAGAAGAACCACGGTATGACATCGACGGCGAGTGTGACCGTAGCTGGGCCCCTTTGGCAAAACTTAAGGACTCTGTTATCCAAAATTAGCTTGAGCTAAAGGGATTTATTAAATTAATTTTAAGTTTTTGAGTTAGTTTATTGGTCTTTTGCTAAAATTCTAAATATTATTTAAATTATGTTCATCTTGTGAGTCATGCAAAAAATATAAAAGCACTGACTACATCACTAGTTACACGGTAATCAGGACTAATTACTTTACAATTTAAAAGTTAAATACTTCTAATAAATAGCAATTAATCTGATTTAATTATTTCAAAATTGAAAACTCCATTACTAGATTTATTTGAAATATGCCTTAACTTTTTATAAATAGAAATTACTTTTATTTTATCTGGATTGCTTTTCTGAAATAAAAGTTTAAAAATAAATAAGAATGAGAAAAATAATATTTACTTACTACTGATTTGGTAAATATTAAAATTAGAAAATTATTTTTAAAAGCATCATTAACAGTGCGCCTAACAGCACACAGAACCAACTCTGATTTTCGATTAAGCGTTGCCACCCTCTCTTATTATTTATTCTCGAACCCGGTTCGAGTCACTACTTTCACGAATCGATGTTTCCCCACCTCTAGCCCTAACCTCAAATTTTTCTTTTCTGCCAACTATTAGACGGGTGCGTTTGTTTCTCCACGTTTTCCTTAAAAAAATTCGATCCACGTGCGTTTTTATAACTTTTTAGCCATAATTCTCGATGCCAGCTGTATTTAGTTCAACTCGGTTGTTGTGGGTGCTGTTTGCAAGTTAGCGGTTCGTATTTTGGCCAAAATTGGACCGATTCTTGTGAGTTCCTGAAGAAATGCGTTGGAAAGTGGGGGCGAAAACGAACCGGAACTGCATAAGCCACTACAACCTTGTTGATCTATAATTTAGCTGGGAATCTTCTGTATTATGGCTTGAATAGCGATAAAAACCATGCCAAAAATGATTTTCCCCAAGGAAAGTGTACTAAAAAGTGACTTTATTGTGCCCTTTCAGCATCAAGATGACCATCCGCCCAGCGTACAGGCCCAAAATCGTGAAGAAGCGCACCAAGCACTTCATCCGCCACCAGTCGGATCGTTATGCTAAGCTGTCGGTGAGTTACCCCCTTTAGATTATTGCCAAAAACCCCATATTTATAGTTACATTTTCCTCGCACTGTAGCACAAATGGCGCAAGCCCAAGGGTATCGACAACCGAGTGCGTCGCCGCTTCAAGGGACAGTATCTGATGCCCAACATCGGTTACGGATCGAACAAGCTCACCCGCCACATGCTGCCCACCGGATTCAAGAAGTTCCTGGTGCACAACGTGCGTGAGCTGGAGGTGCTGCTCATGCAGAACCGCGTCTACTGCGGCGAGATCGCCCACGGCGTGAGCTCCAAGAAGCGCAAGGAGATCGTCGAGCGCGCCAAGCAGCTGTCGATCCGCCTCACCAACCCCAACGGTCGCCTGCGTTCTCAAGAGAACGAGTAAGCTTAAGTTTCTTGAGTGGTTCTTATAACGTGGTCGGAATACAACTTTGAAAACGTTAATATACCTGGACTTTTTGATTAGGAAGCGGTGTGTGTGTGAATGGGGGTAGAATTGTGGATTATTGGAGTCTTATCTTGGTTGATATTATCCGCTTTATAGTAGATTCTACTTTGTTTACAGGGGTAATCACCTTTCGACTCGTAGAAGTATCTTAAAAAAACGTTTTAGTCGTTCATAACTACTGGGATTAGGAAATTTTAGTGCCAAAACAGTAGGGTATCCATAATTTTGTTTGATTTATTTATTTATATAGGCTTTATTGGTTTTACAATGCAAAAATGGACTTATTTTGTTACTAATATTGAATAATTACAATTGATAGTAAGGCGTAAATCAGAAATTTGAATATTTAAACAAGAAATTCATATAAATTCATGAAGCAAAGTAATATTCAATTAAATTCAATTGGAGAATTTTGTCATTCATAACTACTGAAATTAGTTATTTTTATTTATATAGGCTTTATTGGTTTTACAGTGCAAAATTGACTTATTTTGTTACTAATATTGAATAATTACAATTGAAAGTAAGGCCTAAATCAGAAATTTGAATATTGAAACAAGAAATGTATATAAATTCCAAAAAACAAAGTAATATACAATTAAATTCAATCAAATTCGCTTTCGTTCGAATACCAGTAAATTATATTTCTTGTAGGCGATCTTCTACAATAATAAAGTACAATGAAACGGAGGAGATATACTAGGGAGATACAATTACTATAGCTTATTTCAAGACCACGTCGTGATCGAATTGCAAGTGGTGCTCCAGCTCCTTCTTGTTCTCGAAATTGGTGCTGCATATCAGGCAGAAGCCGCTGTTCTCATCGTTGTCCGACATAATGACGGTGACGGCGGCCTCCGATTCATCGACGTCCACGTGCAGCTCCTCCACCACCTGCTGCTCGTCGGCGGGCGCCTCCTCCCGCACCCCGTAGACGACGTCGCCCTCGTGGGTCTTCATGTGCATCTTCAAGGTGTAGCGCTCGGTGAAGGACTTGGGGCACACGGAGCAGTAGTGCCGGGGCCGGTTCTCCTTGTGGATGAGCGTGTGATGATTGAAGGTCTTGCGCGACTTGAACGACACATTGCAGATGCTGCAGATAATCGGATTCTCCTCGGCCTCGTGCCGCAGCCGATGGTTGTAGAGCAGATTGTCCTGCGAGAAGCGCAGGCCGCACTTCTCGCACTGGTACTTCTTCTTGTCCCAGTGCATGCGCATGTGGCGCAGCGTATTCACCGGACGCGAGAAGCTCTTGGGGCAGTAGCGGCACTGCTTCTCCGTCTTGCCCTCGTGCAGGTTCATGTGCAGCTCCAAGTACTCCTCATCCCGCCGAATGACGCCGCAAATGGGGCAGATGTGATTCGGCTGCTTCGAGTGCTCCTCGCTGGTGTGCTTCTGCAGCTGATACCACGAGTTGTACACCTTGCCGCAGGTGCCGCACTCCTGCTTGACGCGCTTCTTCATCGGCTTGTCCTCGGTGTACTCGGTGGTGTCGCCCACCTCCACCTCCTCGCAGATGAACTCCTCGCCGTCGTCGTCGTCCTGATCATCATCATTCTCCTCCTCATCCTCCTCCACGTACTCCCTTTTGATGTCTGCATCGGAGTCCTGGTCCTGATCATGATCCTGATCCTTGACCAGCTCTACGAACAGGGCATCCGCCTCGGCATCGGCATCTGTGTCCGCATCGCTGGCGGGGATCTCCACCTCCTCCACCAGTATATCGTCGCCGCCGGCCACCTCGAAACCGGACTTTAGAGCGCTCTTTAGCTGATTCGTGAGCCTCTTCTGGGTGGTCATCAGGTTGACCATGATGGTGTCGTACTCGGAGAGCTCCTGGAAGCAGCGCGGGCACAGCCGGGCACTGGGCTTCAGGTCCAGCGCCGTCTGGATGCAGTTGGCCAGGTGCGAGAGCACCAGGGAGACCGTTTTCTGCGACGAGGGCACCTTGGCCGACAGCTTCTCGTAGCCACCGCCGCCACCATCTTCGCTCAGCTCGACGGCGCCGCAAAAGAAGCACTGGTCCATTGCGGCTGTGTGTGGATGATGGGATTGCGGATGGCCGGATTGCAATGCTAATCGGAATTACCCGGGCTATTTATTGTTTACAACCTCAGAGAGGGCAAATTCTGTATAAATTTAATAGAGTTGGCAAAAGTGAATGAATATCGGAGGCTATACTAAAACGCGTGAAATGCAACCATGGCATCATTCCGACCAGTGTTGGTGAACGAGCGGAAAAAGACGCGACGCCGGAACGGTGGGAGTGGAACAAAAAATAAAAACTACAAAAAAAAATAAAAATACAAAAATTGTAATTATACAAGACGAAATATTTAAAAAAAATTTTAAAAATTATTAAATAATTAGCTTCAAACCAGATTTCATATTTGCAAGATATTTTTTAGCTTCCTTTCTTGTTTTATATTTATTTTTCAGCACCTAATCACTGCCTACTTTCAGCACCTAATCACTGCCCAGTTTCAGCACCTAATCACTGCCTACTTTCAGCACCTAATCACTACTTTCAGCACCTAATCACTGCCCAGTTTCAGCACCTAATCACTGCCTACTTTCAGCACCTAATCACTGCCCAGTTTCAGCCCCTAATCACTGCCTACTTTCAGCACCTAATCAGTGCCTACTTTCAGCACCTAATCACTGCCCAGTTTCAGCACCTAATCAGTGCCTACTTTCAGCACCTAATCACTACTTTCAGCACCTAATCACTGCCCAGTTTCAGCACCTAATCACTGCCTACTTTCAGCACCTAATCACTGCCCAGTTTCAGCACCTAATCACTGCTCAGTTTCAGCACCTAATCACTACTTTTAGCACCTAATCACTACTTTCAGCATCTAATCACTGCTCAGCTTGAGCACCTAATCACTGCTCAGTTTCAGCACCTAATCACTGCTCAGTTTCAGCACCTAATCACTGCTCAGTTTCAGCACCTAATCACTGCTCAGTTTCAGCACCTAATCACTGCCTACTTTCAGCACCTAATCACTGCTCAGTTTCAGCACCTAATCACTGCCTACTTTCAGCACCTAATCACTGCTCAGTTTTAGCACCTAATCACTACTTTCAGCACCTAATCACTGCCTACTTTCAGCACCTAATCACTGCTCAGTTTCAGCACCTAATCACTGCTCAGTTTTAGCACCTAATCACTGCTCAGTTTCAGCACCTAATCACTGCTCAGTTTCAGCACCTAATCACTGCTCAGTTTCAGCACCTAATCACTGCTCAGTTTCAGCACCTAATCACTGCTCAGTTTTAGCACCTAATCACTACTTTCAGCACCTAATCACTACTTTCAGCACCTAATCACTGCTCAGTTTCAGCACCTAATCACTACTTTCAGCACCTAATCACTGCTCAGTTTCAGCACCTAATCACTGCTCAGTTTTAGCACCTAATCACTGCTCAGTTTCAGCACCTAATCACTGCTCAGTTTCAGCACCTAATCACTGCCTACTTTCAGCACCTAATCACTGCTCAGTTTTAGCACCTAATCACTGCTCAGTTTCAGCACCTAATCACTGCTCAGTTTCAGCACCTAATCACTGCTCAGTTTTAGCACCTAATCACTGCTCAGTTTCAGCACCTAATCACTGCCTACTTTCAGCACCTAATCAGTGCTCAGTTTCAGCACCAAATCACTGCTCAGTTTCAGCACCTAATCACTGCTCAGTTTCAGCACCTAATCACTGCCTACATTCAGCACCTAATCACTGCTCAGTTTCAGCACCTAATCACTGCCTACTTTCAGCACCTAATCACTGCTCAGTTTCAGCACCTAATCACTGCTCAGTTTTAGCACCTAATCACTACTTTCAGCACCTAATCACTACTTTCAGCACCTAATCACTGCTCAGTTTCAGCACCTAATCACTGCTCAGTTTTAGCACCTAATCACTGCTCAGTTTCAGCACCTAATCACTGCTCAGTTTCAGCACCTAATCACTGCCTACTTTCAGCACCTAATCACTGCTCAGTTTTAGCACCTAATCACTACTTTCAGCACCTAATCACTGCTCAGTTTCAGCACCTAATCACTGCTCAGTTTTAGCACCTAATCACTGCTCAGTTTCAGCACCAAATCACTGCTCAGTTTCAGCACCTAATCACTGCTCAGTTTCAGCACCTAATCACTGCTCAGTTTCAGCACCTAATCACTGCCTACATTCAGCACCTAATCACTGCTCAGTTTCAGCACCTAATCACTGCTCAGTTTCAGCACCTAATCACTGCCTACTTTCAGCACCTAATCACTGCTCAGTTTTAGCACCTAATCACTGCTCAGTTTCAGCACCTAATCACTGCTCAGTTTCAGCACCTAATCACTGCTCAGTTTCAGCACCTAATCACTGCATACTTTCAGCACCTAATCACTGCTCAGTTTTAGCACCTAATCACTGCTCAGTTTCAGCACCTAATCACTGCTCAGTTTCAGCACCTAATCACTGCTCAGTTTCAGCACCTAATCACTGCTCAGTTTCAGCACCTAATCACTGCTCAGTTTCAGCACCTAATCACTGCTCAGTTTCAGCACCTAATCACTGCTCAGTTTCAGCACCTAATCACTGCATACTTTCAGCACCTAATCACTGCTCAGTTTTAGCACCTAATCACTGCTCAGTTTCAGCACCTAATCACTGCTCAGTTTCAGCACCTAATCACTGCTCAGTTTCAGCACCTAATCACTGCTCAGTTTCAGCACCTAATCACTGCTCAGTTTCAGCACCTAATCACTGCTCAGTTTCAGCACCTAATCACTGCTCAGTTTCAGCACCTAATCACTGCCTACTTTCAGCACCTAATCACTGCTCAGTTTTAGCACCTAATCACTGCTCAGTTTCAGCACCTAATCACTGCTCAGTTTCAGCACCTAATCACTGCTCAGTTTTAGCACCTAATCACTGCTCAGTTTCAGCACCTAATCACTGCCTACTTTCAGCACCTAATCACTGCTCAGTTTCAGCACCTAATCACTGCTCAGTTTTAGCACCTAATCACTGCTCAGTTTCAGCACCTAATCACTGCTCAGTTTCAGCACCTAATCACTGCCCAGGTTTAGCACCTAATCACTGCCTTCTTTCAGCACCTAATCACTGCCTACTTTCAGCACCTAATCACTGCCTACTTTCAGCACCTAATCACTGCCCAGTTTCAGCACCTAATCACTGCCCAGTTTCAGCACCTAATCAATTATATAGATTACACATTTTTTGAAGACATACTTATTTAGAATATTTCAGGGATCTGAAAGTGTTTACCTTTTTGTAAAATCTTCAAATTAATGAAGAATTTAAAAAATGTTTCATTTTATTTTACTAGGCATACCTATTTAGAATATACATAATTTAAATACATTTTTTGTAAGTTAATAGTCCAAAAATAAAAAACGAAAATTGTTGTATTTAAATAATTCTCAAAGGCGTATTTCCAAGATATTTTTTAGCCATTAAATGCCATTATTAATTTTGTTCCCAATAAAAAAAATTAAAAAAAAAAAATTTCGACTTTTAATTTTTTTGTAATGTTTTTATTGTGTTTTTAAAATTATGTGAATAACTTCAAATTACTGAAGCCGTTACACTTATATAGATTACACATTTTTTTAAGACATACCTATTTAGAATATTTCAGGAATCTGAAAGAGTTTACCTCTTTGTAAAATCTTCAAATTAATGAAGAATTTAAAAATTATTTTATTTTATTTTAATAGACATACTATTTAGAATATTGTTTGTCTTGGATGATCAGAATCACTTCAAATTAATGAAGCAGTTTCAATTATAAAGATTACGCATTTTTTAAGACATACTTATTTATAATATTTCAGGGATCTGTTTTTTTATTTTACTCTACTAGACATACCTATTTAGAATATTGTTTGTCTTGGGTGATCAGTCTAATCTAAGAATTTCGGTGATCTGAAAGCTTATAAGATCGCTTTCATTGTTTGGGGACTCAGTAAAGGTCTCCTGTGGGCCAAAAACCGAGCAATTTCCGCTTTGTTTGACAAAGGATCGGTGTCTCTTGGATGCGGATCGACTGCTTCGGACAAACGTCCTGGTGACGTTACAGGGAATCGGATTTTGAGATCCCACCGAGCTGTCGGGCTCCAGATTATCCCTGCTTATCGAGTCCCTCAGCTTGGCCAGAACGGAGTACAAGATCTTGAGGCGTTTCACGATGCGTTTGGGCTCCACTGGGATGTCCAGATTAACCACAGCCTGGCACTCGCGCAGTATGAGGATGAGATCCTTGTGCACCCGCTGGCCATCTTCGCTGAGAGCCGAATAATTAACCGGCAGCCGGAAGTGCTCCACCAAAACGCTGCCCCGCTGGACAATCACCTTCAGGTGGCTCTTCTCCTGAATCTGTATACCCTCGCCCAACATGTCCAGATAGTTGTTGATCAGCGAGCAGCTGTCGATGATTTCGTGGATGACGTTGCGGAAAATCAAGAGCTCCTGGTTGAAGTGCTCTTCCAGGATTTCGGCATGGTGTGCGGATGCAGCGGATTCGGGCAGCTGGAGCGCCGGGACAATGCAGGCATCCAGGGACTCCAACGATGCCAGGCAGCTCCGCACAATCGTCTTGGTCTTGATGTCCTGCGAGAAGGCAATGGCCAGCACTCCGATCTGCTGGATGCGATCCATATTGATGTCGAAGGCGGCAATTAGCTCTTTAGCTTCGTTAGCATCTTCTTGGAGGGCCTCCTTTAGCCTGCCCACCGAAGTGTTCTCCAGTTCGGTCAGGCTGACGAAGAGCAAGTGCAGCATGGCCTCGTTTAGGAAGGATTCCAGGGCGTAGAGAGCTCGTTCCAGGGACAAAGCCTCCAGCTTGCGGTGACCACTATTCGGATCACCGGCCTCCTCGTGAAAAGTGGCACATTCGCCTAGTAAAGTCTCGCAAAGGGAAGTCAAAGCCTTCTTGTCCGACTGAATGGAAACGTTGGCAAAGGCCAAAGCATGCCGAACTATGTGATTCACTATGCTGGCCAGCTGGTAGCTATCCTCTTCCGCCTCCTCCTCCATGAAGCTCTCCTTTGCCAGCTTCTCCATGTAATCATCCAGCTGATCCAGAGCCAAATCCATTAGCTCCACGAACGAGTGATCCTCCAGGTTCTTCACACTGCTCACCCGGCTCTCCAGTTGAGTCAAGGAGATCAGAAGTCGCCTGCAGCACCAATCCAAGCGATCGAGAAAGTGCTGCCTGGTCAACGGCGAGGCCACCAAAGTAATAGTCCTCTCCAGGTGCGTGATGCAGGTAACCACCTGGGTGAGGCAGAGAAAGATGGTCTCCACATCCAAGTTGGCGCCACTGGGAGCCACCTCGGGCAGTCGGGCCTTCAGGTCGCTGGCAAAGTCCAGGAAAGTGGCGCAGAACTCGTTCAGCCAGCCCATGTTGCCCGTGCTGCTGTAGCCCTCCGAAATTAGCTCACTGCAAGTGTTCAACTGAATCAATAACGAATCCATTTATCTACGAGATGTGCTCCTGCAAAGCTGAACTTTTCAACTAAGTGTGATTATTCCTCAGGCTATCTTTATATACGGCAAATGCACAGGTAGAAGGGATATCTTTTCGGAGGATTTAAAAGAAACATCTGCCTATTTTATTACCCGGCGAAAATTCGCGAAATTCGCGATTTTACCTGCGCGTTTCAGAGTTCCTGGTAATCAGTCTAGAATACTGGGTTTTTCCAGGGCTCTGAAATCGACACACATGTTAAAAACATGAAAAATTGTATTTTACAGTGTGAGCAAAATTATTGTTGTCATGTTTGTCAAATACAAAAGTGTTTAAAATTTAAACAATTATTTTTCACTTTTTAACTTATATTGTAAAAATAATTGTTAGCACACACAGCTCACTTGTGTTTTTTACTGAGTGTTTTTTACACACTGTGTTTTTAACACAAATGGAAATTACATTTTACGGAGATTAACGAGTCGAAGGGAAAATGAAAAACCAATATGTGGCATGATATCTTATGTTAGTTTTAACCATTTCAAAGCATACATATATGAATTCTTATACTCTGAAAAACCGTGAATTTTCAAATTTTTTTATGTCAAAAACTCATTGTGTTAAAAATAAGCTGTGTAAAAAAACACGTCATGACATGTGTGTGTTATTTATGTTTCTAACAAATGTAGGATACAATTTTGTACACACGAGTGAATAACTTTTTTTGAACCTAACACTTTGACATTTAACATGTAATTTTTCGAACCCTGGATTTTTTCAATGATTGTTTAAGATTTAATTTTATGATACATACATGTGGATTAGATTAAACTAGGGGACTACACCTAAAAGAACGTCGCGGTGGCCTCCTTGGCCGCTTCGGCCGACTCCTCGGGCTTCTCGACCGGCTGATGGACCCGCTTGTGCACCTTCAATGTGTACTTGTCGACGAAGGACTTCTCGCAGTCGGGGCAGGGGTAGCGGGGCCGATCCGTTTGGTGGGTGCGCAAGTGGTGCTTGTAGGTGCGCTTCGTCTTGAACTGCTGGTGGCACACCTCGCAGATCAAAGCATTCTCCTCGGCATCGTGGCGCATCAGATGGTTGTACATTAGCCAGGACAGCGAGAAGCGTTCGCCGCATTTGTCGCACTGGTACTTCTTCTTGTCCCAGTGCACCTCCATGTGCCGCAGGACGTTGCGCTTGTGCGAGAACTTCTTGTCGCAGTACCGGCACTCCAGCTCGGTCTTGCCCTCGTGCAGGTTCATGTGCAGATCGAGCACCTCGTCGTCCTTGACCTTCAGGCCGCACACCTGGCAGGTGGCCTGCTCCGACTTCTGGCAGGTGTCGGCCTTGATGTGCCGCTCGAGAACCTCCTGGCTGGAGAACATCTCGCCGCAGATGTGGCAGGGTATCTCGGTGGTCTCGGTGAAGAACTCCTCCTCCGAGGAGAACTCCTCGTCCGGTTCGCTGAACTGAAAGTCCTCGTCCAGCATCTCCTCGCTCATGAACTCCTCGGGATCGCCCTCCTCCTCCGCCGCCGGATCCTCCACCTCCTTTTCGGGCGACTGCTCCTTGAGCGGACTGGCCTGGATGATCTTGAACGCGGGCACCTGGACCCTGGCCCTCTTGGCCGCCTGCTGTTTGCTCTCCGGCTTGCCCTCCACCTGCCGGCAGCCCAGCAGTGCATCCGCAATCTGGCGCTGCACCTGGCTGAGATTCCTCACCAGCCGGTCGTAGTTGAAGAGGTACTCCAGGCAATCCCGGCAGGCCGCCGAGTTGGGCGAGAGATCCAGCCGCTGGTTGATGATCTTCTCGAAGTATTTCAGTATATCCTTGATCGGCTTGAAGGTTCCTGGCACAATGCAGCCTGCAAAAAAGTCGGCAATTAGGATTTTCCAGGAAAAGGTGGCGAAGCAATCGTTACCTTCTATCAGCTGGAACACGCCCACGGACTTCTCCTTGCCGCAAACGAAGCAAAACGGACGCGTGGAGCTCATCTCGTCGCCTTGGAATCGGAAAATTCGGCTTAACAATTTAATTTGTGTATATTTTGTTGTCAACGCTAGAGCTGTACCGATAGTATCGATAGTTTCGGATGGGAGTCTATGTTGATATCGATACCTTTAATTGAAGTGAAAATTATTTTTTATATTCTTATTGCAATGAAATTTTAGATCTTAATATGATGGTAACTATGTTTAAATTTAAATACAACATTTATTAACACCTTACATAAACTAATTTTGTATGGTTTTTCGGTGAATGGTTCACTGAAAATTATTAAAATTTCATTCGTTTGTACTAATTAAAATATGTTTTTTATCTAGGAAATTAAAGAAGGGACTGTAAAAAATTTAAGTATAAATATAAAACAAAACAATTTGGTATGATTTTTTGCTTATTTTTCATTCAACAGTTACGGAATACCCTAACTACTTTTTAATCGATGATATCGATAGACATCTCACCTTGCAAGAATAAAATCAAGCATTTTTGGAATATTTGCCGGTTGGTAAGGAATAAATTGCTATTTTCAACACTTTTCCGTAATGAATCGTCTTCAATTATTCTCCAAAGGACTTCGACTGATGCACAAAATGTCCGAAGAAGCACTTGCAGGCGTGCCATTGGTGCACATCAGTCCCGAGGGCGTATTTAAGTACATCCTGATCAATGTCATTGACGGAGGAGATGCTTCAAAGGCTGTAGTTCGTGGTTTTTCGGATTGCCAATGGCATGGTAAGTAGGTTTACCTGTAACTGTTATTGCACTCTTAATCCTGGGAACCTATATCCTATAGCCGACATCTTCGATCGCGAGGAGGAGGTCTTCAAAAAACTGGGTCTTCGCGCCGAGTGCCCCGGTGGCGGTCGCATCGAGCACAATCCCGATAAGAAATACCTCAAGGTCTATGGATACTCGCAGGTGAATATTTTGGATTACTATAGAGTTCTACGAGATTTAAGGAGTACTTTTCTTTATAAGAGTCCCATTTGCATCGATAATATTATACTACCTAAAAACATCTTGAACTTATTAATAAAAATAACAAACCTTGAAAAGAAATTTATATTTCTTTCAAAGGTTTTCATAATAATTTAGTTTTTGGCAATATCTAAAACTTGTATTATGATTGTTCTATTATCTTCCATTTCAGGGTTTTGGAAAAGGTGATCACGCCCAGGCGAAACGCATCTTGGCCACCAAATACCCGGACTATACGATCGAAATCTCTGATGAAGGATACTAGGTGCAATGAAATAGAGAAAACAACTGTCTTAAAACCCTGATATTAACTTACAATCCCATGAGCCATGACTTTTACGCAAATGGCATTTTAGTTTATAAAAATCAGTTTGGAATACTAAACCTTTTCGGATCAAAATTCAAATTGTATAGAAATTCCACTTGTATTTCCTTTGAAAAAATAAAATGAAATTTCTCAAGTCTTTGAGCCGTATTCCACAATGTCTTTCTCCGTTGCGTAAGTTTTGAAACCAAGTTAATTATTTTTAATTAATAGTATCTATTAATCTTAGAAAAATGTTATTCAACCGATTTGATCAGTTTGGTTGGAATTCCAAGGGTTCGGATCGCGAAAGGTCAGAATCGTTATTTGTTGGTGATGATCCATACACATGGCTACACGAATTTTGGAAGAGTGATCGTCCGGGGAGCTAATGTCGACAATCATTGTGAGTTTCGGATGCTCGGTAGTCCTAGATTTTTTACAGTTCCCATTTACAGTGACAATATTCGACTCAATTTTGGAGGAGATGGAACCACAGGGCATATGTGCCAAATGCATGGGCGGTGGAAGAATTCTCAATGAGGAGGACAAGAAGAAAATAAAGATTTATGGCACCTCCAGAGTAAGTTAAAAAGATTTCGTATCTGAAACTATTGGCTAATAGGATTGTGTCCTTAGACATTTGGCGGTGCTGATCACAAAAGGACGAGGAATATACTACAAGCGTGGACCACATACAAGGATTTCAAGATCAGCGTTAAGAAATAAAGTTGCACATGCATTTTGGAAATGTTAATTCTATTTAAATAAAAATTGCACAGTTAAATTGAACAGGTTTTGTTTGCGAATATTTTGGTGTTATTTTCTAAGGAACATATCCATTTCCAAAGGATTCAATTTATATTGGTAGTGCTGAGATAAAATTCACCATTTCTGTAGGTTTACTTTTCCAAAATTTGAATATTTTTTAGATTGATCCTAGGTGCTCTGATTTTTGTGACAGTTCTGAATTTCTCATTTGACTCGAAGGCCTTACACAAAATCAGTCTAGCTGGAGCCTTGCTACTGTTGAGACCACATTTCTTTTGGAATATTTCATCTAAATTCCAGTGCCGATTTTTTTAAATTTTTCCAAAATGAAAACGCTAAACCTTTTGACTCCCCTTTCGCAAATAGTTAAGCCCATTCGAAGGCAAAGTGTTTCGCGAGTTAACGCCCTCCTAATAAATGTTCCAAGAGTTCAGATTTCGAAGGGGAAAAACAAGTATCTATTAATGGTGATCCATATGCACGGTTTAACTCGGTTCGGAAGGACGATCGTCAGAGGATCCGACTCGAAGGACCATGGTTAGTTTTGGTTGATTTTTCGCTATAAATCTCATCGATTAATCCCGTTTCCAGAGCAAATTTATGAAGAAACCCAGGAGGAAATGGACGACCTTGGCATATGCACAAAATGCCTGGGTGGCGGATTCCTCAGTAATAAAGAGGAAAAGAAAATAATCAAGATCTATGGGTGCTGCAAGGTAAGTGGATGGTACTTACCCTTTGATAACTGATTATGATCGAACCTGTACCTAGACTTTTGGAGAAGCTCCGCACGGCAGGACGAAGGATATATTGCTGTCGTGGACGAAATACCAGCACTTCAATATTATCTTGCCCAAGAAGAACATGAATGCGTATGAAGAATAAAACAAAGGCACAGTGAGAGGCAATAAAAACATGTCGAGTTTTTAGTTTTGCCTTGTTGGCAATTTAATGAATAAATTAAAAAATTCCATGGCTAATAAACTATCTATTTTATTTGACTATAATGTACAAAACGGATTATATCAACTGAATTTTTGATTAGATACCATCCTTTTTCAAAAACTAAAGCTTTCACTTAATAATGCATTTTAAGTCAGCTCAGAATTATGTTTTTGGAATATGGTTTTGCCAAGTTATGCATTTAGTAAATACAGTTATTTTCAAAATAATTAAAATGTATTTTTTATCGGAACGGTTAAAATATAAATTTGAAAGCCGCAACCGTTAGATAAGCTGGAACCACCAGTTCGATAAATGCCTGTCGATAACCGATACCCTCAGCAGTGCAGCCCTCGTCTAAGCATATTTTGTAAATAAATTCCAGTCCAGTCGAGTCCAAAATGAATTGCTGCATTTGCCAATTTTCCGTGCGCGTGCCGAAGGACATTCACACAGAGACCGTTGGCCATCCCCCGGTGCTGATCAGCGACCTGGTCCTGCAGTGCACCCGGGGCACCGACTACGTCCTGGCGGACGAATCCTCGACGATCTGCAAGAAGTGCTGCGAAAAGCTGACCAGATACCACAAGTCCATTCAAATCGCGCGCAAGCTGCGCCACGAGATCCTCGAGCTGATCCACAGTCCCTACATGCCGAAGGAACTCAAGCACTCGCCGTTCAAGGAGGAGGATGCCGCCAGGGAGACCAGGACGATAACCAAATTCGATGGGAACATTGAGGAGGTGGAGGGCGGCGAGGAGGAGGAGGACGATCCCGATGAGGAGGAGCATCAGCAGCTGGAGGAGGTGGACACCTCCGGGGAAGGCGTCACCCTGATGGATCCCACCAGCATCGAGGAGGTGGTGGCCGGCGAGGGGGAGGAGCAGCACACCTTCATTATCAAGCAAACCGTGGATCAGGAGTTGGAGGAGGAGGGGTTCCAGTCCGTGGACTTAGAGCTGGACATAGACAACGAGATCATCATAAACGAGCAGGAGGAAGGGGAGGAGGACCAGGACCTGAAGCATGAGGCCCATGAAGCAGACTTCTTCAAGGAGGACACCATGAGCGACTTTGACGACCATCTGGATGGGACCATCGAATACATAATATCCGACGGCGATGGCGACGACCAGGAGCAGGATCAGGACAGCTCCGGCGAGTACACCGTGAACATTCAATGCCCCAGCTGTCCGGAGAAGTTCACCAGCCGGCGCTCGTACAATGCCCATACCAAGCGGGAGCACTTTCCCGGCTATGTCTGTGATCAGTGCGGCAAGACGCTGCAATCGTACTCGGGCTTCATTGGCCACCTGCAGAACCACGAGCCCGTCAAGCAGTTCGCCTGTCCCGTTTGCCCCGAGCGCTTTAGCCGCAAGTTTCGGCTGAAGCACCACATGGCCTGGCATTCAGGGGAAACGCCATTTCAGTGCGATGTCTGCTCCAAGCGATTCGTCCACAAGGTGGCCCTGTACAAGCACAAGATGATCCACGACAACGAGACCAAGCGACTGGAGTGCCAGGTGTGCGGCTTCAAGACCCGCACCAAGGCGCATTTGGAGCGGCACATGCGTTCGCACACGGGCGACAAGCCCTTCGCCTGTCCGGTGTGCAACAAGCGCTTCTCCCAGATGTACAACATGAAGGCCCATCTGCGGGAGCACGAGAGTCCCGGAACGAACCGCCATCGTCGCTATCATTGTCCCAAGTGCACGCACACGTTCATCAACGAGCAGAACTATGTGTCCCACGTTCAGCGGGACGACTGCACGGCAGTTTAGCTATCGAATAGACATAGTAGATAATCTAAGGCTTAGTCCCGACCATCATCACCCATCCATCCGAATGAAATCGAATCATTTGACACTTTACGTTCTATCCATGTACTTTTTTTATTAAATCTATATGCATTTTGCTCACAAATAAAATATGTTTGATATAATAAATTTATCCGTTATTTTTGCATATTTCTGCGGTTATGTCAGTTTTCTTAAAAAAATATGTATAGTATGTGTGTATGCATTAACTTAATTTAAATTTAAATAAATCAATCGATCGATGTCGTCCGCTTCGGCCAAGGCCAAGGGCCTGTATTGTGTATCACAATAATGGACTCAATCGATAGCCGAAAATGAAATGTGCCTAATGGTAGATCGGTAGATGCAATTGACGCAATTACAATACATTGTATAAATACATAAATGTTAAATGTGTGTTGTGTATGCTGTGTTATAGATTATACAAAAATAAAACAGATTATCTTTTGATTTTTTGTCGAGTTGAATAGAACTTTGTTAATATCATCATATCATCATTATCATCAAAATGCACATTACAAAAATATTAACAAAATTTATTGCAGGCAGTCCGTAGTTAGTAAAAAGTAACAAACAAATCCCAATCGAGAGAGGTAAACCCATAAATCTTCTTAATAAATCGATCATTTTTGTGCAGGATCCTAGGCTCCTAATCCTAAAACGCTTTTCGGACTCTCGAAATGTACGGCCTCCACAAGGTGGTGTGGATCAACATAAAGTAGCTCCAAAAATTTCGTTAGGGAATCAGTTTTTTGTTGTACAGAAAAATACATTGCCCCCGCAGAGAGTAGTTTGTGATGCTTACAAAAGCCGGTCGGTCGCCCGTACAGATATCATTAATAGCTTTTGATTTGTCGGAAATAGCTTCTCCAGTTTGCTAGCTCTAAGATGCGTACACTTGGTGCGTTCGTTATCGTATCCATCTCAGTATCATCGCCATCATCTTCATCAATCATCGAGTGCACCAAGTCACACTCACGATTTGCCTTAATACAAAATCTACGCTAAATGCTTAAATATTAATCGGATGGCTTGACAAGACCCATCGCTTTGTCTCCGAATAGGGGCAGTATGTCGGAGTCGTTAACAATCTCTTCCTGAATCACTGGACTGTCCGGGTCCTCGCAATGCGTCTTGAAGAAGAATCTGTGTGGGTTCCAAGATGATTAAGATAATGCATACACAGAATGATTCAAGTAGATACGCTACCTGAAGTGACCTCTTCTGGGCAGATAGTCCTTGAACTGACGCAGGGTTGGCTGAGTACCGGGTATTTTTATTCTGTACGGCACTGGCTCCTCGCAAAACGAGAACACCACTATCGTCTCCGGCGGCTTGGCCGGCAGAGGCGGTGGCGCCGCCGTGCTCTGCAGCTGCACGTGGTGCTGATGCTGGTGGGGCAGGCTGATGCTGCCGCCACTGCTGCTGCTGCTGAAGGTGGCCAGTGGTTGGGCATATCGACGAGAGCGCCGCGGCTCGTCTTCCAGTCTTCGTTTCGCCTCCTCCAGTTTCGAGGCCGTGCTAGAGCCAGATCGAGAGCTTTAGTAAGGGGTTTTGCAATCGGTTAGATAGTTAGTTATAAATGGGGGTTAATTAATTAAATTGCCATCTGCACCCACCTCGCATCTTTGTACTTGGTAACAGTGTCGGCCGAGAACATGCTAATGCCACTGTCTGTGTTCATGGAAGGCCATTTGTTTGTCAACTTCCTCGAGCAGGAACTGTGATCCGGCATGGACTTTGAGTGCTTCATCGAGTGCCCGCCTGTGTGTTAAGATTTGTGTGTTAAAAAACTAGTACTTCGAAGGTTTCCTACGATTAGTCTTACTCAGACTCATGGCGCCATCGCTGACCATTCCCGAATCGTGGGTGGCTGTGCGGCGGCGCGACGGGATGGGCGGGCAGGGCGACATCGTTCCCGGCGAGCGGTGCGGCGTTTGGTCCTTCCACACCCGCGACACGTGCTGGTCCAGAATGTCTTGGTCGTTGTCCTCGTCCAGTGCGAACTTCTCCCGTATCGCCTCGGCGAAGGCTCGATCGCTGGCACTGGATCTTTCGTTGGTTAGCAGAGCAGCGCCGGGATTTCGCTGTAGATTAGTAGATTTTAGATTAATTAAAGGTTCCTTAGCGATAACTCATATTGAACCCACCTCGCGCGCTCTTTCTTCCAGGTCTCGCTTCCGCTTCACTTCCTCCAACTTGGGTATCAGCAGGGCCACCAGTTCGTCCTCCTTCAGCGGTCGGTGCTCGTTCGAATGTAGTCGTTGTGTGCGAGGTATCACCTTGATTAGATTGAAATAACAAAGAAATTAATAATCTATACTTATATAAAATACTCATTAAAAAAAGAGAGGTTGAAGCTATATCACATAGTTTTGATAGTATTGCTTTGAACTTTTGATATATCTCTTCCTTATCGCTTTCCTACTCACCTGAAACGTGTTGGTCTCCTTGTTCGCCATCGCGCTCTGGCGAATCGCCTTGCTTTCCGTGGAGCTGTGTCTGCGTTGTATGTACGGGCGACCGTCCCTGAAACGAGGAATCAGTTAGTCAGTCAAACTGTCGGCTGAGCTTGGTTGGTCCCTTGTCTCAAGTAGCCATCTCATCGGGATCTCTCAACGGCGCGAAGCCGCTACTCACATGGAACAGCTGGAGATCGACATGGTGTCGGAGTCGGTGCGTCCGCCGGAGCTAACGCTGCCCCTTTCCGAATCAACCCGCGAATTCGGCACATAGGAGGTGTTGGTAGTGCTGGGATTGTACACATAACCGTGGGCACTACTCGCATGCAGATCGGACCAGGAATATATATGGTTTCCATGCAATGGCGCCCAATCGTGTGTGTGATTTTGTGTTTTTTGTGAATGGGATAATCGTCAAGATCCACAAAACGAAAATGTTCAAAAACAAATAAGGAGCAAATAGTATATATCATCGAGTCAGTAGTAGTGTATAACATAAACATATGTACAATGCATATGCGGGTGATGTTTTTTTTTTGGAGGTCCAATGGTGTATGCAAGTGGGTTCGTGTTTTTTTGGCGTGCGTGTTTTTGTGGGCGTTCATGTACAACATATGTAAAAAAAGTAAAAGAAACAAAAGTAACAAATTAGGAGTTAATCACAGAAAATCATAATCAATAATGGAAAATTTTAAAACTTAAGACAAACATAAGAGTATAAAAGTGTGGTGGATCTCGCCAGGTGTACAAATCTTTGCATGGTTCTAAATAATATTGCAATCAACGTAATAGCAAAATATTACATTTTAATTGTAAAGTTTAGGAGAAAAGTATTTAAACTTTTAAATTTCTTTAGATTAATCAAATATGAATTTTTCTACATTATTATTTTGACTGCAACTATTTAATTACATATTACTATCTTATATACTTTGTATGTACATTCTAGCCTAAGCTTCGGTATTAACTAAGGGTTACAAGGAATAAAAAAAAGGGGCGTACATACCCGGGAGGTCGGATTTCCAGTCTTCTTTTCTGCGTTGCTATCAGTAGGTCCCGCGTCAGTCGGATCGGGTAGTCGGGCGCCCGCGCATTCGCGCCCACGGATCCGGAACCCAGGGATCCGCCGCCGGCCTCCTGCATCTGCACCTTCTCGAAGTCATCGCAGAGCGACAGCACCGAGTCCTCGTGCAGCGTGGGCAGCGTGGAGCTGCGTGGCAGTGTGTCGGTGGCACTGATGGAGCCACTGGAGCTGGCCGAGGTGGAGGGACCGTACACACTGCCGCTGGCACTGCATGTGCCAGCTGGCGGCCCGCTCACGCTGCTCACCGGCAGATTGATGAAGGCACCGGGCGGCACCAGCTGCTGGAGGTGCTGCTGATGCAGCTGCTGCTGCTGCTGCTGCTTCGTGGTGGCGGAGGTTGGGGGAAGGGCACAGGCGCCCACGAGACTGCTGCCACCGCTGCCACTGCTGCCGGCACTGCCTCCCGATCCCGTGGCCCCACTGCTGCTGAAACGCTCCTGCTGGGCGGACATCTGCTGGATGTACAGGATGTACATCTCGGAGCAGAGAAACGTGGGGTAGATGTTGTCGCGGATGGTGACCTCCACATGGCGCTGCATGGGATCGAAGATGTGCGGGCTGAGCGGCAGCTCGGGATTCGTCTTGATGGCCTTGATCTGGGCGCGCAGGTCATCGGAGATGGACAGTTGACTCTTGCGCAGGAATCTGAATTAAGGGATAGTTAAATTAGATTTCATACTTAAAGTATAATCACACCCACCTGTAGATGGCTCCAATTATCTGCTTGATCTTCTCCGGATCCGTCTGCTGCTTGAGGCCCTCGCAGGCGAAATAGAAGTTGAGGTGGTCATTATAGGCGGGCGCCTCCTCCTCGACGTACTTCTTGAACAACTCGACCCCATCGCGGTCCTCCAGCAGGTGGTTCAGCGTCCGGGCCCAGTTCAGGTAGGATGGCGGCGAATTCTTCGAGGTCTCTGCTACCCCTTCGGTCATCTGGGTAAGGAGAAGATCATTGAAGATTTTTTTTATTTATTTAAATCCATTTAAATCACCTTTTTAACACGGCTCTCTTCTCCGGGTACTGGTGGTCGTGGCCCACTACACTCATTATCATCATGTTTCCGGAGTCCCGATGGATGGCCACTCATGCCACTCTAAATTGGCTTCCCAGGAGACGAGCGATCGCTGCTAAGTATTTATCTATGTTCCTACGCTAAAGTTACCAGTTACGATTAACGAACGTGTTTTTCTCTCGGTTTCAAATCACAAACGCCCGTATTTTACAAATATCTGGGACATGGAAGATGCGCTCGTTTGCGAATTTGGAAGGCAATTAGACAAGGCCTGAAAGAAAAGAAAGTTTTATGTTTAAGTTAGTGAATTCGAAGTTAGAAAACGAAAAATATTTTTAGATTTTTTTTTCATTTTTAAATGTCCCATTTATATTTCAGATATAAATTAAGAAATAACATTTTAAAATATTTAAGTTTGTTTTAGAATAACTAACTTCTTTATTAAGTAGTAAGAATAGGTAAACGAAAGGTAATGATTAATTTTTGGACTGTATTTATAGTGAAATTTTGAGAAAACGTTTTAAATTTTATATTTTAACTTATAGAGTTATTATAAATTACAATTTAAGACTTATAATAATGTATAATATTTTATTTTTGAAATCGAACACAAGATTCTAGTTTTTAACCTAGAAATAATTATGGATAGGAAACGCTACAATATTTTTTGAACACACCTGGTTTTAAAACCTTTAATTTCTGTTTTTCTGTTTTGTATTTTTTGCAGACCAAGAGGCACTGGAAAAGCGAATGAAAAGCGGACTGCACGCGAAAAGCGAACAAAGACGAATGAGCAGGCCACCTAAAGACTGGGTCCCAAGATACTTAGACTTAGGTACTTTGCATATTAATTTCAGAAACATTTTTGATAGACTCGCGACAGGCAAACCTAGCTGATTGACCAGGTGCTGAATTTTCGGACCTCATCTACCTGGGAAATCACTGGGCACTGTTTGCTGATCGCATTTAAATCTGTTCACTGGTAGGGTGACAACTATATAAACTGAGTTTTAACACCTTGTATATAAATACTAGAGCCCTGCGTGGGTATCAAAATGGGTTATTTGGGTACCCAAACCAAATTTCAGGTCAAGTAGGTCAACTACCCAAACCCAAACGACCCAAGTCAAATGGGTTTCAAGTAGATCAGTTCGGGTTTAAGGTTACCCAAAGAACAAATGATAATAATTTCTTTTATGAGTTTTATAAAAAATTGTTTTTAAAAAGACGATGATCACAATTTTCACAGCTCGTCCACTCGTCGCGAATTCTTAAGGCCCAGATGGTTATTTGTGAATAATATTTTTTTTTAGTAAAGTTAAGTTACAGATGTATGATCCATGAAAACATATTCTCTTGCTCTTAAGAATTCGCGGCCTGAAAGAAAAGACTGTTTTATGTTTAAGTTAGTCAATAATAGGGATGGCGCAAATATATCAAAATATCGATATTTTTTACGAAAAAAAAATATTTTTATCGTGATATTTTTTTTTGAAGGTATCATCGAGTTTTTTTTCAACATTGTTTTGATAATTTTAAGTGGTTTCACTTTTCATCGTGACAAGAAAAAATACATATGTGAAAGTTGAGCGCCGCTAAAATTTATTTTTTGGCAAGTGAAAATGCATAGCATAGCATTCAGAATCCAAGAAAACGCAATTATGTTTTTAGAATTTGTTTTCATTTTTGAATGTCCAACCCATTTTTAATTTCAGGTATAAATTAATAAAAATATCTGTAAAAAAAACAAAATGTGCTAAAAAAGATAAGTTTTCATGAAGTTTATGTTTTTGGAAATTTAACTTCTGTACTATGTGGTAAGAATATTTAATCTCTGGACTTTATTTAGAGTGAGATTTAGAGAAAACGTATTAAATTTTACATTTTAGCTTATAAAATTTGTATGAAACAAAATTAAAGACTTATAAATAATGCCTTCACCCAGAAAAATGATGGACAACATTTTAGGTCATGCATAGCCTAAAACATTTTAAATGGACTAAAAGTTCCTTTTTAGGTCATGTACTGCCTAAAAATTTAAATTTTTGGTATATTTGCCCTACTATTTAGGTCCCGTATAGCCTAATATTTTAGGTCATCGTGGGCCTTAAAATGAATGCATTTTACCTAAATAAATTTGCACGGAACTCTGATACCGTTCTAGCGACGCTATAATTCCCAACCAGTTATAGCGCGGCTTGCATGGTAACCCACTTCCATCGTTGAATAAAACAGCGATTTCACTGCTGAACAGTGAAGCCTCTTCGCTCGTTTTTGTGTGTTGGAATAATGACGACTTCTTGAAGACTTACCCGACATTGACCTCGAGTTAGCTATAAACTTTTCTGTATTTACTTTATAATATTATAAAATTTTGGATAGGGGTTTTCTCATATTTTTAGGCAGCCAATTACCTAAAATCTAGGCCAAAAATTACCCCCATTTTAGGCCTTTAATGGCCTAACATTTTACGTCATGGTATCCTAAATTTTAGGCCATTCAAGGACTTAGCTCCAGTTTTAGGCCAATTTTACCTAAATTCTAGGCCATTTTTTGACATTTTAGGTCATTTTTTTTTTCTGGGTGTTCTATTATATTGTTAAGTTATAGAAAGGTACTAAAAGTATGTGGAAATATTCAAAAACAAAAGCTAATTTAATGCCTTAATTTTGAAATAACATGTAGTGAATAAAATTTAAAATTCAACGCAAGATTCCAGTTTTCTGTCTAGGGAATATTTTTGGGTAGAAAACGGTACAATTTTTTTTAACACAGACCTGGGTTTTAAATCTTAAAATTCTTATTATATTTAAAATTACTTAAACTGTTAAAACCGAATTTCTTAAAATCTATCTGAATGCATAAAACCCATTCCATAACTGACTTGGCCCACTTTCCCATCTTTTGATGGCAAGTTGCTTTGCATAAATCGAAATCGAAACCGCACTGGTAATTGGAGCCGCAATGGGAAATTCTCAAGGATGCGGAAGCCGAATGAATGACCACTTGGCGGCGGAGGCGACGGCTCCTTTTGCCTTTCTTGTTCCCCATTTCTTATCAACAGGGAACAAGGGAGCAGGGGAGAAAGGAGCAGGGGAACCCACGCAGATTGCAAAGCGAGGAGCGGAATCGAATGGCGGCCATTTTGAGGGCGCTTTTGATTGGTTGACGATATCGACCAATGCAGCAAAGCGGGGCGCATGGCAAAGGGAAAAAGGCAAAAGGACAATAATCCATTATGTACAAAATTTGAACACGAAATACGCACACACACACACACACACTCAGTCAGGGAGACACACACACACACACACACACCCCAATAATGCCATGCTAAAATCGGGGATGGTGGCCAGGACTTTGCTCCTTTGAAATACCCCCGATGCCTCTGGATTCCTCCGACTGTCTGACGCGTTCGAGAGCAGGCCAAAACTAGAAAGTAAGCACCGCGTCGCGCTTTTCGTAAATCAAAAATATTCCCTTTTCTTCGTTGTTCCTTTTTCCCTCCCCTTTGCAATAAAGAGTGGAAAAGGAATGCCGGTTTAGACTTTTTCCAGTTAAGATTTATATTAAAATAATTTTATAGCTTCAAAACTCTTTCCAATACTAACATTCTTAAACTGTATTTAAAAAGTTTAGACCTGAACTTTCATCATATGTCATACTTCTGATAATACCATAAGGATTTCTATAAATATGACCATTTGAAGGTTTCAACGGTATGACTGTTTTGAAAAGCTAACAACATAAGGTAACGATTCCGATCGCATTTTTCATAAAAGTATCATCATAATATTCTAGAAAAAAATCGATCAAAATTAATGCTTCTAGGTTTGAACGCCAATCAATTGGAAATTTTATTACAAGTTGAAATTTTTTTGGAAATTTTTCGGTCAAAAATTGTGGAAGAAGCTTTTGCCCAAACGGGAATTTTCCTAGATATTTTTTCGTCGTAATTCGTTTAAAAATAGTGCATCAGGTGAAAGAATGACTTTTTGTGAAGTACGTTTAATTGATTTAGTTAATAATAAAATAAATAAAAGTTTATAACTTGAAGAAGAATATCTAATTTTGGGAAAAAATCATTAGATTCTCTTCTGAAGAATCTCTTTTATTACTAAAATAAAACTGTTTCTTTGGCTGTTGAAAAGCCGACATCACTGTTTAAGTTTGCCGCCAACAACAGGGCAGCGACAAATACAACAACTAGAAGGCACAAAGGACATGAGCAGAGCATGGCAAAAAGTGGAGACGAGAAAGGTTTGGATGTGGGTTTTGGGTATGATGGGTATGGGTTTGGGTTTCGGGCAGCACTTCCCTGCCAGCCATGACTTACAGACACACATACACAGCATCCGAAGCTGATGAAAGGGGATGAATGTGCTGCTCTTGTTTGTTTTCGTTGTTTTAGCTGGGCCAGGACAACTGGGGAACTGAGGAACTGAGGAGCCAAGGAGCAGCCACAAAGCAATAGCGCCGGCGGAGAGCCAAGGAAATTCATCAAAACGCCATTTGCATAGCACTCCATTACGGCGAAAAGAACAAAGAAAGGCACAATTAAAACGCTCGTCGCCGCAAAGGAATCCGTGGGAGGACTAGAAAGGACTATAGAGATGGCGTCGTTTTCTAGGAGAAGGACATCCTCCGCGCCCGCTGGGCACTTGACGATTGAGGGAATCCTCCGGCACAAAGACAACGCCAAACAGCAGGGGAAATCGGCACCTCTTTGGTGCATCATCATCATCGCAGGATCCTTGCATCTCAGGACTAACAAGTGCCTTTTCGCCGACATCAAAGATTCGGCTCGACCTTAATGGCATAATTGCTACTGAAAGCCCCGTAGAAGCTGCTTTTTCTCTCGGGTCACAAAGAAAGTTAGTTGCTGACGCTTTTTATGGCCATAACGATGGTTAAATGAGGCCCGGAACATTCAGAAGAGCGAATTACCTTTGACTTTGCCGCGCGTGGTTTCCTAAGCGTTTTGTTAATCATTACAGGATATTTTTAGAACGCTAGGCATAACTATTAAAAATACTGAAGTGGCACCTTAGGTCGTGAAACTTAAGTATGACCTTGCATGCATTCTAATCTTATTTACTGAGTACTCAGCAGTTGCTTTCGCTATTTTTTGTCTAAGCAGGGAATTAATATTAATAATATAGCAAGAACAAATTTATATTTAAAGTACTTAGATATCGAAAGTTAAGTGGAAGACATTTATTTCAATGTTATTTTTCCTGCAGTCTGCTCTCTAATTTTAAGTTATATTAACATTTTTTAAATTCATCATTTATTAATATTTAAGCAGATCGAAATGGAAACCGTTCAAATAGGAACTCTGCATACATATAAGAGCTTTAAACTTAATTATTGCGCAGATTGCATTGGTTTTGGAAGATAAATTACGTTTGATTGGGGTTTGCAAAGTGTTTAGTTAGAGCAATTAGATAAATTAAGTATCTTAAATATGCAAACAATTATATCTTGGATGTTTTAAGGATAAGTTGAAAAAAGTTTATATTTTTTAAAAAGAAAATGATTTTCCACCGAAATATGACTCCCTTTTTTAAGATAGCGAGTTCTTCGGCGCTGATGGGTTTTTTTTATTAATCTGATATTAAGAAAATAAGGGGATTTATTTTTAAGAAAATCAGTAGGAAGAAACATTTTTATTCGGAGCGGGTTTTAAAAAAGCCCTAGTTGATCTGAGACCAAATCGAGGAAAATCCTTAAGGGTTACGCAAAAGCATCTTGCTAAACAAATGAATAATGTTCTGTTAATCAACTAAACTGAACTTTTATCTTTATAAATATGCCGCCGGCGAATCGCTTCTATCTACATATAACTCATATTTATCTGTTGCGAAACTTATCAAATATTTTTGGAAGCCACAGACAATGCGCTTTAATATATTCCATACGATAAAAGAATAGATTACACATTGAATATATTTCGAGTTAAGGTTCAACCCCCAAAAATTGATTGCCAGCAACTATTTTGTTTCATTCTTGTTCGAATGCAGTTGAACGGAAATTATGAAATAATTAAATAAATCCTTATTGATTTTGTGTTGTGAGCGAATGCCGAGAAACAACAATGGAAACATGAGGCAGCAGCAGAAGCAGACCCTCTCGAGGGCAGATGATGATGATTTTTCTATCCCTATTAGATTGCGTACGCATCGCCGGATAATTCCTTTCCATTCTTTTCAAGTTATGAGTTCTGATGATTGACAGGTAAGTCTAGCGTGAGATGAGGGCTTCCCATGGCCGGAGGCTACTGCTTAGAGTTTCCCTGTAAACGGTTGCCCAGGTGAAGAAATACTAGCGGGCTTTGGTTTACGTTTCTTCGAGGGATCCCAAACCTCAGGTATGCCATTAAATCACCTTTGATGCACTCTTGAAAATCCAATTCCTCGACAGGTTGCTCACTTCGGGAACCGCGCGACTTTTCGGATTATTATCTCGCCACTAATTGTTGACAAATCTCTGGCACGAGCCACGGAGCACAAAGTATTCGGGTGACAATGCCTTGACAAGCGTAAAGTCAAACTGAGCGAGTCGAGTCCTCTGAAAGTGATGCTCAGTCTGATTCTGAATCAGAATCCTCATCCAGCGTTGACAGCGATTGCAGATTTCACCCTGCCAGCCACGTATGTGCGCCCATGAGTACATAAACCATTTCGGGGTTGCCAGCCTCAACCTCATCCACATCCTCATCGCAGTCCTCACCCACAGCCTCTTCCATTCACAATTGTTGCATGCGGACATCGAGGATGGCGCTTACGTCGTTTATGTACGGATATCGAACTTAATTGACGAGCACATCGGAGTCGGAATATCACGCAGAGAAAATATTTAAAACTTTGATTAAGAACTAAAACTTTGATAAAGAACTAGAACTTTGATTAAGACAATTCAATAGGGTATTTAAATATTTCTTAAGTTCCATATAAAAACAGAACAATATTAAGATTTTTAAGAGTTAAGAGTCAGGCTTTCCAAAACAACTATTTAAAAAAATTTAAAATTTAAAAAAATGTATTTTAACATTATTACATTTACTTACTATGATATTAGCACAGTAAAATTTTTTTAAATAACACATCCGTCACTTAAATATATTTAATAAAATACAGAATTCTAAAGAATTGAATCTTTGTATCATTTCTTATTTTTTAAAGATTTTACTGGTACTCTTTTGATATGAACTGCAACTGGATTTTGTGTTTTATACCAAAATGTTGTCTAATATAATAACTGAATCTTGAACACAAAAAGACTTTCAAATATATCCGGAAGTTGTCTAAAAAATTGAACTATATATTTTTGTGTAAAACTACCTAATGTATCGACTATGTGGCTTTTTTCTCCTAGTGGAGAACCAGTGCCCCTCAGAGTTCCCGACCAGCTGTTGATGGACTGCCCGCCAGAGGTGTAGTAGCAGTAGAAGGAGCAGGAGTTCTGGCGCTGGGGACGACCTCCAACATAATGATGCTTCATGTACATTGTACAACAACACAACACAAAGGATGTTCTTTTCAAAGTGTCCGTGGTTGCGGCAGAGCAAAAGAGACGGCATCAGGCGAATAGGAGTCATTGTGTGCAACCAATATGCGCAGGTCCAGATTCGGTCCTTGGTTCCCATTCCCCCGATAATCCTTGGTCCTTGGAACCCAAGAACCCAGACCAAATCCTGGCCCACTGCCAGAGTGCCAGGGCAAAGGAAAAATCAGACGCCCGTCCTTATTGTACATAAACAGAGCGGCGGAGTTGGGTTTTTATTTGTAATCCGCAGAACGCAAGGGTTGAGTTGCAAGACCCACCTCCGGATTCCATTTCCTCCCCTAAACACAAACGTGGAAATTATTTTCGAATAAGTTTGAAAACAATATGGAAGGTATGGGGAAAGGAGGAGGGGCTGCGACCGGCGGCAGCCTCATTTGTTTCTAATGAGGTTAAGACCGCCATTGCTCAACCAAACGAACCAAACCCGATGAACAAGGGGCGTCTGATGATGGTCTAGACTCTTTGCTTTGGCCCGGCAAACTGGGGGAAAAAGCACGGAAAAATACTCACTACGGCTGCGAGTATTGCCGAAGGTCAATAGTGGCACTTTGTTCGCGGCAAAAGTTGCCAGCAAAGCCAGAAAAGTTCAACACGGAAGCGCTCACTTTTCAGGTGCAACGCCCATTCGCAAGGACATCCAAAGGATGCACTTTGGCGTGGAAAACTGTTGCACCTTGTTCAGGACAAAGGAAACTTATTATAGGATTCAGGTGGCAAAATAATTATATAGCGCGACATTAATTAAATTGGCGCAGCTAAGTGGCAGCAGCTAAGTCCCTTTTTCGTGTGGTGAAAACCGAAGTATGATTTTCAAATAATATAATAAATTACTAAACAATGTGTTACAGTGTTTAGTTTTAGCTTTAAAATTACTTCTGCTTAGAAATAATTGGTTTGTAAATATGTTCAAGCTAAAGAAAAATGTTTATAACTAATAAGTTGTCAATGCTGATAGAATTAAACAAGGAAGGCAAACTGTAACTTAGATACAACATCTCTGTAATATAACCGAGATAAGTTAAAATCCAATAACCATATGTTTGTGAAATGAATATAAAAATGTCCCATTTATAAAATTTTATTTTTCTCGCCACATTTTTAGACGGTTTTAATGTAAGCCAGTAAAAACATCAATACTATTTAAAGAATTAGCTTAGCCCTTCTTCATCAAATAAAATCATATTATCTAAAACTTTTAAAAACCCATTGACAATTAAGGCGGATACTCACATATGTAATTTGCATACAAAATTCAACATGAAAATCAAGGGAAGATATTGGTATTCCAAAAAGTTAAAGTGGTTTCTGAAATAAATTTGTGATAACTTATTGGATTAGAATAAATTTTATACATTTGGTCAGTATAGAAATATTTGGTTCAATTAGTAAATTTATGGTGTAGAGTGTAGTTATCTTTCTGCAAAGCTTCTTTACCGGGTTTTTTTTAGACATTTAAATTTTATTAATTAAACAAGAGAGAACGCTATAGTCGGGTGCCCCGACTATCAGATACCAGTTAATCAGCTAAAGACAGAGGGAGGAAGATGGAGAAGTAATACTTTGATCGGGCATAACTAAAATCGTTTAAGCCGATTGTGGGCGTTAGAGGGGGCGTGGCCCTCGGCTGAAACAAACTTGCGCTGCATATGAAGCGCAAGAATATATGTGGGTAATCTAAGCTTTCTAGCTTTTGTAGTTTCCAAAATCTCCGGACAGACAGACGGACATGGCTCGATCGACTCGGCTAGTGATCCTGATCAGGAATATATATACTTTACAGGGTCTGAAATGCTTCCTTTTAGCTGTTAAATACCTTTGCACGAATACAATATATAAATCTTTTTAGCCATTTAAATTATATTACTTAAATGTAATCTAAAACAAGAGAGAACGCTATAGTCGGGTTCGTGTCCCGACTATCTAATACCCGTCACTCAGCTAATGGGAGTGCGAACGCTGTACTCGGGTTGGTGTCCCGACTAATAATCGTAACTCAGCTAAAGGGAGTGCGAGTGAGATGGATATAGAAATTTTGATTGCGTATAACTTTTTAATGAATGCACTATGGGGAAAAATTCCGTTTTTTTGGCATAAACTCTAGTTTTAAAGATAGGGCCTTGAAAATTATAATATATACTCCTTATGCACAAATAGAATTTCGGTTTTTTCCATTTTTTGAAAAAACCTTACGGTTGTAAAAACACCACCCACAGCCACCCACCCACCACCTCCCCATTATGGTCAACCCCCTAAAAATTTGTAAGAATATTTTTTTTATTAATAAAAAACATTTTTATATAGATAACTTATGTAAGATATAATATTAATAAAATAAAATTTAATTATTCTCCATCGAAACTCTCTGAAACAAGCAAGAAAGTTAAAAAATTGGGTTTGTGTTATGGTGTGTTTGCCATACCTAGACACCAACTTCAATCATTCTTCTTCAGGTTCTGCTTCCAAATAAACACTATCCAAATCAAAGAAATTGATTTCACCATCTTCGTCTTCCTCCGTACTTTCAATATCGTTTGTAACATCGGAATTCATATGCAGCTAAACAGTGATTTATTGAAAAAGGGGCAAAAACGGGCAAAAAGCAATGATAACACCTGTTTCTTTATCATTTTGTTAATACATTTATATTACAACCTTGCGTCGATCGGCGTAGATTCTTAACTAAAGCTTAACAGAACACAATAACTTTTGTTAGTTTTCGGCTAAAAGAGACATACACAAGACATTAAACAACAGGACAATGCAAACAGTTACAACACAATTTGTTTTGAGAAGTATTTAAGCATACCTTGACGTAAATTTTCCATATTTTTGTTTATTTTTTCGCCCTCTGAACACTTTGCACGACGATGGGAAACTTTGGAGTAAAATTAGCGCGCTTTTTTCTTAGAGATGAGCACGTTAATCGATAGACTTTGATAGGCTACAACAAATTATCGGTGGCACGTAAAATTTTTTTTTAAATTGTTCTAATAAGTTTAACCGTTTTACTATTAAAATAAAATATTTGTTTTTTAAATTAGTAACTTTTATTTTTTGCGTTTATGCCAAAAAAACGGACTTTTTCCCCATAGTGGAATGGTCCGATTTGAAAAATCTTCTACATTTCGATAGGTATAAATATGCACAACAAAATTGCATTTATACTTCTCGGAAATCTTAAAAGGTGTGGGCGCCAGACACATTTTAAAATCGTTAGTGGGCTATTGTGGGCGTTAGAGGGGGCGTGGCACTCGGCTAAAATAAACTTGCGCTGCGTAGGAAGCCCAAGAATATGCGTGGAGAATCTCAACCTTCTAGCTTTTGTAGTTTCCGAGATCTCAGCGTTCATACAGACAGACAGACGGACAGACGGACAGACGGACATGGCTAGATCGACTCGGCTAGTGATCCTGATCAAGAATATATATAGTTTATAGGGTCGGAAACGCTTCCTTCTACCTGTTACATACTTTTGCACGAATCTAATATACCCTTTTACTCTACGAGTAACGGGTATAAAAATGTATTAATATGTGTACAAATTACTTAAGCAACATTATCATTACATTTTTTATAATTGAAAATGTTCCAAAAAATAGTAGATATTAAAATCTTACATGTTTTTGATTTTTGTCTAAATTATAATTTTTTTTACGATTTCGGGTTGGTATTAATTTAATACTGTTAAGCAAGTTGTTCATGGTGCGGCGCATGCAAAAACAATTACCACCCAACCTTTAGACTTAAAATACCGACAAAACCAAAAATTTTGGAAGTAAATAGTAAAAACAATTTCAAAGAATTTCAGAAATCTATTTGAATGGCAGTTTCAAGTAATATAAAAATTAAATATACATCCAATTTTGTTAGGGTTTTGGTTCAATTTTAGATTTGTTTCGTTTCCCTGTTGGTATTTTATAATTTAAATATTTCTGACAAAAATTTGAATTGAAGGTGTTCATGGTGTGGCGTACTCTTAAGCAATCATGTAACCGCCATTCAACCCCAGTGCATGCATTATTGAATAACCCTTTGATATTAGCTTTGAGGGGGAGAACAAATATTTCGCGCACGAATGATTTAAACTTACGCCTAAATAAATATAAAGAATGCGTATGATTGCAAAAGAAAATAAAACACTTACCGATTAAACTGAAGTGAGAAATGGCCAACGCTTGACAATATATGTATTCAAAACGATGTGACTCCTTTAAGACGGTTGAATCTTTTGATGTCCGATTTGTAGAAATTTTTAACGCTGCGTTTCACTTATTTTCTTTTATTCGCATTACTTCCTATTTATGTATCTTATATTACAGTTGATGTACTACATGCAGTACCTGAAAGAAAAACAAAAGAAGTTTGATTAGTTAGTAATATTGCAGAGAAAATTATGGATAATGGATAATAATTAAGACGCTCGAGCAATATTTTAAAATTATTTTTAACAAATTAACTAACTAATTAACTTAATTATATATCAAAATATTCAAAAAATGTGTTAAATATTTAGTAAAATCGTTAGCACATTTTAAAGCTCTGATAATAACTTTTAATAAAATGAATTAAGTTCCTTGACAAATTTTTAAAATGTCTGCAGGAAAAGATGAAAGAGTTAGATGAAAGAGTGAGGGTAAGATGAAAGAACGAAGATGTAAGTTACAAACAAATATAGATATTTAAACTTGTATTTTTTTAATATATGAGGGTAATGTGAAAAATATTTGCATGGCGTGGGCATTATACCTATGACTAACACTCTTGGTTTGTTGTTTTACAGTATACTTATTATTATGGATTCTTAATAATCTTCAATAGGCGTTTGTTTGTCAAACAAAATGTGTTTTCATTGGATAAATGCAGATTGGACTTGGAAATTTGAAGATTTATAATAATCAATGCTTGCGCTTGGATAATAACAATTAACTATTTGTTGATAAATTGTGCAATTCTTTGAAGATCATGTATTAAATACATGCAGGATCATTAATAAATCAGTATTTCAACAGAAAAGGCAGACAAATATGGATGTTTTTGCATTCCCTAAAGTATTATCCTAGTCCTTGAAAAGATTCTATAAGATATATGCCAATGTGCCATGCAAATCCGACAATCCACAGACTAAATAGGGAAATTAGATCATTAGTTATTGTTCGGTCATGGAAATTCTAAGGCATAACCTACCCTTAGATTCGTGTATCCTGGGCTTCACTCAATTGGGATGGCTGACGAGGACTGATCCTGGCGAGAAATCCAACTAATCCTGGCGGCCCTGGCTCCAATCTGCGATGGCGATGATGACGAGGTGGGTTTGGACGGGAGTAATTTGATTGTAGCTTTAACGGCTGGACGCTTCGATTTCAATTGCAAATTCAATTTCAACTTAAACTTCAATTTCAATTTCGATATCGACGAGGATGATGCTATCATTTTGATTTGAGTGCTCAACGTGAGGGATTCGTGACTAACAATTAATGGAAGGACGATTTGTGGAGTTCAACAAACAAACAAGCGTAAACGTAAACAATATAGAGTGAGTGTGTGTGTGTTAACAAGGAGGCAGGCACAAAGGACTGGATTCCGGATTAAATGCTAAACAAGGCAGGTCTTCTCCAGCGGCTGGATCCTCTCAGGTGGGTTTACCCAAGGGGCATTGCCCAATACAATCCGATTACTGGTTGATATATAAATTTGGGATATATATATATATATCTTTAGCTTCCTGCTTCACCAGGAGTAGGAGTAGTCATCATCCTGGTCCTCTGGCAACTCTGGTCGTCCTCCGGAGGAGGGAGAAAATCGTTCCGAACCGCCGCCCTCTAGAGCATCTTTGGCTGGTCTCCTCCGTTGGCTCCGCGGTTCCTCCGGAAAATCCCTATGTGCAGTAACGCCTCTCCTTTTCAGTTCTCCACCATTTAAACACTTTTCCGTCTGCTGCTTCTTTTATTTTGTGTATTTTGTTGTTGCTGTTGTTGCTGCTGCTGCCTCTGCCTCTTCTTCAGCTGCTGCTCCCGTTGCCTTTCGATTTTCATGGACGTATCGTTGCGGGATTCGTTGTTCGCCGTAACTCCAGAACGCGGACACTGTTTCCGGGCTCGGTAGCACCGCTATTTAGTGGTAAATAATAGATTTATTGAAATGGCAAAACAAAATGTAGTTCTCGACGGCGTTGCAATCGAAATACAACCGTTGGACAATCGGATGGTTTTACGTTGCGATAGTGTAACCACTATCGGTAATATTGCAACAGCGAATACAACAGCGATTTTAAGCGGAATCGTGTTCACATAGAGAAACCGCTAAAGCGCCGCTGATCAGGACAAACAACCTCGAAACCGAAAGGACGTGCAAATTTAGTTGTCCTGAAAATTATAGAATTATAACTCAAAACAAATTGAAATTTGAACGCTAGCATGTGGAATGTTATCAACGGTCCAAGAACGAGAATGTCATCTAGACAAGCGCAGTAAAAATTATTTGTGGACAAACAATTGTTTTTTAAGTCACAATTTTGTCCAAATTTAGGAGATGGATTAATTAATTAATTAGTCCCTGAAGCGAAACATGGCCACTTAAGCGAAAACCCTCTCTGTGTGAACACTCTGTCATTTGAGCCACCAATCGATTGATTGCACAATAAATCGCTATCGATAGTCGCTTGAGAACCAACGGATCCGGTGTCACCGCCGATTGCCCATCTCTAGCCAATTTTTTAATTTTGACATGTTTTGACATTCGTCCTCGGTCGTGGGGACGGATCGGTCGGCGATCTCTCCTGTGAAGCCATCAAAAGCGGCACCACGTGCCCCACATGGGCATGGTTGAGACGATCCCAGGCGTAGGCGCCTTCTTCTCCTTGGTTCCAAACTGCTATTTAAACAGGATTAATATCATAAACTTGTTAGATGACCTTTGCAGGATATGTTTGTTTCAGCATATTACCAATAAGGTGTGTGGACAATGACAGCATTTCTGGAGAGAAAAACCTCCCCGCAACCCTTTTGGCATTTAAATTGAATTAGACGCTTTTTTTATGTTTAACGTCTTCGGCCACCTCTTTCCAGACGTCCCCGTCCTCGTGGTCCGAACCGTCCTCATGATTCCGTTTTTGGGTTGTGGTATTAAAAGTTCGTTGGCAATTTAAGAATCCACACACATAGCGGGAGACGTGCAGCTCCTTCATTGAAGTGCAATACTCTCATCTGGTTTCTGGTCTGTGTGCTCTCAAGACATTGGCGGGGGTAGGAAAGGGAGGGCAATTTTTAACATATATGTAAATATATGTGGTGGACGTGGTGTCGGGGATGCCCAACTCCCTTCTCACGTCGTCCACCAGCATTGGTCGTACAACATTGTCATCGGCTTTAAGCCATATGTTGCTCGATGGTATCGCCGTGTACGCGAAGTAATGGCCACAGGAAATATACTTTCCGTCGTGGACCACTACCCCGCGCAGATTGTACTTATCCTCATCCTCCGTCCCCGACTCCGTGCAGCCGGTGCAAAAGCATTTAATTTCGAAATGCAACGGCACGAGCTCGAGCACCTTCCCCATCGTTGCCGAAAATCTGATAACCTGGATAACCAGAACTTCCGGCCACTTTGGGTAGCTCGTTTCTTGCACGGAGTCGGTTACCTCTCCGCATGATGAACACGTCAGCCGGAGTTCAGTGACATGTTACGTAACTTCCTGGAAAAGGATAAAGTAAATAGAAAAGAAAATATTTAAATAAATAAATTTTACCCTTTTGTGCGCCGGATCGACGCATGGCAACGATATCCCCGTGAACTTCTGCTCCCGTTCCGTGAGGCTCCCGCAAATGAGGCAGGTATTTGTTTGCCGTTCAATGCCCTCGAAACAATTTGTTTCCGGAATCGCTTTTCTAAATAAGAAAATTTCCATATTATTAATTTCAATATAATATATAATTATTTATTAAACTCACTCGGTTTCCAAAAGCCCCAGAATTTGGAGCAGCAGCTCGTGAGCGTCGTGCTGCTCTCCGGGGGTGAAGGAGGGCCATTCCGCCTGGATGGACTGCAGCAGGGCTGTCGGCCGGAGACTCACCCCCTCCCACTAGCTTCCCCCCTCCGCATTTGAATAAGGACTTCATGGAGCAGCTCCATGACGCCCTTCTCCCTGGTCTCGCCCAGCAGCTCGTCCCACAGAATTGTGGTTAGAATTCCCACTGAATTGTGGATCGCTTGTGTGGCGATGTGGGTGCTGCGCAGGGCGTAGACCACCGCATTTAAAAAGCAACTGTTCCCTAAGTTCTGTAGGGAACTGTATGCTGATGCGGGCGCAAGCGCGGGAGTGGGCGCGGCAGTGGGAGCGGGAGAGGGCGTGCTAGTGGGCGCGGCAGTGGGCGCGTGAGTGGGCGCGGTAGTGGGTGGAGGCCCCCTTCTTGGTCCCGGGCTGTAATTTAAACAGGATTAATATCTAATATCCTAGATTAATCTTGTTTTAGCATATTACCAATGAGCTGCGTGGGCATGGGCAGCAGATTTTGTGAGCAAGACCTCCCCACAACCCTTTGGGCATGAAAACTGTACCAGGCGCATTTTTCTTTTCTTAACGTCTTCGGCCACCTCTTGCCAGACGTCCCCGTCCTCGTGGTCCGATCCCTCCTCATGATTCCGTTTTTCAATGAGAGTAGCAAAGGTGCGTTCGCAATTGTGAAAGCCACACACATGCCGGGAGATTGTTAGCTCCTTCATGGATGTGGGGGGACTCGGACCCGAGGACGAGCTCGGCACTGTGCTGCCAAGATCTGCCATGGCCAACGTGAAGGCCGTTGGAGGCAGGGTTGCCAAGACAGCCCTGGCAGCGGCAGCACGGGACATCAGCCCTTCTCCTTGGCCCTCCTCGGTTTCAGAAGGCCTCGCCTCCACCTCCAACCGGTTGTCCTGTTGGCCTGTTGTCAGGCCGTTGTCCTCGGTTGTGGGGTTCGGGATTTCACCCTCACCCTCACCTTCCGCAAGCGGCACCACTTGAGCATCCCCTTCTCCCTCCAAAGATTGACGATAGGCCCTGGCGCTATCTGCAAGGGAAACCCATTGAGGGGGACGCCTTATCGTCAGGGGACGAGCCATAGTATAAATGGTCCCACGGGGTAGAACCTGAACAGGTAGAACGGGGACTCCTGCGTCCTCTTTCCTCCCCTTTTCGGCACTCAACGTCGACGTCGACGACTCTTTGCCCTCCTCGGCAGTGTCTGTCGAAGACGACTTCTCCTCCAATGGTTTTCCTAATGGTTTGGTTTGGTTTTGGTGATGGTCAGGGAAATACATGGAAAAAATACACGGAAAAAAAAACATAACGAGCATCCGGACAGCTTTAACGTTTCAATTGCTGTCGCAGTCCAACATTTGAAGTAATATTAAAGCTGCCCGGAGGAGTTTCAACATAGTCTTATCATCAACTCCCTGTCTACTCTTTACTCCCTGAGTCTATTTTCCCACAATTTAAAGCGGCAATCTAGGTCCTCGGCAGTAAAAAAATTTAGCGCCAAGTTATCTCCGGTCTTAAGAAAAATGTCGACAATAAGGTCGGCATTTTTCAGCAGCACTTTAAATTGGTCATATTAATATATAAATATATTTTTTTACATATTTTTTTTGTATTTATTTAATATAATAACTTATTCCATTTTATTTAAATGATCATTAATTATTATTATTAAGCATTTGCAATTTCAAGCGCAAGTTAGAAGTTGCAATTTTCTAACTTAAATAATTGGAATCCAACTGAAAATCCCAACTAAGGAATTATAACGATTCTCGTTCGGCGAGACGAACGATTTCATGCTAGAGTTCGTGGTTCAAAATCGAACTGGCTCGATAACTGCAGTGGTCTGCCAACCTATTTTTACAACACTACCGCGCTGCCAACCGATTTCTTATTTTATTTATTTATTTATTTTTTGAGTATGAAATCTGGTACGTAACCCGGATTAGGGTTTTTTAGGGGGAAAGTGAGAAGTTGGGCTTCAGCACTCATATTTGAATTTGGGATCAGAATTGTCAGATCAAAAAAAATATTCCCAAATTGAAACTCTTAAATTTTAAAACAATTATGGACAAACCAGTGTATGCTCGCGTGGTCAAGATCCTAGGCAGGACCGGATCCCAGGGTCAGTGCACCCAGGTGAGGGTCGAGTTCCTGGGCGAGCAAAACCGCCAGATAATACGGAACGTCAAAGGACCCGTTCGCGAGGGCGATATCCTTTCCCTTCTGGAATCCGAACGAGAGGCCAGGAGACTACGATGAGAACATTTTTAATTCATCATTAAGCAATTCAATTGGAAACTTTAATTAAAAAAAAAATGTTCAAAGCATAGCAATAAAAAATATAAAATAAACCCCTTACTTATCGATTTAGCCCCGCTGTTATCGATATCTCCCCATCACTATCCCAACAGCTGTTTGTGTTGCGATTCCGATGCCATTCATTCCATTCCAATGAGATACAGATACAAATACTCAGATACTCGTTCGTAACGGACGGCCAACCGGAGATACTCGATCGCGAGGTTTGTTGTTGGCCAAACGAAAGCGAAAACGGAATACACAAATTTACATAAAACAATAAGAGAAAAACAGCAAAAGCGAAAAGAAAACCGGGAAATGTGAAAAATGTGCGATGAAAAATGTGTCCGCTGTGCGTGTGTGTGGGTGCAGCGGCGGCCGTAGCAGCTGTCGGTATGTGTGTGTACCGTAAATGCAAGAGTTTGCATTGCAAAAGCAGCAACAATAAGAATTGCGACAACAACAACAAACAGGGCTAAAAGTTAAAAATTAAATATATACATATGTGTAAGCCCAAAAAATGCCCGAAAAATCATACGAAGAGGAAAATTCGTTACGCTGCACTGGGACTTCTCGAGGTGCTCTGAAAAATCGATTGGTCGCAAAGAAAGTGGCGACCGCGAAATAATGAAGGATTTTGGGTCCTCCAAGGGAGCTTAACTCCTGGGAAAATCAACCAGAGGTGAGTCCATTCAAAGTGCCCCAAAAAATTAACACTCTCCAAAGCAAGAAACAAACATCAAAAACCAAGTCAGTCGTTAAAAAGCAACCATAAAAACATAAAAACAAAAAGTGCAAAGTAAACGGCGCATTTGCCTGCGTTTGTTTTGGTTTTTTGACTTGCCATTTATTTCGTAACAACTAAACCGAAAATACCTGTTCGACCTCACGCCCCCTTTGGCCCCACCGCCTCCACCTAACACCCAACCCCCCCGACACACCCTGCCGCCACAACAAAAAATACAATAAAAGTCTCTGCACTTACGAGTAGTGGTTGTTCCTACACAGAAAAAATAATTACTTTCGATTATGCATTGATTAATCAACATTTTTTATTCAAGAATTTTATGCCCAACATATTTTATTATGGATTTAATGTAAATTAGGGTTCCCTTGATCCTAAAAACTAGCAGTAGATTTTTGAAAAAGTTTTGATTTTCTTATATATTTTTTTTTTCTTAATTGTTAATTTTATATGCCAAAATTATTAAAAAAAATCAACATTTTCAGTGATGCCAACTATATAATCCCAAATTTTTGATTTTATCTTTACACGTGAAACCATAAATTTTTCATTCATAAATTTACAAAACAGAGTCAATGATCTTTGGTCTGCTGGTGAAAGTTGTCTTTTTTTCAATAAAACTAGTTTAAATGAAACTTTCTTACCTCGCCTTGCTTATATTATTTAAGTGTATTAAAACTTTAAATTACTAGTCAATAGATAAAGATTTTCCGGTTTTTAAAAGTTTATTAACATTTTAAAAAGAGTCTGAAAATAAAAATTTTTTTTTTTTTAATGTGTTTATCAGTTTGGTAAAATGTTGTTCCTGGCTAATAAATGTAACTTTTTTTCTCAGTGGGCTTGACTTTTTCAACATTTTTTCCGCCTTCACCCTTCCTTTGCTGAATTTCAAAGTCGAGTTCTATCGTCATGTGCCCCACTTACAATTTATTAATAAAGGGGCCGCGTTATTAACCTGAGTTCATTGATTTTATTCATTTAAGTGCGTCAGATTGACGTTACCAGGAAACATAATAATTAGCTGCCTGGCACAAAGGGGCGTAATTGGATATTCATCTGGAGAGGGAGTTTCTATTAATCAAGCACTGGGCATTAGCATTTCCCATTGATTAGTTGTACATAGTTTCCCAGTTAATAAGGTCTTTGGAATGTATCTATCCATTATCTTGGCTTTGCATATACACACTATATATTATAGTTGTGCGCCTAAATTAAACTGGCATGTGACTTGGTTTTGAGATGTCCACTTGTGAAGCGAAACTGCTTTTTACTGGCGACAGCTTGACGACGAAAACAAACTACTTAAATTCCGGGGAAAAGTGTAAGGAATTAGTGTAGTCCGTTAAGGAAAAGCTTAAAAAGTGAACTTTTTATTATACTGCCAAGGCTTTTCTGCACTTTATTTCTGGGTATAAATATGGGGCCTTATATGAAAAGTTGATGCGTGCACATACAAATTATTCACAGGGGAATTTTATGTTTATATACAGTATTTGTTAGACTCGACCTTGAAAAAGTAGTGATATAAGCAAGTTTTATTAGCCCACCAGGAATATATTGTGTTTTCAGTCTTGGTATTTTTATAGCAATTTGTATCAACAATTGAATTTTTTTCGTTTCACCTATTAGATATTAGATACAGTGAAGAAATTATTAACTTTGTAATTTATCAATCATACACAAGTGGCTTAATAGTTTGAAATATCATAAATTTAATAAAATAATGTCGAATTCTCCCTAACAGATAAATGATATAACTTAAAATAGGTCATTGCGTTTGCCTCAAAAATACGCCCCCCATAAATTCCCAAGTAAACATACGAATTATTACATGATTTAGTGGCATTATCTAGTTCTTTCCTGTTTCTGCCACAAAATTGTTCTTCCTCGAAGCAAAAGCGTTTCACTTGTGAAATCTATTTTTATGCCAATTGACGCGAGGCCGCGGATTTGTGATTTCAGAATTGAGATTTCAGACGGCGGTCCGCCCACTTTACAGGCTCTCCAACTGCGTGCGGTGCTCCATGCGGCGACTACGTGTTTCCCAGTCCCCAGTCCCCTGCCCTCTATATCTCACCCATCCATCCATTCATCTCCAGTGAGACCAAGTGAGCCTCCATTTGCTAATTATACTCAAGTGCCAAGTGCCCAGTATTTGGATCCAAAAGTATGGATCCGAGATCGCTGAGCACCGGAGCCGCCGTGCAATTGAATTTGCGTACTCGTTACTCATCTGATTAGCATCCCCATTCCGATGCCGAAATCCCATTGTGCGGATCAGCCCTCGAGAATCTGGCATCAGCACTTGCTGATTTCAGGCCCAAGCACCTGATGTGTATATAATAATATACAAAATTGATAAGAAAATATACCTTTGATTTTTAATGAAATTCCATATCAATTAAAATATAACTTTATTTCGAGAGTTTCATATTTTAAATAAAACAAATTAAATTTCCTGCGTTTATGACAATAGATTTAGCACTTTTAAGTCTTTTCCGATTTAAGACTATTTTCATACAATTTGTAATATCTATTTTACATTATTCAACGGTAAAAAGATGAGATAAACTTTAAAACACAACTTCAAATATATATTTTAAATTGTTTAATGTTAAAAAAATATATCAAAACAAAAAAAACCTGTTAATAATTTATTTTCTTATCTAATAAATCAGAGGATTGAGTCATTAAAAGTTGTTTCGTTCAAGGCTATTGCTTCAAATATATAGGTTTTCTACCCTCGGTGCTTTTTGGAAATAAAAGCCCCAAAATTACTGATTGTGCCTTATCAGTGAGGCTGAGTGAATTGAATTTTCATCAGAACTATGACCATTTCATTCCAGATGGCGAGATGAAGGCGGTCTGCCAGTGAAAACTTGCCAGTTATTTGATCGCTGGAGGAGAAAAGAGACGTGAACAAGCTGCAGAAATGTCGAAAATGAGGGGTAATAGATCCAGGCCCAAAGTAAAAAAGCTAGCCATGCTAAATCCGTTTGATGTTTGCCGTTGAAACAGGTCGCATTCTGATCCCACTGCCCAATACCGGAGCAATGGGTCGCAAGCGCAATAACTTCTACATGAGGAGCGTATTCCTGCTGGCCCTGTGCATTTTTGGCCTGCTGCAGTACCACAATTTTAACTATCGTAAGTGGGGGAAATTTAATTTCTGATTGTAATAAACCCTAAACTCCTTTTTCAGTGGACTCGCGGGACAATGTGCTGGGCGATGCGGTCACCAACGACTCGGATGATGCCATTTTGGCCATGGTGCCCGCCACTCTTCATAAATATCTAACGCCCCACTCCCGGAATCACACCACCTCGGCTGCAGGAGGAGGAGGAGTCCTTTCCGCAGCGGGTAATCCCCTAGAGAATTAGATTTAAATGTGTATTAACCCAGTTTTAGTACCCCTTCCAGCCCTTCTGTTGAACACAAGTAGCTCGGGAGCTGCTACGGCCACCACCATCAGCTTCGATGTCTACCATCCTCCGAATATCACGGAGATCAAGCGTCAGATCGTCAGATACAACGATATGCAGATGGTGCTCAACGAGGATGTCTTTGGCCCGCTGCAAAACGACTCTGTGATAATTGTGGTCCAGGTGCACACGAGGATCACCTATTTGCGCCATCTGATTGTCAGTTTGGCTCAGGCTCGGGATATTTCCAAGGTGCTGTTGGTGTTCTCACACGATTACTATGACGACGACATCAACGACTTGGTGCAGCAGATAGACTTTTGCAAGACAATGCAGATCTTCTATCCGTACTCCATTCAGACGCATCCTAACGAATATCCCGGCGTGGATCCCAATGACTGCCCCAGGAATATCAAAAAGGAGCAGTGAGTTTTGGTAATATCATGTATTATAACTATACTTATGTCCTATTTCTATAGAGCTCTCATTACCAACTGCAACAATGCCATGTATCCCGATCTCTATGGTCACTATAGGGAGGCAAAGTTTACGCAGACAAAGCACCACTGGATTTGGAAAGCCAACCGGGTGTTTAATGAACTGGAGGTGACACGCTATCACACAGGTATATATATCATTAATTATTAATATATATATATATATTGTTTTTGGTGCAGCCCTATGGGCATTAAATATTTTAGGGCACATATTTGTCCTTCTATTTTTTTAAGCCTGTTCACCGCATCAAGTTGGTTGGGAATAGAGGTGAACAAATTATATCATAGGCTTTGATTAAATCAAATTACGATGGAACCTTTAATGCATTTATGTAAAAGGGCATCTAAGCAAATTTTTGGTATAGGTTTTATTATAATTGAGCACAGACCCTCGAAGATATATTAAATCAAAACATTAAATGTTGCTATTTTTTTCAAACCGCGATTGCCCAAATACCACCCGTTAAATGCGAAAACTAAGTATGCAGATATGCTTTTATACGTTTATACTAACATATTTTAATGCCAATAGGCCTGCACCTTTTAATAAAGTCCATTTTGTTGACCTGTGTTATTAATTACCTTATAAACCCCATAGGACTGGTACTTTTCCTGGAAGAAGACCACTATGTGGCCGAGGACTTCCTATACCTGCTGGCCATGATGCAGCAACGAACCAAAGACTTGTGCCCCCAGTGCAATGTGCTGTCCCTGGGCACCTATCTCAAGACCTTTAACTACTACACTTACCACAGCAAGGTGAGGAATTTGGTTACCGAATGGCCCTACATACACTTAAGTGCTAGACCATTGGCTGCGAAAATTCAGAGCTGACCATCTTATGTATATCCTTCAAGCTTCCGTTGCTACAAAACACATTACATCATTCAAAACAACATCCATTATTGGGATAATTCGATCATAGACCAAAAACCACACACGTACAATGTGTTTATCTAGACAGCAACAAAAAATTAATCAATCAATCATCTGACTTTTGTAATTTACCATATTGTATCTATGTTCTATATTCCGAATTCTTGGCACGCAGACTAACAAGAAATCCTATGCTTCCTCGCTGATCTCGACAAACAGTCTATTAGGATACAATAGGAACAATAACAATAGAAACTCTGTGTCGTCCTCTTACTCCTCCTCATCATCAGCATCAGACTCAGCCTCACCAAAGTCATCCAAAGTCTATGTGGGCGACACCACCAGTGACTCCAACAGGCGGGGCAGCAACCTCATCAACACTGTCACCGCCACCGCCACAGCCGCCACATCCTCCGACACCACCAGCAATAATAATAATAATAACAATAATAATAACGAGCAGAGTAGCCATGGCAGCGGCAAAAATGGTGCACAAACATGGAACTATCATGTCCTGCCGTCATTGTATTCCGTCTATCAGAAGGTAGCGCCACTGCACCGCTAGCCCCGGGGATTCCTCTCTCGAGGGGAGGATCCCCATCTTCCTCGTTAACCACCAGCACCAGCCGTTCTTAAGATCCTTCTTTGAATCATCCCCGTTCCTGCCTGATTCCATTCAGTAGTTTGCCTTCCATTCTTTGTTGCATAGTCCATTCATTTACGCTTTACGCAATTCTGCATGTTCTGTATTTATCCTCCATATGCTATACTCCTTTGGGCAGTGATGGGAAGGGATCATCTTTTATATTAAAATATAAGTGGTTTAGTTTTGGGATATTAGTTTACAGCAGTGGTCGTCGCAGAATCGGAAAATTCATGATTGTTGGCAGCGCAGCGGTAGAGCGCAAGCAGAGATATATACAAAATTCGCATTTTGACGATCACTGGTTTACATTTTAGTTAAATTACTTCTTCATAGGGAAAGGTAATTTATATATTTGTAATTAACGATTTTAATTAAGTTTTAAAATATTTAAAAATTAGTATACTTATGATTTTAAAGGGGAAATATATTAAGTCTGATTCAAACGTTTTTTAAATGAAAACCATGCTTCTTTCACATTAAAAACAAGAAAGGAAGCTACCTTCGGCCAGCCGAAGCTTATATACCCTTGCAGATAAAGTAATACTCACTCGGTGCAGTTCCAGGGATTCCAGATTAATTGTTCCTATTTTTGAATTTTGTTTTTTAGTAGTCAAGAATCAAAACGCCTACTTCCTACAAATTAACAAGAATTTTCTTATATATGTTTCAATATTCCTATGGGAGCCTTAAGATATAGTGGTCCGATCCGGCTCGCTCCGACATATGTACTACCTGCAATAGAAAGAAGACTTTCGGGAAAGTTTCATCGCGATAGCTTTAAAACTGAGAGACTAGTTCGCATAGAAACGGACAGACGGACAGACGGACAGACGGACAGACGGACATGGCTAGATAGACTCGGCTATTGGTGCTGATCAAGAATATATATACTTTATGTGGTCGGAAACGTCTCCTTCACTGCGTTGCAAACATCTGACTGAAATTATAATACCCTCTACAAGGGTATAATAATTTAAAAATTAGTAATTAGGCATTTAACCCACTAAAAAAACCCATTTAAATGACCCATCACTGCCTGTTTGTTGTTGTAAATGTTGTGTTTAATTGTACTTGTCTATATGTCTGTGATGGCATGCCACATCTTCGACCTCTGATCCTCTGATCCGCTCCCGAACTGCTCCAATGCGTATCGATTTTATCTGCCAGTTGCACGCCCGCGTTCGCACCGTGAAGATCGACAGGCAGAGCATCAGCAATGACTATCGCAAGGTATTTGGTATGGCGCGCACTGTACCACCCCACCCGAATACGAATATATCTGGCTTTCTGGCACTTTCGAATCCAACTAGTGGTTAGTCCAGGACAAAAGGCAGTGCGCGTGTCGAGGAAAAATCAAATTGAACTCATCGAATGAAATTTGCATGCCCCCTTTTTTTTCCACCTTCTAATAATCCTTTTTTTATTATTACTGTTCCTACTTTGATTACTTACCATTACGCGTAGTTAACCCGGTTTTTCTCTTCGACAGGTGGAGGTAATGCCCTGGGTCAGTAGCAAGCACAACATGGGCTTCGCCTTTAATCGCACCACCTGGTCGAATATCCGGAAATGTGCGCGTCACTTTTGCACCTACGATGATTACAACTGGGACTGGTCATTGCAGCACGTTTCGCAGCAGTGCCTGCGGCGGAAGCTCCATGCGATGATCGTCAAGGGTCCCAGGGTCTTCCACATAGGAGAATGGTGAGTTGGATTGCTTATTTACTAGAATGGTATACTAATGATGACCCTCCAAATTCCAGTGGCGTTCACCACAAGAACAAGAACTGCGAGTCCAACCAGGTGATCTCGAAGGTGCAGCACGTGCTCCGGATAGCCCGGAACTCGCACCAGCTCTTCCCGCGATCCCTCACCCTGACGGTGCCGAGTTTAATGAAGAAATCGAAGCTAAGAAAGGGCAACGGCGGATGGGGAGATCTGAGGGATCACGAGCTGTGCCTGAACATGACGCTGGCCACGAGATAAGGGCCAGAATATGAAGGAATCTCGGATCCAGATCCCCAAATCAATCAGTCAGTAGTAGCAGCGAGAGGAAGCCTAGCTCATAGCGTTATCTAAGTAGGATTATTAAGCAGTAGCCTTAAAAACACACACACACACACTGTAAACGAACATTCAGCTAACTAACCGAAAATAATCAAAGCCAGAAGCCCAAAGCACAACTCATACTATAAGTAATCCTCTAGTCACATATACCTACTATAAACATAAACATAAAATGCCGTGTTGTAATCTCCTACCTTGTACCGTTTGCCCCTCAGTTTGTATTGTTTAGGCTCCGTCCAGATCCCGCAGGATCGACAGAGTTCCAAGCGACGGGTTAGCCATCCCTAAAAACTGAAACTACGAATATAAACTAGCGATAGAATATAAATAAAACCTATTCCCAGATTGTGCCGAAACCGTTTTATCAAGCGGTCATTTAAACTCAAGTCTAGAGGCAGCAAATCGCATAAACTAGTCATACATAGCAATGTCTCACCACAATGCACGTGCTATATAACATCATAGATCAAACTTTTGATATACCTTACGATCCTACGTTTTAAGCCTGTACATAGATGAATTGCGTTGTATACATTGCATAAGGTCTTTTTACGATATAAACGCGAAAAACTAATGTAATTTGTTATTTTTTAATCGTTAGTCCAAAGCGCTTTTATGTATTAGGAATTTTTGATTAATTGAACGAATAATCTTAGTGAATAAACGCCAAGTAAATGCTCTACCAGTGGATTGACTTTTGGATATGTTTTAAAACTAACACTGAAGAGAAATTATTTACTAGATTACAAGACTCTTAAAAATTAACTATGTTATTGTTTTGTTAAGTTTAATTTGTCTAATTTAATTTTTGTATAAATTTTTCTTAGTTTAAAACCATGTCTTTAAAATTATTAATTATATATTTACACATTTGTAAATGCTTTTAATTGTCTTTTGAATATTATTATTTTGAGGTTTAAATCTATTAATTTAAAAAATAAATAAAATTCTTATCAATTTTCAAATGTGGCGCTTTATTTATTGAACCACCAATAATATCGATACACATTTCGATAACCGCAAGCTTTCGGAACCCTCAAACGTTGCCCAACACAGGCAGCTTTTTGTTTTTTGAATTTTCATATAAAATGTAAATACACATTTCTTTTAAATCCCTCAAAATTCCATCCATTTCAAAGCAATAGACTAGCAAATGAGGAGTATACAAGAACTCACGGTGGCGTGGAGGAGGATTGGCTCGCGATTGTGATCGGAAAACAGCTCTGCCCCAAAAGCTTTTATCGCGCTGATGTTTGGTGTTTGGGCGAACGAACCATTTGCGATTTTGGTGCCGCGCACGGAACATCTGAACTCTCCCCGGTTAAAAACCCACCACTCATCGCCTCCTGCATCTCGCGGACTTCTCGTTAGCCTCCTTCTGCGACGCGTGTGTTTATAGTTTTATAATATAAAAAATAAGCCTTCATCATGAGCAAGCAATTGGCGCGCCATGTGGGTCAGCTGAATAGTCTCCTGAAAACGGCGACTACGGCATCTACGGTTTCAGCCCAAAACAACTACTTCACCTACGTCCGCGAACTCTCGCATCCCATCGCCCGGGAGCCTCCAATCGTAAAGCCGGAAGAGGCCGTGGCATGCATCAAATCGGGTGAGTTCCCTAGTAACCCCTACCCCTGACCCTATATTATATTATATTATAAAACCCCCTACCCCTAAAGAAGGGAAGACAGCCTTTCATTATCGTATTGTGTTTGCAATCTTTCGGGTTATGTAATATTCTAGTGGGCCTGCTTAGGAAAACAGAATGAAAACGAGAACACCGGGTTGTATGGGGGCATGCTAATGTAAAACAAGCCCATGTGTGTTTGTAAATCAACTACTTTCGAGCTCTCGGCAAAGGGCAATTACAGGGTGCTCAATATATGGATTGATGGCATTAAATTGGCCGTGATTAGAGGCACTTTTTGGTGGTGGGGTGGGGCAGATAAGTAAGAATGAGGCGTTCTAATAAATGCAAAATATAAGATATTGTAAAGGAAAAAATATTTTATATTATTTTAAGGGTAGGTTGTTCATATCCAACTAATTGGACCACCTGCGTAGACTTTCATGTGCCAAAATAAATATATATTGTTTAATTAGACAATAAAACAACTTTTCTTTATCAAAGTAGGTACAGTAGGGGTTCTATAACTCAAACCAATAACTCATATTACTATTATCATTAGAAATTATTTGGTATAGTAACATTTTAAATAGTAACATTTAAGTAGTAACATTTTAAGTAGTATACTTTCGTATATCCGTAAATCCCATGTTTTAACAGTACAAGTGTAAATTATATTAATTTAATCTCGTGAAACCAGCTGTGCGTGCAGATGCAGATACATATTGAAATACATTTATAGATGCATATGTATATTCAGCGCTGTAGATGAGTTTCCATTCGAAAGTTGTACTTTGTACTCGAGCAAACACAGCGACAAAAACAACAGAAAGAATTCACTGCAAAGCTCGGCTTAGTGGCAAGAACAACTACATATATACATATGTAGCTCATAAACAAGTCTATCCACACAACCGGCCTTTGGTTGTCGTGCTGATAAGACCCTCTATATAAGACCCAATATACCATATAGTATTTAGCGCAGCTTTATATGGAGGCAAGGTTATGCAACGAATATCAGCAGGTGAACTTTTGTGTCATTGGACGAATAATGGATTCTTTGGAGAAAGCATAATCATAGAATACACAGAAAAAATATTATACAAATTATTACAATAAACTTTCTTATCACAAAGTTAGATAATTTTTATGCCAGAATATAAAGATAGGAATAATCTGATTTTTCTCTGTGCTCCACAATTTTTGGGAGACCCTCTGCTTTGATTAAATTCAATTGGCAATCTCCTGAGAACCAAACAAATATTTGGACACGCCCACAGGGCACGAAATATCTTAATTTCTTAGCACTTCTAGGGGTTCTCATCAGCAGGTCCATGCAAATTGATAATATTACTGCCGGGGGGCGGGTCTTTTTTGTGGAGGGGGAGTGGCATATCGTCACCAAAAATTGCTATCTCTAATTTTAGCCAAAATCGCCAACACGAGCCATGCCAAAATCTGCGACGTAATTTGATTTGGAAAACTTTTTCGTTTGGCACGTTTTTTGGCAGATAATAAATGGTACAGTAGGCACTAACTAACTAAGATATTTATGAAAAGGTTTGGCATACGGAAGTATAAATAATTATGAAGTAAAATGCTATAGGAAACCTCGTGAAAAACTTGACATTGTCGACGTGGCTCAGACGTCTGCAGATAAGGAACACTTATCGTATGATTTCCCTAGTTGAAGGGGCTCGTTTGATTTTATTTGCCTAGCATTGGTCTAGCCTGTTCCTATACAGAAATACATCGGCATACCGGCCTCTAGAGGGTGAAACCAAAATAGATTGCAAAAAGCATGATGCATGTGCTCTAAAATGCATTAAGGTAGACACTTAAAGAAAAAATGTGGATATTAATTGGTTTTAAATTTAAAGTTTCCTTAGAAAATAGAAAAAAACTTTTTTTGAGATATATTATTATTAAACTATTTTAACATTTAGTCTCTCCCCCTATTATATAAAACAGTTCTAACTGATAATTTGTTGCCTTGATAATGGACAATGCAAAATGTATTTACTTTCTGATTATAGTTTAATCTGGTTCAGTTAGAAATGTTTACCATGTAATGCCAACATTGAAACCGGTGTTATTTATTTACAAACATTCATTATCACGAGTTTCTAGGAAATAAGCTCTCCCACTCTATGCATTCTCACTATCACATCACTCTGTCTTTATTAGCTAATGTTAATATATATGAGAGCTATAGCTTTAAAGCTTCTGAGAGTATCGGACTATAAAGAGAGGGAATGATCAGAGAGAAAATAGGAGAAATATTGGCACAAATCGACGGGGAAAAGTACCTATAGATGTGTACTTTGTATGCCACCAAATGAAAGCATGACCAGCGCAACATAAATTATTTAAAAGGGGCTAATTTTATTTTAACTTAAAATATCTTGAATATCAACCATTCATAAAATACAAATGATATTTCTATCTTTTAATATATTTTTAGAATTAATTATCAAAAAGTATACTAATTTTAAAAACTCGTTCAGTTGTTGGCAACCTAAACAAAGCTACTTTTATACTTTTTATTAATTGCAAAATCAGGCTTTCACATAAACTTATAAAGAATAATTTATGATTTTCTATAGATCATGACATGTTTAGCAGATTAACATTTCATAAAAGTTACTAAAAATCTAAAATTAGCTCTGGGAAAATTCAAAAAAAGGTCTTTCAGACGGAACTCAGGCGAATTGCCTACAGATTAATTTCTTATAATCTCATTCAAAGCATAATTAATTAGGAATATTGAACAGCTTTAATTGTAGCCTCTCGGAAGGCATGCCATATCTATAGATAAGGCCGTGCTCCGCAGATTAACGTTTCATAAAATGTACAATATCCACGGATTAGCTGATTAGCAGCGTGTGTCGAATTATTGGTAATAAAACCTGCGGTTTCCATCCTCTAATCCAGGTGACACGGTCTTTGCCGGCGGAGCCGCCTCCACACCCGTGGCTCTGCTGAACGCGATGGCGAAGCACGGCAAGAACAACAAGCTGGAGTGCGTCACGGTGTGCCACATGCACACCGAGGGTCCTGGGGAGTACGCCAAGCCGGAGTACAAGGACATCTTCCGCTCGAACTCCTTCTTCATGGGCGCCAATGTGCGCAAGGCGGTGGCCGAGGGACGTGGTGACAACGTGCCCATCTTCCTGCACGAAATCCCCCAGCTGTTCTACAAGCAGATCGTCAAGCCCGACGTGTCCTTCATCCACGTCTCGCCGCCGGATAACCATGGCTACTGCTCCCTCGGAACCAGCGTGGATTGTGTGCGAGCTGCCCTGCTCCACTCGAAGCTGATTGTTGGTGAGTTTGTGATGCCTTTATCCTCTGTATCCTCATACTTAATGACTTTTTTTCCAGCTCAAATCAACCCCAAGATGCCGCGCACCTTTGGTGATGCCATCATCCACAAGTCGCACTTCGACTACGCAATCGAGGTGAACGACGATCTGCCGCAGCACGGAACTGGTGAGATCTCCGCCGTGGAGCAGAAGATCGGCAAGCTGATTGCCGAGAACCTGGTCAAGGATGGCGCCACCCTGCAGATGGGCATTGGGAGCATTCCCGACGCCGTTCTCGCCGCCCTGCACAACCACAAGGATCTGGGCATCCACTCGGAGATGTTCGCCAACGGCGTTGTGGAGCTGGTGCGCAAGGGTTGCGTGACCAACAGCAAGAAGAAGATGCACCAGGGCAGGATCGTGGGCTCCTTCCTGATCGGCGACAAGGCGCTGTACGACTTTGTCGACAACAATCCCTTCATTGGTACTGAAATTTATAATTTAAGAATTCCCAGAAATTGAGATCTAATGACATACCTTCCACAGAGATGTTGGCCATCGACTATGTGAACAACACCAGCATTGTGAAGCAGCAGCCCCGCATGACGGCCATCAACAGTTGCATTGAGGTGGATCTGACCGGCCAGGTTTGCTCCGACTCCATTGGCTCCCGTTTCTACTCGGGCTTCGGCGGTCAGGTGGACTTTATTCGCGGCGCGGCGGAGGGTATCGATGGTCTGGGTGTGCCCATCATTGCCATGCCATCGACCACCAACAAGGGCGAGAGCAAGATTGTGCCCACGCTGAAGGAGGGTATGTAGTTGAATCAGCCGCTTATAATGAACCAAAACTAAATCCTCGATCCTTTCCAGGCGCTGGCGTCGTCACTTCGCGTGCCCACGTCCACTACATCGTCACGGAGCACGGAATTGCCTCGCTTTTCGGCAAGAACGTGCGCCAGCGGATGTACGAACTCATCCAGATCGCCGATCCCAAGCATCGCGAGACCCTGGAGAAACAGGCCTTCGAACGCATCAAGGCCATGCCATCGCCAAACTAAGAAGCACTGCAACTCCTAGAGCCAACTATTTCCGAGCAGCAGCAACAGCAACCCGCATTCTTTGAAGGCATTCCCGAAATCGCTTTGATCCACTTCATAGAACTGCAATCATGATAGCCCTTATAGCATTACCAAATGTAAAATTTCAATTGATGAGTAACGAATTCATGGGAGAAATAAAACTGAAAAGTAATTAAAAAAATGGTTTTAATAACTATAGAGTTTAGAGTTAACTAATAAGGATTTCCCTCGAAATAAAATAACCATATAGTTTGTATTCCGACGACAGTTTATTTTCATACTGCAAATATGAAGGAGGCGCGTACAGGAAGTCCGGCTTAGCTTTAGTTATATTTTAATATATATACAAATCTGTGTGTTCGATTAGTGTCCGATCTGCTCGGTCAGTCGGATCTGCTCCCAACGGGGAGTAGCATGCATCGCAACTCCTGGCTGAGTGATATCTAACACGACCCGAGCACACAACGTTGTCTTTGAATTGAATGTAGAAGGAGCTGGTTCAAAAGGAACTAGATTGTATTCTCAGTATGCATCGTATTTGTAATATAGGGCCTAAAACTGTTTTTGCTTTAAAATCTACACTTGCATAGCTTAAACCTCGATGGATGATTGTTAGGTTGTTAGCTGCTTTACTTCTTCTTGTTGTTCTTGGCATTTTTACCATCGGCGGCATTCTCGATCTTGGCCCGCTTCTTTGGGTGCTCATCCTCCTCATCCTCGGCGACATCGTCCTCCTCATCATCCTCCTCCATGTCGACCACCTCGACATCGTCCTTGATGTTGTGCCCGTGGATGTAGACGGGTCCGCTGCCCTTGATTAGCTTGAACGTCACCTTGGACTCGTAGAACTCCACGTCGGGATTGACGGCGCGCGTCTCACCGGCCTTCAGCACGGCGATGGGAATTTGCACAGAGTCCTTCAGTGTATTGACCTGCGCAGAAAAGAACGAGGAGATTTGCCGGTTAGATTGGTTTAGATCAGGTACCGAAAATAATCATTATTTTATAATACTTTATAATAGTCGGAAAACCAAATGGAATACACCATTTTCTTACTAATTAGATAACCTTTTCAAATTCGCAATGATCATGTTTTTTTGATTTTTAATTGATATTGCTCAGAAATAATCTAAACTTTAGATAGATTCGCACATAGACACTTCAAGTGGCTTAAAGATAGGCGTTAAAAATAAAGAGAAGTTCGTCACGTTTCAAATGAAATCTATTTTCCAATTAATGATATACCGTTCTCTGTCTTTAGCTGCATTGAACCAACTAAGATTTCAGATTGACCCATATAGGCCTCTTTTGAAGTGGCCATAGATACTTGTTGAGTTCCCAGATTACACAAATTTCGGATCTGGACAAACAGATACGGCTGGCCCACTTAATCGTCTTCGTCTGTATCTCTTTCTCTTATCGCTGTCGGCCGAACAGAACACCTTGCCCAAAAACTAACTCAACTGTCCGATGATGATAACTGCCTACGCGTTTCGCACACTCGGCGTTTTGCAGTAATAACCCCGCCGACTGACAACCGCTTGACCATTCGTCTGCCCACGCTGGAGCGGATCGGTTCGTTGTTTCCTCTTCCAACTGCAGGCTCATCTGAATTAAAACGTCCAGCAAATCTAACAAGTGACCGCTAATTAATCATCCGCAACAACGTGTAATTCAAGTCGAAACTCCCACCTAGTATTAGCCGATTGTAAAGTGCTTTCCAGATCTTGTCGGCATGTGCGATAATGAAGGTAAGTGGAGAGCGCGTCGCCTCAAGAGGATAAGTGAAAGCGGTGTGTGATTCCAAGGAAGCGCCAATCAAAAGTAGAAACGCGGAAATAAAAACTAATCTTAAATGGGTTCTAAAATAGCCAGGAGTACGCCAAAAATTTCAAATTATAAGAAAAATAATTATCACAAGTGTTCTTCGGTTCAAGAAACTAGTAAAAACTAAACAATAACTAAATAAAGATTTTCTAGATAAGAAGGTTCTCAGCGTCTACATTATTTATGGTAAATACTCTGTAATGAGTCCGTAATTAGACACGAAAATCTGCAAGCTTAAAGTGTTTTTTTAGTGCTCCGAAAAAATGGAATTATCAATGACAAGCGTGCTTCCAGTGGATGAACTTGTCCATCAGCCAGGATGATATCAAAAAGTAAACTTTCCCAGTGAATAAAATAAATGCAGAAGATATAAAACTAGTCAAGGATATTTAAGATACCGAAAGGCAACTCAATAAAATTATCTATAATATGAGAAACAAAAAAAAACAGAGAGTCCAAAGTGCTGAAATCAAAGCTTTATCAAGTGTTCCTGGCGCTGAAATATCAGAGACACGCCTGCTTCCTCTGGATGAACTTGTCTATCAGCTTGTCGACATCTTTAGGTATTTTTCCAGAAGTCACAAGACCCCGAAGAAGCCGCCGAACCTTAGAAAACCATCGAGGCACTTGAGATCATAAGCGGAGATTATGTATATGTGTACATGAAGAGAGCATTTCCAATCAAGTAAACCACTCAACTGGTGGGGATATCAAGATTTCATCAAGCGACCCCCTGTTCTACAGCCTATCTACATTCCTATTTTTTAGATGATCTCTACAGAGAGCGCCTGCCCAATGTCTGCGGAGCGGTGGGCTCCAAGGCGCGGAGCTGCTGCAGCATGCGTTCTGTCCACAGATACCTGCCCGTCACAGATTGGCTGCCCAAATACCAGTTGAACTTTCTGGCCATGGATCTGGTGGCGGGACTCACGGTGGGTCTCACAGCCGTTCCACAGGCCATCGCCTACGGAGCTGTGGCCAATTTGCCACCAGCATATGGACTGTATTCCGCATTTATGGGTGGTTTTGTGTATATACTGCTGGGGACCTGCAAAGACATCACAGTGGGTGAGTTGTGGAGTTCCTAGTTCTCATCCCATTCTACATAGTGTTGGGTTGCTCATGAGTGAGTGATCAAAAAGAATTGCTCACTAAACTGATTGCTCACTTGTTTATTTTTGCTCACTTGCTCCTTTTTGTTCACTTGCTCAGTTTTGCTCTCTTACTTGCTCTTTTTTGTTCACTTGTTCAGTTTGGCTCTCTTATTTGATCTTTTTAGTTCACTAACTAAGCTGTTTTCTCAGAGCCAGTGAAAAAGTTAAGGACAGAACAAGTGAGCAAGTGAACTAATGAACAAGTGAACAAGTGAGCAAGTGAACAAGTAAGCAAGTGAACAAGTGAGTAAGTGAACAAGTGAGTAAACTGAGTGAGTTGACCCATTAAGAAAAAAAGAACAAGTGAACATGTTCACCCAAATGAGCAATTTTTACCCAACACTAACTATACATAAACAATCGAAATCCTTATCCTACAGGTCCTACGGCCATCATGGCACTAATGGTGCGGCCCTATGTGGATGGCAATCCGGCGTATGCGGTGCTCTTGTGTTTCCTATCCGGCTGCATCATCACCATAATGGGTTTGCTCAATCTCGGCGTGCTAATGCGATTCATTTCGATACCAGTGACGACGGGTTTCACTATGGCCGCAGCTTTGACCATTGCCACCGGTCAGGTGAACAGTCTCTTTGGGATTAGCAGTAGTTCCAATGGCTTCCTAGACTGCTGGATCCACTTCTTCGGTCACATAACGCAAACGCGTCGAAATGATGCCATCCTGGGATGCTGCACACTGATTCTACTGCTGCTAATGAGGGTAAATTAATTAGTTTCCAATTAGAGTGCTTATAAAAAAATGTATAATTTATTTTTAGCAACTCAAAGACCTGCCTTTTGGCATCAAGAGCGTGTGGAAGTATATCTCATTGGCTCGCAATGCTGTGGCCGTTTTAATTGGCATCCTGCTGTGCTATCTTCTGAAAAGTGACGGCAAACTACCCTTTCTAGTCAGTGGCAGCATTACTCCCGGCTTGCCGCCCTTTAAGCCACCTCCCTTCCACACAGAGGACTCGGAAACGGGAGTGGTGACCAACTTTGGTGGCATGGTTTCGAATATTGGATCTGCTTTGGTGTCCATACCTCTGCTGTCCATTTTGGAGAGCATAGCTGTGGCCAAGGCGTTTTGTAAGTGATCCTCCTTCCTTCATTTAAGAATACTCCTCTACTTGATCCCCTCCTGCTTTCAGCCAAGGGCAAGATAGTGGACGCCTCGCAGGAGATGATTGCCCTGGGCATGAGCAACATCCTCAGCAGCTTCTTCTCCTCTATGCCCATCACTGGATCCTTCACCAGGACAGCCATCAACAATGCCAGTGGAGTGAAGACACCGCTGGGTGGAGCTGTTACCGGCGCTCTGGTCATCATGACCCTCGCCTTCCTCACCTCCACATTTGCCTATATTCCCAAGGCAACTTTGGCGGCCATCATCATAGCAGCCATGTTCTTTATGGTGGAGTACGAGACCATTGGCGAGATTTGGCGGGCTAAAAGTGAGTGTTCTTTAAACACCTTCTAGTAATATTAACTCCTAATCGTTTTAGAGCGGGATATGCTGCCTTTTCTGGTTACCGTGCTAACTTGTGTGTTCTGGACCCTGGAGTATGGAATGGTGGTGGGAATTGTCTTTAATGCGTTGTTCCTGCTTTACAAGAGCATGAAGCCGCAGTTTTACTTGGAGACCCAGAAGGTGAGGTTCGGAAATTATGATAGAAGGCTTTCAAATCTCCTCTGTTAAATCCCCTACACAGAAAAAAACCGATATGAAATAGGATTATTTCTATCTTATTTCATATCAATAAAAAGATATGATTTATGTCAAATTTAAGATTCAAACATATCAACATGATATTTTATGATATCATAAAAAATACCAAATGTAGTATTTTTTGAGCAAATAATATAAAAAAAGATTAACATAATCTTTATTCATATCAAAATGATCTTCAAAAAATGTCAAATTGACCATTACCATTTTTTTTCTGTGCAGTTTAATGGCATCGAGGTGACCATGGCCGATCTCAAGGGCAGCGTGGATTATGCGGCAGCCGAGTACTTGAAGATGTCAATTGTGTCGCACGTGACGGGCAGAAATGCCGAGGGAGGTGCCCCCACCACACTGGTGGTCATTAAGGGGCACGAGATCGCCTCAATTGATACGACCGTGGCTTTGGTGAGTTATGAGTTTGTTTTCTCTTGATTTATAACCTTTGAACCGGAAACTACTCTTATAGAACCTAAAATCTCTGCGCGAAGATCTGGCCCTGCTGCAGTGCGACATGATCTGCTGGAACTGGAGTATTCCGGCGGCGGGAGTGATCTGCCGGATGGATAGGAAGCTGCGCAGTATGTTCAAGTTCTCGAAAAGCTTTCCCGACCTAATGCAAACAATTGCGGATGGCGAGCCGGCAGCCGTTTCGAGTATTGCCGTTGACTTGAGTCAATAAAGAGAGCTCTTTTGTCTTGTCGTACATTTCTGCGTACAGTTGTGTCAGTGATGGGAAGGGTAAGGTATTCTGTTTGATAATCTATAGATTGCTATAAGTAGCATATAAGAAAATGGTGAAAATAATAAAAAAGCAATTAAAATCGAAAAAATTATATTCATTATTTTGAAAATTTTTTTTTAATTTTCTTTCTTGTTTATACAGTAGAACTGTATAAAATTTAAAAAGTCTTTTTTTAATTTTCTTTTTTTTTATACAATACAGTTTTAAACTTATAAAACAAAAATCTGGAAAAATTAAATTATCTGAAGCACTCAAACGTTTTGACAAATGTTAAAATTATATTAAAAATAAAAAAATCAAATTTATTAAAACTGAAAATTTAAGGGATTTTTTCTCATTATAATATTTTTAAATTTGTGGAGTAAAAAAGAAATACCTAATATTGTTCTCTAAATTAAAAACATGGTCTTATAAAGTACCTAGCCAAATATTTAGTACCTAGAGTTACTATACAAGTACCTATCGTGTGCGACTAGTCCAATTAACCCCTTCCCCTTGCCCATTGTCCAGGTACAGCAATAGCAATCCGAAATCGGGGGCTGGTAACTCTGCAGTCTGCAGATGTACAGACAAAATTACCCTAACCCAAAAGCGAGCGAAAAGTTCGTGGTTGTTCTGGTCTGAAAATGGAAAAAATGGAAATGGAAACCGGTCCTTGCCCCGCCGGCCGGAAAAATGCAAAAAAAAAGTAATGTGTGTAAAAAAAAAAGAGGAAGACACCAACCGGCGCGCGCATACACAACTTATTTGATTTATTACATGCAATGCCCCCCAAGCCACAGACTCAATACCATTGCCATGGATATGGATATGGATGTGGAGTACTCACCTCGACCACGTTGAACTCGTTCTCCTTGGCCTCGGCGCCCAGGAGGATCTGTTTGATGACCAGCTTCTGGCCGCGACCATAGTCCTCGTCCACATCCCACGTGACGCTGTCGCTCTCAGCGGTCAAAGTGACTCCTGCGAAAGGGACATAATCGTAGAGCCACCCATTAGACACATTTTTCGCACATCGTATATCCAAAAAAGCCCGGGAGTGTGGGGCCAGACAGCCAGCGGCAACCTTGGAGCAAAAACACCGGCAAGCGTCGCAGACAATCCACTTTTTCACCGGCTAATACTCCTTTTCCGACGCCACTTTCACCCCACATCGACACCCATAAAGTTGGTCCTCTGAATTGTAATTACCGTAGAATGATTCCTCAGCCATTGTAGGTAATATTTAATATTAATTCCACACAAAACCAGCGGCGAACACGTGTTGAGCAAAATCTTTTGCAAAATGGTAGCTGAACTAGGGTTGCCAGGCTAGGGCATAGCTAAATATCGATAGGTATGGCCATGGTTATAACTATCGCAAAGTTGCCACTTTAAATATGAATAAAATAGTTAGTACTCTCTGTAGACTTTTTAAAAATTAACAACTAAATTATAAGGAATTTTTAGAGAATATTTATAAATACCATTTAATATATGAGACATTTTTAAACAATTTAATGACAACTATCGATAACCGCACGCTTCGATAAGACTGTCAACGCTTCATAGAACGTAGCCATCGCCGTTTTACGGGCACGTGTAGAAGTACAAAAAGTTTCCATTATTAATTGACTGTACATCTGTGTTCCAAGGCCTGCAAATGGAGTCTGAATCGTTTTATGGTGGGTATACCAATTATCTTGGTTGGAGGGGCGCTGCAATGGCGATTCCAGATAGATCCCACCTTGGGTGCTCCTCCAGCCGGCATAAAAACGAGTCGAGTCAGATATCCAACCTCCTCCTCCGTTTCCAGGTGTCACACTCAGCGAGAAGGAGCCCATCGCACAGTTCGACGTGCCAGATATACCAGAGGAATACATCGTCCACTCCCACAAGCTCATCATCAAACAGATTTCCCTCGGGCCCGAGGCGAAGACCGGCGAATTCAACGTTGTACAGGTAAGCCCAGCTAAAAGGGATTATCTAGGGTCGTAAATCAAGAAACGACATTTTTTATATCGCGCTTGTATGTACATCTTTTCGGGGATTATAATGGCCGATTTGGCTATCTTTTATTGACATAAATGCTCTATAAAATCTCCGTTTCCAAAATATATTTCCAATTATAACCGCATTTTTAAAAAAACCCTGAAAAGTCGTTATTCAGTTTTAAAATCTAGTTTAATGCTTTTGTTTTACTTACAGTATTTTCTAAATATGTAAAGTAATTATTATTAAAATAATTGTAAATAAGGCTCTTCCCAGAAATTATAAACAAAAATTCAGAAATTGTATGTACATCTTTTCTGGGATTATGATGGCCGATTTTTATTGACATAAAATCTTCGTTTTGAAAATATATTTCCAATTATAACCGCATTTTTAAAAAACCCTGGAAAGTCGTTACACAGTTTTAGAATCTAGTTTGATGTTTTTGTTTTATTTACAGTATTTTTTAATTATGTAAAGTAATTATTATTAAAATAATTGTTAGAAAAGGCACTTTCTAGAAATTATAAAAAAAATTCACAAATTTCATATCTTTGTCCGCTGCTTTCTTAAATCACTAAAAGCAATGATAATTCCTGCATTTTCCAGGCGGAGACAAACATAAACGACGATGGCGAGAAGAAGACGGTGAAGATTCCCATTGCCGTCCTGAAGGTCGGCGAGACCCGTAGCTTAAGACCAAATGTCGAGTTCCCCAACGGATCAGTGACTTTCAAACTGGTGCAGGGCACTGGACCCGTCTACGTCTGTGGCAAGGTGAGCTCCAGCTATCCATATATAATGTCAATTCGATCCTTAAAAATTACCTTACCATTTCAGGCGGAGATGAACTTTGGTGAGTTTGACGATGGTCAAATTTACGAGGAGTATTCGGATGAGGAGGAGGATAGCGAACTGGAATTTGACGAGGATGCAGCCCCACAGACGAACGGCAAGAGCAATAAGAAGAAGTAGGGACACAAAACACTCCAGTAAGCTAACTAAAAATGATCCGAAAAAATAAAAAAATCCAATAAGGTAACAAAAACCAAGCGAGGAAACTTTTTTTCCAATTATGTAAAGAGAAACTGATTTACAGACAAACCATCCAATTATAACGAGAATTATGTATTTTGGTCTATAGTATATGGAATTTTATTCATTTATGTGTTGTGTATGTTCAAATATGTCACTTAATGCAAACGAACTTGTGGCAGTTTTGAGAATAATGCTCACGGAAGATTAAAATAAGAAGAACCCACCGGGTTTTTTGTGCTAGTTGCAGGCTCTTGCAACCGAAATCTTCTGGCGCGGCACACTAAAATATTATAGAATAGTTATTATTTAATTGAGGAGCAATTAGTAGTTTGGCTCTAACCGTATGTGAATCACCCGACGCCTCTCATCACTGGGATGTATAAGGTCCAACTTTTGGCTCCATTCAATCAGCTTCATCTCGTGGCGCAGTTTCTTGCGATCGAAGTAGGAAATGACACAGCTGATGGGTATCCAAAAGACTGCGGTGACCAGGACAACGGCCACTGAAAGGGGGATTATTTATTTATTTAAGTGTTTTAACTTACAACATCGGATTTTAGGTGAAATCGGTTTTTTTTAAATATGATCTAAAGCCACATTTGATGGGTTAAAATTTTGTTACAAAAACCTCAATTAAGTTTTGCCTAAATCTAATTAAAACTTAATAAATAAAGATTGTAACCAATCAAATGTGGGTTTAAATTGTATTTAAAATAAACTTTAAACTTATAAGTACTTAATCTGTTTCCAAACTTTGTATATATTTTTTAATACTTACTGACAATGTTGTCCTTGAGAAACCGCAGGGTTTTGGCCACATTTATCTCCTCGATGATGTCCCAGAAGCGCTCCACCACATCCTGAATGGTCTTCTCGCAGACGCCCTTGTTGCAGAAGCCAGTAATGCAGGGAGTGCCATCGGGAAGGACATCGGGTGGCTCCACCGGGAAGCAGGTCTCATTGATGCTCATGCGACAGCACCTTTTACAGGCATCCGCAATGATGTCGCACATGCAGCTCTGCAGACCCTGCGTCTCGCAGTACGGCACACACTTGCCATTGCGGCACTGACCGCGCTCCTGGCAGGTGGTGCCATCCGCCATGGCCGGCGACTTGGGACACTCGGCATGGGCTCCGGTGCAGCGAGCCTCCTGCTCGCAGGTGGCGTACTGCGCCTCGCGGCACTTCATCCCGGAGGCCATGAACTGGCAGTTCTGGCAGCACGGCGAGTTCTTGTCGCTGCACATGGCTCCCTGGTTGCGGCGCAGCTTGCAGTTCTTGTCGCAGCACGAGTCGTTGTCCTCGGTGCCCAGGAGTCCAGCGTCGCATTGTTCATCGCCCTCGACGCGCAGATTGCCGCAGAAGGACTCTTCCGGCTCGGAGAAGCACCTGCCCGACTTGGCCTGCAGCACTTTGCGGATGGAGCGCAGCGAGCAGGGAGAGAATTTCTGGAATAGAATAAGGCAGCATTGTATTAGAGCCCTGCGTGAATTATTCAATGCCATGGAATTTCTGATTTGTTTATTTCAATTCTATGTGAAATAAATTGAATGTTTTTCTAACTCATTTCAAATTGAATGAATGAATGAATAATTTTTATGATTTTTTTTGAATTTGAAAGATTTTTTTGTGGAAAATTTTTAACAAATCAATGTTAACTGCTTAGAAAATAAAATTCAGGCAGATTTAATCACAAAATTACGACCTATTCTACTTCAAGAGAAATTTTCGTTTGAATTATTTCGGAATTCATGCCATTCATTCATTCTATTAAACTCAAAATTCAAATTCATTCAATTCTATTAAACTCTAAATTCAAACTCGTTCAATTCTAATAAACTCAAAATTCTAATTAATTCATTCATATAAAACAAAAAATCCAAAATAATTCATTAAATCCATTCATGCAGGGCTGTACATTGTATTTAATCCCACCTACCTTATTGTTCACATCATAACCGCTGACGGAGTATGTGTACATGAGGAAACTGCCGCCCTGCGAGGCACTGGGTGAGCACTCTGGAATATCAGGATCATGCTCGGAGCCCCAGTTGTGACCAAACTCGTGGGCCGTGACCAGATCCGCCTCCCTGGTGATGACCCGCTGGCCATAGTGATTCCTGGAGCTGCTCAGACCCGAGTTTAAATACAGGGTGTAACCGTTTTTGAAGTATTCTTAGAGATAAAAAACAGAAATTAAGTTATTTCCAGATAAAAACAATTCAAATACTTAAAAAAAATCTTAAATAACCAAAGAAAACCAAGGGAAACGCAAGTCTATAAGCGAAATGAAAAGGACAAATATGAGAGTTAGTGGGAGTTAGCAACCTGGAGTGCAAATCCCGCCCACGGAGTTGCGACGCGGGGAGCCCACGTAGGCCAGGCCCAGAATGCCGCCTTCGAACTTGAGATCGGTAAAGAGATGGGCTAGGCAAAAGTCTTTGTGGCTGTACTCCCGCGAGAAGACCTGGAGGCCACGGAGGAGTCGGAATCAGAGTGAGAGATACAGAGAGTTATACAAAGATGATCATGAGGAAGAGCAGCTACACGAAAAGATTGGAAAGAGGAACATCTAGTAAACTTACCTCCAGCAGATTGCGAACATCCCACTTCTCACGGATCATATTGTAGTGGGCTTCGCCTCCCCTCAACCTAGTTGGCTCCGAGTGGACCACAATCTTCTTGATCACAAAGCCCATGCCCTTGAATCCCTCCTGATCCGAGCGATCCTGCCACACGGTGTCGTTGTAGATCTTGTGCACCCGATCTATGAGGCTTATCTGGGGATTACAAGTTTTAAGATGATAACAAGAGAGAACGCTATAGTCGGGTTTGTGTCCCGACTATCTAATACCCGTCACTCAGCTATCAGTGCGAGGGAGATGGAGATAAAAAGCGTTGATTGCGCATAACTTTTTAATGAATGGTGCGATTTGAAAAAAGTCTTCTACATTTTGATAGGTATAAATATACACAGCTAAATTGCATTTCTACTTCTCGGAAATCTTTAAAGGTGTGGGCGCCCGGCTGAAATAAACTTGCGCTGCGTAGGAAGCCCAAGAATATGTGTGGAAAATCTCAACCTTCTAGCTTTTGTAGTTTCCGAGATCTCAGCGTTCATACGGACAGATAGACAGCAGACATGGCTATATCGACTGTGCCGATCAAGAATATATATACTTTATAGGGTCGGAAACGCTTCCTTCTCCCTGTTACATACTTTTGCACGAATACAATATACCCTTTTACTCTACGAGTAACGGGTATAAAAAACAGGTATTTTTTAAGATCTCACCAAGTAGTTAATGGTGGTCTTGGTATTGCCGCCGCCCATCTCCTGAAAGAATCGATAGTCGGCCACCAGGAGCAGAGGACATCGGGTCTTGGTGGGCGTGTACTCATACTGATCCGATTGGCGCTTCTCCCGCGTATGAATCTCATTGTCTAGGCTATCGCCATGCTCCTCCTTGTCCTCCAGTTCGAGACCCTCCTTGATGTAGCCACAGGTTTTGGGACTATCGCCCGCCTTGTTTTTGTGCACCTTCACATCGGAGGCCTTGTAGGCCACCATGGTGTCCTTCTTGGCCTCGGGCAGGTGTCGCCAGGAGGGCTCGATGTGATAGGTTTCCTCCGGCAAGTGGATGGACATGGTCATGGTGCCGTCTTCGATGTGGGCACGCACCGAGGACTCCAGTTCGCCGAACACCCGACCTGAATAGAAGCTATCGTGATCTGAAAATGGGATTGGAGTTACTTAAAAACATATTATGAAACTAAGGATAGTAATCCTACCCATATGGACCACCGTCTCATTGCCATCCGCATCCACCGCATAGGCCCTGAATTTGCTGTGCAGGACATCCCGGTGTGGATGCAGGATCAGCCGGAAGTTCTTCCCCAGCGTGGTGAACTCCACCTCCTTGATGATGTTGAAGGGATTCGTGCTGTGCTTGGCACCCCTCTTGACCACTTTGTGCACCACATCGTCCTTGTGGAAAATCTCGTAGTGTCGCAGCGTCTTTTGCAGGGCCACTGAAATCGGAGGAAAACAGGATTATAAATCGAAATCTTTAATTTCCCTGGACAATCCTTGAGCTCACCGCAATTCTCGACTAGAAGGCAGGCGAAGAAAACGGAGATTATAGCGAGGGAACAGCAACTAATGCATTTTGTAAACATTTTTTTCACCCGCTAATTCTGCACTATCGATTTTTACCGTTGGCAGTGTAACCGTCGCTGAACCGTTAGAAAGTTACCACTGTTTGAAATAACGGGAGTAAAAAGGTCCTGTCGAAATGCGACAGTCTGGCAATATCCTTAAACAGCTGCAAAGTGTAAAAGAAGTAGTAGAAGGCGGACTACACAAATAAAGAATTTCTTGAGGGAAACAGTAAAAATATCATGGTTGTTCAAATGTAATTATGTATTTATTTTAATTGGCATACATAAGTGATATTTCTTGCATTGTTGACATTAAAAAATATGTACGTTTTATGAATGAAACAATTTCTAGCTGTTCACAAACTTTCAAACACAACTGAAAACCTTTATATACGCCGTTTATTCGTGGTTCTCGGAGCGATTGGACGCTGCTTCTGCCGTCTTCCCCGAATTCTGTTGAAACACTTCACTGAATATTTGAACATTTTTTTTTGTTCACAGAGCACTTACCTCTCCATTAAAAGTTGAAGAGTGCTGCGCCTAAGGATAAGCAGCATAAAAACGATAATTCCAAAACTTTTTCCCATATAGAAGACAAAAAACGAGACACTGCGGTTTGGGAACAAATAAAAAAATTCCATGATCCAAATTGCGCCCATGATAACGGAGAGCCGCAAAAACATTAGAAAACTGAGAAGGAAATTCGAAATGAATATTAGTTTGCTTACCAAATTCTGAAAAGGATTAGTTCTTACGCCTCAGTGTCAAAATTTAAGCATTGTATAGTCCTCTCTTGATCACGTTTAAACTTTCTCAGTTCCCTCTTAACTTTCCAAATGTGAATAACTGTCAGAATAAACATGATTATATTAAAAAGGCTTAGAGCCAGTATTGGTCCTTTTATAAATATCCAAATAGTGGGCTGCCAACCTGTAGTTGAAAGGAAATATATGTTAAAGGCTTAGGTAAATGCTTCTTTAATTCAAACCTTCCAGCGAGCACGCAGAGTAGCCAACTAAGGGCAACCAGTTCCATTTATGGAGGTCCTTCTCCCAAATTAGATTCATTAAATAAATAACTCCTGTTGGGAAGGCAGCAATGCTCCAAGCGATGGCACTGTAGGTAAAAAACGAAGAATCCTCATATCTATTCGTCAATAACTTCCACAAATGAAAGCTAATGACAGAGAACCACAAATTGGCGGCTATCTTGAAGAGATAATTACTGTAACCTGACGAAAAACTACGAGTGTTAGTAGTTAGTATTAGCTAGTATTGAGATCCAACTAACCTGTTAACAGGCAAATGCGGTTTAATAAATTAAATGTCTCCAGTATGTGAAAAAGATTCAGAATGAGGAAGCAAAATACGGTAGAAATAAGACACTTGCCGAGGACATTCCGAAGCTTTTCAACGTAAAGATAAACGAACAATGTCAGGATGTGGCATATTGCGGATATCGCATTTACTGCAAGTACAGAAACAGAGAAATTAAGATCCCAGCAGAAGTCATAAATTAATGTATTTTATTACTCGTGATGTCCGCTGGCATCGAATATTTAATGCAAGTGTGTTCAACAACCCAAATGGAATTGGAAAGGTCTGAATTAAACTGGGGATACAGACAGTAATTTTCCCTTGCCAATAATTCACCAGTGTGGAATAAATAAAGGGATCCGTCCTTCCACATTATATAATCATCCTCATTAAGGCTGAGCATCTCATCGCACGTTTCAAACTGACCTCTCAACCTGAAGTACTTGGTAATAGACCCTACGTTCTGGATTTTCTCCTCGAACGTTATGTTTATCATGTTAAGAGTAATTTCTTTATTAAACCTATCGTTACATTCTCCGTTTGCTAACATATTTTTTCGAGGGCAGCAGATTCGGACACACGGCATCACTTCACAGACACAGGCTCTAAGGTGAGTTTTCACAGGCTCTGAGAATCCATCTCTTAACTTTCGGTAATTATACTCCGCAGTAAGGTTAGAAGAAATTTCGATGCCCTGATAGATGTACGAATCGTTGACTCTCTTCAAATCAGAAATATCCACGGTATCGAAATAGTCACAATTGGGAATATCAGCTGCTAAATTCCCAACAATGGTAAGAATTACAATCGTAACGAACAATTTAAAATAAAGAGACATTTTTATAAAGAAACTTTCAACACGGAGAGCTTAACTCGATTGAGCCCCGAAATACAAGGATATCAGTTTTTAAAGCTTTGCCTCAAAAACTAATTACTCTAGAAATCTTAGTCGCGAAAAAAATATAAATCATGCGCATGGGAATAAATAAATAAACAAGTTAACAAATTTAAGATTGTTATAAAATTAATATGGCTCTTGGGGCCCATTATCCTTCAGACCCAGATATCGCAATTGTAGAAATAATGTAGTTTTCTCAATAAAAGGCACGAAATCAACCAAATATTTTGTTTCTTACGGAATCTAATCAACAAGGGTTTACAATTAGACTAAAAATAGCAGTTTTTACCACTAGCCTTGCCTCTAGTATATCATGACTTCAGCGTTAAACAAATAAAATCATATATGTACAGTGTTACACCTAAAACCTATTACCAGTCGCGGTTCGAAGATCCGCTACAATTTCCGGAAACACTTGAGATTTAATTTTATTTAAACTACCAGTGATTTAAAATGTTAATTTATGATTTTTTTGACTTTTTTCTATCTAAAAGGTTGACTGTTTTTAATTTTGTTGAAAAATATTAGAGGTAAATCCCACTATTTTCGATGTGTTGGAGATCGGGGATCTGCAACGGCAGGAACTGGAGCCAGTTTGTTATCCACCCCATAAAACTGACCATTCAGACTCTTTCGCCTTGGCTTGGGCATGCTAAAATAAAGGATTTACAAAGAAGAAAAGAAGAAATTGCTTTTAAAAATCTTACTTGCTAATATTGGACCCATATAAGGTGATGTTTACATAGCTGCTTGGCACATGGTCCAGAAACCTCCGAAAACGACATCGCATGTATTTGTTCAGGCGAGTGGAGAGATAGGGAGTTAGATGCTCCAACTGGTACTTAAAACTGGGCAGGACAACCCAATTGTGGTCGGGCAGATTGACGAAATCCCTTGGCGACTTATCCTCGTCCACCTCGCGACCCTTCTCCTCCGGCTGGAACTCCTTAATCAACTGGTTAATGTCGAATTTAACTGGCCAACTTGTGAAGGGCTCGCAAATGGGGTTCTGCATTTTGAACTATTTACAACTATTTAATAAATTTCCTTTCAAATAACTCGAAACAAACTGAAAGAGGCCTACTTATTTTGTAATTCCACTAAATTTTATATTTGGCTTAAGTATTTAAATCGTTACATACACATACATACGTTAAATGTACAAATTGAAACGAGAATGCAAGTGACAAGGGGACGCGACCTACAGAAAAACACACAAGACAAAAAGACAAGAGGACACATTACATTTTACATTTTCAGCCTTAAACCTAAAGTTGTAGTTAATCAATCTATTTCGGGGATATCTCGGCCATGTTGGCCTCGAAGATGGCCGTGTTGATGCGATGTTTCAGGGCGACGAGCACCTCCCGATTGCTGATGGCGCGCATCTCGTTGGCCACATACTCTCCGTACGTGGCGAACTCATCGCGCGCCGCCGGCAGGCTGACAATGGTGGCAGACGGAGGAGGCGGAGGAGGACTGGGGATGGCTTGTGCCGGTTTCGGCGGCGTGTTCACCTTGGGCAGCCGCAGATTACTCATGGTTATGCCACCGGCTGAAGAAGTGGTTGTGCCATTTGCAGTGGCCTCCAGTGCCGGCGAAAGAATGGAGGTGTTTGCTGGACTGGCCTCGTAGTACATACGCTTCACCGCCGGCGGATGGAGTTGTGTGTGCTCCTCGAAGTAGCTATCATCCTGCCCGCCAGCCGTCTCCCTTCGCTGGATCTTGATGATTCGCGTGGGCTGTGCTGGAGTTGACTGGTAGTGCAGCTCGCCGCTCTCGTTGGCCTGAAAGCTCACGGCCTCCGGGTGATGGTGGTGGTGCAGGTCTATCAGCGTCTGGTGGTGGTGATTCTCCAGCGGATTCTCCGTCTCCTCCGGCTCGGCGAGACTCACAAAGCGCACGCTTAGTTCTTTAGATTGCTGCTTCGGCTTGACCTCGCCCTCCTCCAGCTCCTCCGGCTCATCGATGTCGTCCACGTCTTTGGTTGTCTCCTCGATCAGCTTCTCCAGCTCCTGGGCCCGACTGCTGGCGTGGCTCTTGCGTAGATAATCCTCGTTCATGTTGGTATTACTACTACTTTGGTTGGCCGGATTGGTGCTGCTATCGCTGTGTTGATCGGCGGAGACCTCGCCCAGGGCAAACTTGCGCTCGTCGCCCTGCAGATCGGTCTTCAGGCGACCCTTGGTGGAGCGGCAGGCGTAGGGGGAGCTGAGAAAGACCAGGTTCTTGAAGCCAAACCACTTGGAGTTGTAGGGCTCCTTGCGCTTCATGCGACTGATCTCGCGATGGTACTGCGTGCGCAGCGTGTGGAACTTCTTCTCCAGCTCGTTGACGGGTATATTCCCGCCCAGCACCTGGCTGACTTCGTTCAAGAGCCGCTGCTTGACGTCCTTCTTCCGGTACTCGTCGCACGTCATGTCCCACAGGCCGCGGCGGCTGCGGTACTCAGCGATCAGCAGCAGGGTCTTCTCGCGCGTCCACTCCATTTTTAGAACGCTGCGCGGGATCTGGCCGGGCGATCTCCGAACAATGGGGCTGCTGCTCTAAAAGAAACAAAGGGAACGGAGATGGGGAGCGGGATTAGCCGGCCAACTAATATTAATAGACCACAGAAGTTACCTCGAGGCTCGAGTGGTCGGATAGTCGGCGGGGATCGGGATCTGAGTGCTCTGGTTTATTTTAGCCACTCTACTCCAAAACAGCAGCAGCTGCGAATCTGCGGTTGAAAGATGTCGATGTCGCTGTCGATTGCTCTCCCGGCCTACTGACTGGCCCGCACTGCCTGCATCGGGCTGGAGGGGATGCCTAGTGCTGCTGGAGAGATGCAGAGTCCACTTCCATCGGCTGCAATGCCTATTTGGTTTGTTTAAATTGCACAAAAGTACAGCAGATTTTCCTCCCCCTCGCGTAAAAACAAACGCTGTGTATCCATCTTGGGCGCTATCGATTAATCGATAGTTGGAGGGGGTTTTTGGTGGGACCGTTTCGGGTTTGTCATGAAAACGAAGACGGCATTTGTCACTAATATTATTTATTAATTAAAATAATTATTAAATTTATTTAAGGAACTATTGCTTAATTTCTAAAGTGTCAAATTTAAAAAAAATATGTATGGCTTTTTGATATATTGTCAAATTTCTAGCTTCAATTTTAATTACAAAATTAAAGTTTAATATTTTATAATATAAAAAAAGATAATTAGATAATTATGTACTTATAGAAGAGAAGATTAATTTGATTTAAAAGAAATTAATTAATAAAATTTTAGTCCAGCTTTTAAGCTAGTGACGAATGCTATAGATATCGATTGTATATCGATGTGGCTAAACCATCATCAAAACAATAACAAACGCGGATCGCATCGGTTGAAATTTTAAAGAAACCGGAATATCTCATTAAATATAAGATATTTTCCGTCCAAACTTCATATGGGCATCATGGAAAACAACGGCGTGGGCAAGCTGACCGAAGCCTCTCTGAAGCGCAAGGAGCGCCTGCAAAAACTGCGGGAACAAGCGCAGAATAAAGGAGGAGACTCGTCCGAATCCAATGAAAAGTTACCCAAGTAAGTGGTTTACAATTATTATATATTAAATCCCTATAAAGCTCTGTTTTTACCATCTAAAGACCCATCTTTCGGAGCTACAAACCGCAGAATGAGAACACCACCGGCGAAGTTCTGAGCCAGGAGCCCACGGGGAACATAGAAGCCGCTGTGGAGGACCAACTGAGCCTCCTGCAGCAGCCCATGGTGATCGACGAGATAGATATAACCAACCTGGCGCCAAGGAAGCCCGACTGGGATCTCAAGCGGGATGCCAGCAAGAAGTTGGAGCGACTGGAGCGACGCACCCAAAAGGCAATTGCAGAACTCATCCGGGAGCGGCTGAAACTAAATCAGATCGAGGACATTAGCCAGGCGGTCAATGTGGCCACTGCCCACGCGGGTGAAACAGTGCAGGAGGATTATGACTAGAGAACTTTACTGAACTGGTACAAAAAAGAAAAACAGAAATGCATTAACAATAAGCTAAACTATCGGCGATTTTCCTTGCCAGTGGGAATGGATAGCCTTTCTTTCAAGATGAGGATCTCTGAAATGAGTTGCGAATAATTAAGGAAACATAAATAACATATTATATGATTGATCACCCACGTTTGGAATACTTTTGCTCCAATCCCTGGGCAAAGTTTCGCATGGATTGCAATTGCTGCGGGATTTCCTCGCGTAGCTTTTCAATGGTTATTCGTGCCTCGCGCAGTTCATCCTCGCGCAGGTTCAGCAGACTCTCCTTGGCCTGCACGGCCTTCTCCTGCTGCAGAGCCACCTCAGTGCGCCAGGCAATGGTCTTCTTGTGGTTGAGCAGCTCCTGGCTCTGCTTGAGGATTATCTGGTTGGCCTTGGAGATTTCCTCGGAGGCCATTTCCAAGGCCTGGCGTTTGGTGTGCAAGATCTTCTTCTCCGCCTCCAGTTCAGCGGATATGTTGGCCTAGAAAATATCAATGATTTAGTGTTATTTCTTGGAATTCCTCACCAAACTTACCTTCTCCTTATTGCCCTTTTGTATATGCTCCTGCAGTTCGGCCGTGTGCTGCTTGAGATCCTCGATCTTGTACTCCAACTTGCGTTCCTGCTTTCTGCCATTGGCCAGTTCCCCTTGCAGTTTGTCATTCTGCTCCTTTAAGGTGCACACTCGTGACTTGCAACAGGATAACTCCTCGGCCAGCGTTTGACATCGTTTCTCCGCTTGCTCTTGGGCTGATTTTAGGTCTCCTTTCTCCAGCGAAGCCTTATCCAATTGCGCCTGTAAGTTAGATATCGCCCTGCGATTCCTCTCCAGCTCATTGCTGCGCTGCTCGTTCGCCTTGGCCAGCTTCTCGTGGTACTGCTGAATCTCGGCGGAATGCTTTTCCTCCAAAATGCGAGTGTTTTGGTCTATGGCTTCCCTGAGTTGCATGTTTTCCGAGCCCAATTTCTCCGTGTGCGAACGTTGCGCGTTCATTTCCACCTGCATCTGCTGGATATTCTGCTCGAGCATAAATTGCTTTTTGTGCGAGGCATCTAGCATGCGATTTATGTAGAATAGCACGGTGTTCAGCGGAGCAGAACGGCAGGGCAGGCTGAGGTGAACCAGGTTCTTGAAGGACCTTATTTCCACAAACTGCAGATGGTAGTCGCTTGCGGATGAGTTCTGATCCCTGCCAGACAGATGGAGCTCCAGCTTGCCCGACTGGCAGTCCTTCAGCATGCGCACCACATTGTCCATGAAGCCGGAGAAGGTCACATTCAGCGACTGATCCTGTTTGAGCTCCTGGAAGGAGGCGCTGTCCACGGTGGTGATGTACATGCGCCGCTGATCGGATTTCTCAGCCAAACGGAGTTGCTAGAGGACAAAAGAGTCACTTCAGATCCTTGCTAGATCCTGGCTAGATTTACTCACCAGCAGCTCCTTGAAATCCATTCGCTCGGCGTACAGTAAACAAGCCCGCTTATTGGAGCGCATCATGTCGCCATTGAAGCTCACCATCATCTCCACGCTGGGCAGGATGTTCACCACGTTCTTTCCGTAGTCCAGGCTCCCAGCGTAGCTATCCTCGCTCCCGGGAGGCCACATTTCAGTGAAGGCGGGTGAAAAAACTTAATTTATTTCAAATTATTTAAATTGTAAACAACAGCCAAGGCTTGGGTCTATCGATATCGATAGCCCAGTTCGATACCGATTGCCAGCTAGAGATGTGCACTGGTCAGGTGGACTATCAAGAAGAAGAAGAAGAAAAAAGGCGAAAAATTGTAGAGAAAAATAAATACATGTCTACTGTACGTAAGCGTTGAAGATGCCGCCACCGCCGGAGGATTGTCCAGAGTAATCCGGAGTAATCCAAGCTTTATCCATGCAGACCGCCAAGGTGTTCGTCGGCAGCCTGCCGCGCTGCAAGCCGGACGAACTGCGTCGCCTGTTCAGTAACTACGGCAATGTCTGCGAATGCGATGTGATGAACCGCTGCGCCTTCGTCCATTTGGAGACCACGGACATGGCGGATGCGGCCATAGCCGCCCTCAACGGCACCGTCTTCAAGGGCCAGCCCATCGTGGTGGAGGCGGGCAGGCCAAAGTACCCGGGACCGAGAAATGCGAGTTCCGGTGACAATCCCGGTCGCAGGCAGTCAGAGAGTAGGCTATTAAACTCCCCAGAGATGCTTAATCTACAGTCTCAATCCTCCATGTACCAGGTCAAGGTGGCAGCTCGGAATCGGGCAATCAATTCAAGAGGAATTTCCGGGAGGAAACAGGAGGCGGCGGCGGCGGCAGATATTCCAATGCCTCGGGAAACAAATTTGGACCCGTGCGGAACGAGTCCAACTACAGACAACAGCGCAGTGCTCCCTACTCCAAGGGAGGAGCACCACCACCACCGCCAGCAGCAGCAACACACAACAATGAATCTTCCAATCAGGGCCAGGGATTTAGAAACAAATTTGCAGGCCGCGGCAACAACGAGGGGAGCGCAGGAGGAGGTCGCTTTGGCGGCAATAGGTTTCAGCAGCGGGACAACAATGGATCTCAGGCTGGGCGGAGGAACTTTAAGAACAGTCCAACCAGTAACTATCAAGGAGGCGGTGGCGGTAGTAATAATGACTTCCATGGGGGCAGCTCCGGAGCAGGAGGAGGATCCCTGAATCAGCGGGGCGGCGGAGGAGCTGGAACCAACCATGTGCGACAGGATCGCCGAGGCTTTGCGCTGCCCGTGGAGCATCAGCAGCAGCAGATGGGCTTTGGGCGCTTTGGCAATGGGTAAGTTGTATATTAGACTGTCTTTTATATTACTTACAACTTTGTTTTGTTACCAAACAGGGGCAATCCACCAGGAGGACGTGGGTTCTTCAATGGGGGAGGAGGAGGAGGCGGAGGCGGAGGCTTTAGACGCGGCAGCAGCCACGAATCCAATAGCCAACAAGGTGGCCCCAACAAACGCGGTGGAAAAAATCACAATCAGAATGGCATGAATGCATATCACTCGGAGTTCCCGCCTTTGGGCAGCGGAGGCGGAGCGCCAGGCCAAAGAAACCGGTGGGTAGAGCCATAATCTCCCAATATAATCCCCAGTAATCTGCAATAAACTATTTTTTCAGCTTCAGCGGACCTAGACCCGGACCAAATATGGGCGGTAATAGAAGATTTTAAGCAAGTGCAACGCCACAACGATGTTTGCCAGTCCTCCGTGTACTCCAATTTCATAAATGTAATAGCCGAATTTTGTTTTCCATTGTTTCGCGCGCAGAATCTTTTAGTTTAGCCGACTATTCTTTTAATTTGTCCTATAGCCGTGTACTCTTAAGAACCAACATCAACAGTATATTTGTTATTCGTAGTTAAGATTGTTTCGATATTTATGCAATACTTAAATAATCATATTACTTGTGTGCAACTAAATACGAGATACGAGTCAATCAATACAATCATAAATACCAATTGTGCGTTTTTAATTTTCAAACTTCCCGCCAAGGAGTTACAGTTACGGTTTAGGGTTGCTCGGGGGCGATTAATCGGTTATCGGTGGGAACAAAGCTTTGTGTGTTGGGGGTTATCAAAACTTGTTCCCAAAAATTTATAAACAAGAAAAACCGAGTTTTCCAAACTTCAGCCTGCCAGGTGTATATATGCAAACGACGCACGACCAGATCGCCAGTTATACGGTTGAGGTAAGGGTACTAGATAGCTCCGATAGCCCCGTAGACCCCCCCGTTAACTGTAACCCATAATCCATACATATGTTTTCCCGCAGTCGCTGTGGTTCACTTTTAACGAGTTTGGCTCTGAAAATGTGGAACCAACACCGCCAGCGCTGCCTCCTCTGGATCTGCCTGCTATGTGTGCTCTCTTTCGGGTTGGTTAATGCTTTTAATGGCCATGCTAATGCCGAAGGTCAGCCAGCAGACGTCTTGGTCACATTGCCAGGCCAACTGAAGTTCGTGCATGTGGTAAGCGAGTCGCTTGAGTTGGTGGTGGAGCACCGCGTTTAATCGGCGTCTATGCTTTGCAGATATATCGCCACGGCGACAGAACGCCCGTGGATCCATATCCCACGGATCCCTGGGGCGACAGGAAGTTCTGGTCCACCGGCTGGGGTCAGTTGACCAATGTAAGTGAATGAAACCTAGATAAAACCCAGTCTAAATCCCCCTTTTTATCGCACAGCTGGGCAAGCAGGAGCACTACGACCTTGGCAAATGGCTGAGGAATCGCTACTCTACTCTCCTGCCCTCTCTCTACTCCAACGAGGACATCTTTGTCCAGTCCACCGATGTGGATCGCACCCTCATGAGTGCCCAGTCCAATTTGGCTGGTCTCTACGAGCCACAAGGTGAGGATATCTGGAACACGGACATCAAATGGCAACCCATACCCATTCACACGGTGCCCGAGAAGGAGGATCCTATACTCGCGGCCAAGGCTCCCTGCCCCGCCTACGATTACGAGCTGGCCTCGCTGGAATCCTCGCCAGAGTTCAGGGCCATGACCGAAAAACACCATGATCTGTTTGCGTACCTAAGCGAAAAGGGCGGTCGCTCTGTCAAGACCTTCGTGGATGCCCAGTATTTGAATAATACCCTGTTTATTGAGAATTTATACAACATGACACTGCCGAAATGGACCGAAAAGGTTTATGGAAAGGAGGAGCTCACGTATATAGCCAATTTTGCCTTTGCCATTAGCTCTTATACGCGAAAACTGGCCAGATTGAAGGCGGGTCCCTTGCTGAAGGACATCTTCCAGCGTTTCAAAGAGAAATCCACCGGTCGCCTAGATCCAGATCGTTCCATGTGGGTCTATAGTGCCCACGATACCACCGTAGCCAGTGTTTTGAATGCTCTTAAATTGTTTGAGGTAAGAGTTTATACTAATAAGTAATTGAAAAAGGGTTTAAAGATATATTTGTTGATTTCACAGCTGCACAGTCCTCCCTACACGGCGTGCATCATGCTGGAGATGCGTCTGGATGAGAGCAACACGCCGCTGGTGTCCATTTTCTACAAGAACACCACCGCTGAACCGCTGCCTCTGGACATACCAGGCTGTGGACCTTCGTGTCCGCTAACGAAACTCGTTAGCCTTTATCAGGACGTGCTGCCCGTGGATTGGGAGCGTGAGTGCAAGCGCTCCACAATGATGATGACTTATGAGGAGGCCAATTTGGGCGCGGCGACGGGTGAGTCAATATATGGGGTAATTGCGTTCTAATGGAATTAAAGCCTAATCTTTCTCTTCCATCAGGCATACTCATTTTAATCGTCATCGCTCTGCTTTTCGCCAGCTATGGCCTCATGATCTACTACCGACGTCGCAACTACAAGCTGTATACCTCGTACTCTCAAATGGCCTAGCTGGATAACTACTTAAATCTAAACATGGAGCCTTCCTTCCGCTCTCCAATTGCCAAAGTGATTTGTTTTTTTCTTCGTATTGCCCCATGTTGCTCAATCGACAGTTGTTGCTGTTAATAATCGTGGTTACTACTTAGTTAAAAGCCTGCATTTCACACAAAGTCTGTTTGTATTGATTAGTTTTTGGTTTAAGTTGAAGTTTTGTGCATTTGAAAAAACAGCATTTAAAGTGGAATGATAACTGGTTTTGTTGTTGTTATTCAGTGAAAAGATTTGGAATACAAAGACTGTGAATAGCGATCTTGAAGTTGCATACATATATACATAGCATATTTATACACATGTACATTTTTATGAAATTATCTTGTATGATAAATTTATTGTATTAAAAACGCTCAAATCGAAGTTGTCTGTTGGTTCAATTTTATCAAGGGAAGCCAATAATAATGTACTTATATTGGTTAAGATAACAATAAGTTTAGTTTGATAAGTAAAGGAAGGGTTTCTTATTATTTAAAGAGCTAGGTGATAAGCACACATGTAAAATGTATAGACAATTCAAATGAAGATAAGGTAATGAATTGCTTTTGCAGGTAGGAAAGATACAAATCACAAAAGGCAATGGCTGTTGTGATATTTTTGCTCAAGGTGAACATATCAAAAAGCTTAAGCATTTGCTCAGAATTGTTTATCAGTCATACAGAAGTTATATTTAGTTTCCTATGAGACAAACTTATAGCTTGATAGTGGAACCAGGTAAAAAGAATTGGATAAACACACCTGATAGACAGCTGTTCAAATACTTTTAAGGTTTTTCCGGAAAAAAAACTCGAAATGTGTATTATTCTAGATTTGTTTATTCCGCATAAGCGATTTGCTTGCACTTAATTATGGTTAGACATAGATATACATAGTTAGGGTTACAGTTAGAGTGTTTAAGTCTATATACAACGTTGGCTGATAGCGGCGATATAATGTAGAACCTGTTTAGCGGCGATGCGCCTGACTGACTGACTGCGATAGAGATTGAAATGGACAGAATGGAGGAGGAAAGATGAAGATGCCTTGGATCTCGGCTTATCTGTAGGCCTTGTCATCCGAGTATATGATATAGGGCTGATGCTGGTGATGCGTTAGGCTCTCGGCTCCATCGCCAAGATTTCCATTTCCATTTCCGCCGGCTCCTCCGCCTCCTCCGCCGCCGCCCGCTCCGCTGAAGTAAGACATGCGGGACATGGTCGAGTAGGCAGCCGCTGCAGCAGCCACCTGTTGTTGCTGCTGCTGCTGCTGCTCCCGCTGCTGACGCTGGGAGAGATTCTGGCTGGACTGGTGGTGGATGGAGGCCGCCTTGTGCGGCAGCGTGGCATAGCTGGCCTGGTAGGGAGGCACCGCATACAGAGCTGCTCCCGCTCCATTCTTGTAGCTATATGCCGCATTGTGGGCACCCATCTGCATGCCCGCCGGGATTCCAATCATCGCCGCATTCTGCTGGTACTCCACATTGCTCATCCGCAGCCTGATGATGCAGATGATGATGATGAGGATGGCTATGAAGGCCACCACACCTCCCACAATTCCTATAATCAAAGTATCATCGTTGCTGATAATCGGGGATTGGGCCTTCATCAGCGGAGCCTTGGTCTTGATCTTCTTCAGACTCGGCGGCTGGGTGGGTTCGAGGCTCCAGATGATCAGCGGCTCCTCGGTGGTGGAGCTACTCCGCGTGACCAGCTGGCTGGAGGTCTTGAGGAGATGCGGCACCGGGGCAGTGGGTCTAGCGGTGGAGGAAGTCATTCGGCGGGCATCGCAGGTGAGTTCATCATCCCCAACTTCAATGAGTTTCCGGTTGAGCAAATACGGAGGGGAGGCACAGGTGACATCCGGCATTCCGGAGCTAGGAAGCCATCTCCTCAAAGCTCTAGCATTGCAATCGCAGACTATGGGATTGCTAGCTAATCCCTGGAGCTGCAGACTAGCTCGACGATCTTCCAGAGCGTTGAGGAACTGCGGCACCAGCACTGTGATCTTGGATCCCTCCACATCCAGGTTGAGGTGCGAGGATCGGGGCACCGGGAACAGCAGAGCTGGCGGCAGGGCACTCAGGGATGTGTTCCTCAGCTGGACACTCAGTTCACTGCTCTTCAGACCCGCCAAAGTTCCCGAGGATATACTCTTTAGTCTTTCTCCCCGGATGCCCAAACTCCTGAGACGCGGATGCTTCAGCGGTTGGATCTGCTCACTGCCTATGCTGGAGTCCTTGACTTCAATGTCCAGAGCCTCCAAACCGGGCAGCAGTTCCAGGATGCCCTGCAGATCCAGGTAGCCAAGCAGGGGCAGATCATAGGCCTCCAAATTGACCAGATTGGGCAGCTGTTTGAAGGCGTTCTTCTCGATCCTGGTGCACTGGGGCAGGTGGCTCAAGCGCAGCGATCGCAGCATCTCCAGCTTACCAAAGTTGGACTGCGAGACGATCTCAAAGCTGTTGTTGGATACATCCAGGGTCTGGAGCACTTGCAGCTGAGGCCAAGCCATGGAGAGATCCTCTAGAGATTCCAATTCATTGCTGGAGAGATCCAGAGTTTCCAGAAGAGTAACCCTTTGGAAGACCTCTGGCTTGACATTCTTCAGTTTATTATGGGAGAGGTTGAGGAACTGCAGGAAGGGAGTCTCCAGGAGTTCCAGCTGATCAATACCCGTTCCTGCCAAACTAAGTTCCCTTACTGTCTTGGGTTCATTCAGAACATTGTGCACGGCCTTAGGACTCAGTGGGTTAAAGGATAGATCGATCCTCTTGATGTTCACCATGATGCTATCATCTCCGGGTAGTTCCTTAATCTTATTGTAACTCAAATCCACGGAAGAAACAAAGAAGAACTGTCTTTGCAGGGCATTCAGAGGAGCGTATTCAAAGCGATTTCTAGCCATGTTGATATTCTCCAGCATCTGGAGCTTGGAGCGCTCAAAGACGCCATCCGAGAGTTCCGATAACCTATTGCCCTCCAGATTGAGCTGTTCCAATCTCACCAAACCCTCAAAGGTTCTCTCGCCAATGCGATCCAGGTTATTGTAGGCCAAGTCCAAAATCTGCAACTGAGTGGAGTTGTGGAAGGCCATCTCACTGACCATATCCAACTGGTTATTGGCCACCAGGAGAACCCGAAGACGGGGCAATCTGGCAAAGTCCAGTTCCTCGATGGTTTTCAATTGGTTATTGGAGAGATCAATGTGCTCCAGATATTGCAGAGAGGAAATGAGTTCCGCCGGGAAAAAGGAGAACTTATTATTAGCCGCTCGTATTTCCCTCAATCTCGGATGAATTCTGAAGGAGGAGGGAAACAGGTAGCTCAACTGGTTATCCGATATATCCAACTCCTCGATTCCCGTGCCCGTATTGAAATATTCTCCCTTGAAGGCAGACAATTGATTGCCACGAAGATTCAGCTTCTGCAACTTCATCACATTGACAAAGGCGCCGGAACGAATGGATCCAATGCGATTGTTGGAAAGATCAATGGAGCTGATGTTCCAGAGATTGACGAAGCTACCATCCTGGAGCTCCTGCAGCTGGTTGTCATTAAGGTAAATGTGCTTCAGATCCTGCAATCCTGCGAGGAGATCTCCGCTTATCTGGCGAATGCTACAGTGACTTAGATCGATGACCTGCAGGCGATCCAAGGGTTTAAAGAGGGCTCCGGTCAGTGGGGTCAAGTGATTGCCACTCAGGTTGAGGGATTGCAGATTCTCCAGTTCCTCGAAAATGTTACTGGGCAACTCCGTCAACGTATTGCCACTCAGGTCTAGACTCCTTAACTCAGGTAAAACCCAAGGAGCTCCTCCCAGACCTGTTAGCCTGTTTTGCGATAGCTTCAGGGCCATCAAAGTGCTCTCCAATCCCGCAAAGGTATCTGCGTTAATCAAAGCCAAGGAATTTCCAGAGAGATCCAAGGTATGAAGACTGCTAAACATCTGGAAGCTTCCAGGGGGAAGTTCCCTAATCACATTCCTCGACAAGGTAAGGGTAGTTATATCTCCCGCCTGAAGAGATCCCAGAATCTCTGAAGACAGGGCAGCTACTCGATTAAAATCCAACTGAAGGGTTGTCAACTGGGGCAGACGACCTAGAGCACTACCGGGCACCAAGAGGATATTGTTGTCCTTGATGATCAGGGTCTGCAGGCTGTCCAATCCCTCCAAGGCATCGTCTTCAATCTATCGAGGAAGTGTTGTTAGAATCTTTAAGGGACTCCATTTAGTATTACTTACCGTTCTCAAGGAGTTCAAGCTGAGGTCCAGGTACTTAAGAGCACCCATTTCCCGGAAGGTTCCTGGCGTAATGCTGGTTATGGTATTACGACTGATGTCCAGGCTTTCCAAAGACCTAACCACCTGCATGTGACTGTAGTCCAATTGCTGTGGCAAAAGAAATTAAAATAAAATATCTTATGATGATATTATAAAATAGATCATACCTGCAGCATGTTTGAGGACAGATTTAGGTGCTTAACTCCGGGAACCGCCGCCAGTGCCACCGTGGGAAACTGATTGAAGAAGTTCTCGGAAAGATCTAACTTTTGCAGCGATTGCAGTTTTTCAAAGACATCACTGTTAAGATTACTGATACGATTTCCGGCCAACTTGATTTCCCTGATCTTCTGCAGACCCTTGAAGGCCTGACTATCGATGCTGCGGATGACATTATGTCGCAGATCAATGATCTCCAACTGACGCTGGGCATTAAAGGAGTCCGGAAGGAGTGAACCTGAAGAGATTTCAAGATATTACTATTTTAAAGCCTTGATTTAATTCAAGGTTCTTTATAATCTAATTTTTTTTTTTAGAACGAAAAATAATTGTTTTCTTAACGACTGTGATTTGTGGGTTTGTTCTTAATTACACCAGTTGCGGTTTCAATTGCACACCCAGTATTTTACCCTACATTATCTTAACTACCCAATCTGACTTACCAATCTGGTTCTGTCGCAGCGAAAGGTGTCTCAAAGCACTTGGTCCATTTAGAGAGTTGGTGGGCACTGCCGTTAAGCTGTTGCGATCGATGTAGAATTCCTTCAGATCCACACAGCCCTTGAGAAGACCCTCTTCGATCAGCTTGATCTTATTTCCGGACAGATCCAAGATCCTCAGGTTCTTCAGCACATGCAATTCGGCGGTGGAAAAGATGGGATTGAGATTATCGCCCAATAAATTATTCGCCAGTCGCAGTTCATTCAGCGAATCCTTGAGACCATCGAATGCCTTTTCCGGAATCCTTCGGATGAGATTGTACGACAGATCCAGCTCCTCAATGGTTAGTTTTAGCTGGCCAAAAGTCTGTGGTTGAAGAATATATAAAAAATATATGAATAAGTGGTTTATTTTTCTTGGTTATTCATATACAATGATGCTTTAAATATACTTTTTTTTAAGAAATCTAAAACTTTTCAAGCAGATTTAAGATTAAAATCAATAACTATTGCGCATCAAATCAATAAGAAATAAGATCTGATTGACCCCCATTCCGAATCGTTTATTGGGCCTGTGAGATCATCAAAAGATGTCGAAATCCCCCGATCTCAGTGTGGTTTATCTCTGGCATATTGCAACACCCAACTCACCTGGGCGGGCAGCACCTGTTGGCCACTATGACGTTGCGTATACGCCACGATGGGCGCTCCATAAGGCAGTTGCGGGGCATCGCCGTGGAAGACAACACGATCGCAGTCCATGGCCACGGCTCCCAGTTGACCAGTCGCCGCAAACGGAACCACATTGCACCTGTAATTGTCGTCAGTCCATGAGAGGTGATTACAGAGAAAAACAAAGCCAAATGAAATTGCAGTTGGCGGTAATTTTGTGATATTAAAATAATACCCAACCGACAGCGGAAATTCGCTGTCGCTTTTGCCATGGTGGTCAAGATATTGGAATGGCATGGGTATAGTATAGGTATGGTGTAGTATGATTGTGCACATAGTATGGCTTACCTGCATGGAAGACGGAGGGCGGGACTGAGCTCTGGGCAGGGGCGCCAGGCGGAGATTTGGGTGGTCGAATGGGAGATGCAGATCAGGAGTACGAGTAGAAAACGCCCTCCATTTGTCAGCTTTTTCCAAGCTTCCATTTCGCTGCAATTGAGAAATAAATTGTCACTATTATCATCTGATTTTTTTTAGGTCTTGCTGTTTGAAACTCGTTTCGAGAAGAGAGATCTGTGTTCAGTATTCCGTATCGTATTTGGTCATTTACCCATTATCGCCGTATTCGCTTAGAACATTTGATTTGCATACCGATGTCTCCGTCTATTTCGGTTTTAGCCGCATACTTGTGGCCAACAAAAACGACAACAACAATGGTCGACACCAAGGTCCGATCGAAAGAAAGGAAAAAAAAGAATAAAATGAAGGCTATAATCAAGCGAGCTGGCCAACAAAGAGCAGTGAGTGAGGCTGCCTACGAGTGGTATGAGTAATTTTGGTAATGCTGACATATTGAAGGCATTTGTTGTCGTCTTATTCATTCATTCTAACTATCAGAGGTGTCACGGAAATATCTTCTCTATAAACACGAAACGGGTATTAGCTCTCGGTTTTTTTTGGTATCACTTTTGGTGGCTTTAAAAACTCTACAATTTAATCAGAAATATGACAGGTCTGTGCCAAAAGTAACCCTTCAAAACCTTAGTTCGCGTTAAAGGTGAATAGATCTTTGTAATTCGCCTCTTTAGCTGTAGTTTTAATTAGCAAAATTCCAATTTATGCTTGTAAATGAAACCCTTTCAGCTCCAAACAATGTGGGAATTATTTAGAAACCTATATTTCTTATATGAAATATTCTTTGGACAACTTTTATAAACATCATATTTATTATTCGTAACACAATAAGTTAAACTGTTTTAAAAAGTATTTTTATATTACAATTTTATTTATACTTTCTTAAAAGTTTAAATCATGTTTTTAAACGTAAAACCTATGTTCGTTTTCTCTTTGACATTATAATAAAGTTTTGCGTGCAGAACTCTAACTTATCTGTGTTAAACAGAAACCTCTTACAAAAAATGTAAATTTTATGAATGAATTAGCCATGAATGTGCATAAACTAGTTGGCCATAATAACTGGAAAGGTTTTCTAAAGACATTTCGCTATAGAGTTTTTGATTTGTATTAAATTTTCGGTTCTCAAAGATAATAATTATTATCGTTAGAGTAGTAACTCTAAATATATAAGCTAATTCATTAATCCGTTAGTGATGATTCCGAAATTCTGATAAGTGATATATTGGTTCTCCTGAAAAATCTCGAATACATTTTATCATGCTGACTTTTTGGTTTTTTTTTTCGATAAGATCCACTGTAAGACTATTATATAAAACGCCTTCGGCGGCGCATGAGCGATTCGTTGAGCCATGATCTCTTGTGGCTCTGGCACTTGGGACCTGGATTTTGAATTCTGAATTCTTGGTTCTCACTCTCGCATTAGCTGTACCGTTATTGGTAGTACGGTGGTCGGCGGTGGTTGTTGTTGTTCGTTTTTTGTTGGCCGTGTTCATTGGTTACTGTTTTTAATGCGCACTGACAGCAACAACAAACATAAAAAAAAATACATTTACGTCTGGCCGTATTTCTATTTGCATTATTTTTGGTTTCGCGTTATTTGTGCTATTTACTCTGCGGTCCATGGGTCCGAAACATGGAAGGTATTTGGTATTTGGCCAGTCTTTTTATTTGCGCCCCTGTTTGCTGAACGATCGTAGATATCCACACAGCCAGACAAACAAACAAGCGGAGATTCAAAGTATGTAAATTTATTAAGTCCATAAAAACGACTCGCGGGGTTTCGAAAACAGAAAACCGAAAATCGAAAATCTCCCCGAAAAGCGATCTTTTGCTCATTGAAATGCATGGGCGATATGCGCGATTCGATATGGTGGACAGCCTCAAGGTTGCATTGCCACATGGAATGGGTTGAAAATGGGATGGGATGGGTATGGGACTCGATTGGATCCACTTCTTGTTTCACAGATACGCAGATACAGATACAGATACCTGTTGAGATACCCGAGAGGTAACAGATACAGCTACACTTTGCATTGCGTGTAAAACGCTTTGATGGGAAATATGTTAATCACACATCTCGGTTTTTTTCCTTCTTTTCTCGTAACCTGTTTCATTATGATTTTTGTGATTTATACTTTTGGCTTACATTTTTCGGGGCGCTGCTTGTAAATTGCACTTTATTTTTGTTGCCTGGGAACCACAAAACTTCGCGGGTCTTTTGTTTTTGTCGCTGGATTGCACAAGTTGGCTATGTTTACGTTTGTTTTTTCTGATTTTTTTGCGCCTAGTTCTCTTTTGTTATACACAAAAAGAAAGCTTCGCTCGGGAAGAATGTTTTCCCAGAGAGATGGCCTCTAACACTCGGCACTCACACTTGCACACCGCGCACCGTTGTTGAAAAATGCAGACAAACAACTCAAAGGGGGCACTTCAAGGGGCGGGTTTCCAGGGGGGGCGTTAGTAATTAAGCCGAGATAGCGCAACAACAAGTACGGCCTGTCTGCGCATGCGCAGCGGTAACAATTTCGCAGCGTTCCGCGTTCTCCACTCCACCACCGCCGGTTCTCCAAAACGGTTAAGATCGAATCGGAATCGGAATCCGGATCGTATCGAATCGAATCGGTCTAAATATATAGGCCCGCTTTTTTCTCACTTCCGCCAAGTCCGATCCATCGAAGCGCCGCAACTCAACTGAAGCTGGTCGAAAACCGAGCTGACTAGGCTTCGCCTTTTGGGCCAAGCTCTCTGCGGAGCCGCTCTGCAGGTGAAACTGGTTTGCCCCAAATGCACAGCAAGAAATGGGATCAAAAAAGATCTAATGGTAGTTAGATCTTATATGTGGCACAAGAACTATGTGGCTTTCTTTAGAAGAAAATGTTGTTCTGAACAAAAAACATCAGTATTTTGTACGACACAATGCTAAAAATGTTCCAAATGTAAAATATCATACTGCTCTGAACTCGTAATAAAATTCCTAACCGATTTGCATTCAAACCTATAAATTTTAATTTTTGAAAAAAATTTAAAAAATGTTCAAAAATTACTTTGTTTTTTATTTATTAAAAAGTGATGTGGACCTCGTAAGCTTACCTCGTTAGCTGGTCAAAACAGTCATTCTTTTAGCTTAGGTACTTTATTTAGCCGAATTACAAAGAATAAAACCTATAAATAAGAAAGTTTGTCTAAAACATTTCATCTACGAAAATATAGAGTACTTTTAAAAAGATTTTATTTCTGCGATTTTGAAATAAAATAAATGATTTCGATATTTTTTTTTACAGACAATGTGATCTTAGCCTCTAAACTTCACCTAATCATTTGTGATCCCCACGTTTCTTTCTCTGCATCTGAATGGATCTAAAAACCGCTGAGGTACTAAAAATTCGAGACCTGCCCCCGAGATGCAGATGCTCTCTTCTCTGGAGAAAGAGCCATCCAGCTTCGTGAATGAGTTTACATTGTCCGACTTTGTTTTCTTTTGTTGTTTGATGTTGTCTTCGGCTTTTTTTATTTTTCTGGCGCTGGGTAAAAGTTTTGATCACTGTTCTGCGCAGAAAGTTGGGCTTCTTCTGGCCCTTGTCTTCTTTCTACCTGTTTCTCCGGCTTTTTTCTCTTTTCGATCTCTGCAGCCGATTGGCAAGTGCGCCAATTCAGCTAATGGGGTTAAGCCTTCAATAATGCCGCAACAAAGTGACAACCAACAAGAGTTACTTTCCTCTTTGCAAATTGTTTGGCGTGGCAACTAATTACCCGAACAATCGGAGAGACTCAATGGTTAGTGGTGATGAGGATCGGGGAGGCACGCACCAGCCATTAGCCAGGTTATTCACACCAGACCTAACCAGGTACAAGTACAGGTATCAGTACAAGTCCGACTCACACTCCAAGCTCCGTGTCCATGTCCAAGTCCAAGTCCAACTCCCGAGTCTGAGTCCCAATCAAAAAGCACAAACCCAACCGGCAAGTATGTGGTTATAATTTTTATGTTTAGGCATGCATGTTAACATTAACATCTCAGTGGGCCGCAATTTCTTTTCTTTCTCCCAAGCCATATACTTTCCATTTTCATGAGCAAGTGCTCCACAAATGGCAGCCAGATAAAACACACATAACATAATAATGAAAACCGAGTCAGAAGCAATAACTGGCACACTCGAAACAAAAACGTCTTGAGAACCTCAAAGCCAAAATATAACAAATTTCAAAGTTTATAAAATACAATGAATTTTATAGCAAGAAATTTATTGCTTGATTGGTAATTAAATAAACATTTTATAAATTTTCAAAAAATGAAATTACATGAATATACGCCTACTTTAAATTAAATGTTATATTATAATAAAAATCACAGATAAAAAAATTTTCAAATTGATAATTATTACGAATTAAATAAATTAATTATTATAATCTAAAAAACGAACGAAATAACGAGCTATATTTGTGATCAATTTTTTCAATATTTTTAAATGATTTTAAATAACCCGAAAGCATAAAAATGAGTATTAATTTATAATATTTTTTGATTTTTCTGAGTGAATCCGCTTTTGCAGCAGCCCTGACGTGACGCATGCCATGTCTAACCATATAAATCAAATCGTTCAGCTGATAAATTGTGTCTAAGCTCAACACTTGACTGGCTCCGGCTTCAGCTCCTCCTCCGTCTGCAATTTAAGTTAGAGTAGATGTTTTGTGAAAACGCCGGTCCACACACTCCACTCCACGCCCATCGACGGATCCGAAAAACCCCTAACTCCTATGTCTAATAAAAAACAGCCTCTGGCCCAGTTAGCACCGCACTCCCGATTGTTGCTTCAATCTGCATAAATGCAAATTATGAAAAATGAATCATGTCCAAAGGTTTCAGCGGTGGCAGGCACTGAAAAAAAATCGTTGCTTTCTGGTAAATTAAATAGCAACCACTGGTAATGTAAAATAATATATTTTAGGGATTATTGTAAAAATAATATATGTGAATACATTAACAATAACATGATTAAAAATTTTAGAGGTATTTTGAAAATAAATGGTATTTAAGGCTTGCAATTTATTAACATAATACAACTCAACAAATATTTCTAAAATCTTTAAAATTTTTTAAAAATAAAATATTTGCAAGTGTTTGTAAAATTTAAATATAATTTTTTCAAGTTTACAAATTTTTTTGCCTGCATAAAAAGCCGCGTCTATGATAATATTTCATCTGCATGTAGGCCGACAGATGCAATCTTCATTTTAGCCCACTAAGCCGCCAATGATATTCATGGAGCTTAATTAACCGCACGTAATTGCCGAGAGTTGTGTCCTCCGGGATGTCGTTTCATTCATATGCAAATGTAAACGCAACCTCATTTACTCCTGGCTATTGACTTTCCCATTATGCTTTTGGTAGGGCGCCAAAGGGGATATATTTGGGTATCCCCTTGTAGAAATGGCTTGTCAACTCAATGCGTGCAAAATGAATGTACTTTTCAATTCCCATAAAGATTAATGTCTTTGCATACAGGTCATAAATTATTGTTTAGATCCGACACACACTCACGTGGATTGAATGACCCACTGGGGAGTGGGAGGTGATAGAGGAACCACCTTATAACCGGGTGAGCTTTATTGGCGTAGCCTAATCAATTATGGAACCTCCCTGACCCTCTTTCTCCTCCGATATCGGAATGGAATGTCAACATAATAAGGCCAGCGTCCTTGCGGCCAACTCCCTTTTCAGTTTCATTTTCATTCTCATTGTCATTTTGCTTTTCCTGTTGCGGTTGCCTTTGTCGTTTAGTGTCATTTTATTGCTGGTGTGTTGAATAAAAGGGGCGCAGAAAAAGGGGGTCTACCTAAAAGTAATATCCAACTTATTATAATTGATAGAATTAAAAAAATGAATAAAATATATATATTTCATTTTTTTGGAGTCATTGGTTTTTAATCTTCAAGCTTATAAAACTATAAAAATGAACCAGAAACCAAAATAGATTTTTTTGGTCTAAGATGTTTTATAAGAGTTCATATAATGGTCAGATATTAGCTCTTTACCTTTATTATTACGTTGTTAAATTATGTTTCTTTATTTTGGTAAACTTTATTTAATAATTATAAAATATTTTATAAATTAAATTAAAATTTTAAAAGTTGAAATGAATAGGAACTCCACTACCTATCCCCTAGCAATAGAAAAATTGCTGTTTTAAAGACATATTTTATTTAAAATTATTAAAACCACAACCAAATTTGGTCTTTCCCTTACAAAATCAACGGTAACGGCCATGAAAAATCCCCTCGGCCTTTTGCATAGCTCGTTCATCACAATGTTTTATCAGGAAGAGTGGACAGCCTAGTGGGATTATGCCCCTTTTCCGGATTTTTATTTTGATAAATTATTTAAGCGCACAACTTGTGGCATTCGGCTGGCCGTTGTTTGCCATTTCTCTCATATTTAATGCCAGACTTTGTTGGTTCAGGATATAGCCTGGCTATATATCCCATAGGCCGGACAGGACATTCAATCAAATTAGACGGCGAGTGACAGCAAACACAATCATGAGCGTGGAAAGTTCGCTTTATTGGGCGAGGACAATCAAAAGACCCAACATTTAGACAGAAATTAATATACCTACTTCTTTCCCCTTCATTCCCGTGTTAATTCAACAAAGGAATGTACCTATTTCTGGAATGCTATGCAAATAGAATGTTTATTCGAGGAACGTCTTTATGATACCTTTTCCAAGGAAGAGCCATTTATGAAATTACATTTGTTTCCATTGCATTTGGGCCAAATTTGATACGGTATTCAAGTTGGCTAGCCTCGTAAAACTGAGTTAAACCCCTGCTGCCGCTGACACCTCGCATAAAAATTCACAAAGTCGATGGTTGAGCTATTTCGGGACTAACACACTTTGGCCAACGGCAATCGACGTTACGGCCGAGTTGTTTTAGCCAAAAAGTTTTTCGGCAGTAACAAGCTTTTCCCCGGTCTGCCACATCAAGCATACGCCAAGGTGGCCCGAACATCCTGAAGGCTATTTTTCTCTGAGAGTTTCGAAGGAGATAAGTCAAAGCCCATATGCACGCACACGTGCAAAAACACAGGTGGAGCCGTTAACGGTAAACGAGTCAGAGATTCCAGGCAATCAAGTGTGTTAATTGCACCATAATTGGTCAGACAGGCAGTCAATAACAGCAGCAACAGCCAATGCACTTGCTGCACCAGTCCTACACAGCGAGAAAATATTATATAATAAATGTGAAATTTAATGGTCACAACTTTAAGGTTAAAATGAAGAAAATATTTGATGTTCTTTCCTTTAAATTTATCATTACAAATATTACATTTATTATTAAAGTAGGTACATATTGATCTTAAAATGTAAATAATATCATTTCGTTAAAATTAAAATTAAATTGATTACTTATATTGGCAAGTATGAATTGGATATTTATCATAAACATATTATTTTTGTTTTAAACAAGATTAAAGACAATGCCGAAGCTCACTTTTTTTTGTGAATAATCTTTTTAAATAAAGTGAGACATCGTCAAAAAATGCAAAATAAATGTCAAATAAACGAAATATATATAGAGTAGTAAATCTGGCAAATTATAGGATTATTGTAAAATAAAGTCCTTTTGTGACGCTCACGTTCCACATGTATTAAACTTGATTTAAAATATTAATTCAACACATTGTAA